TCCTGTCATACAGAGAAGTCAGAAAAATGACATCAGATAAATTACTATATGCTTTCACGTGTATCATAAGGCTTAAGAAAGACGCATGCTCAAGCAAGTATTTTATAGTATTATCTTGTTTAGTCTTCTCAGTCTAGAACAAGGACAATTTTTAATCAAGCTGTTATAATATCTTTAAATCAGTATTGTAAATATGCGTAACATTCGATGTAGGGAAGACCTACCCCCCCCCCCCCCCCCCCCCTCCTTCCCCGTCGCCCTGATTTTTATGTAGTGTAGGCTATTCTACTGTGACATTGTTAGTACCGGTAATGGGACTGCATTTTTTCAGCAATGTTTATCATCAATTTAGTACGGATACACAAAGTTATGTGAAAGGACGACAGGACGTAGAAATACATGTACATGGCTTACGAAAAGGGAAGCCATCACGATTGTCTTCTAAAAATTATAAATGCAATTAACTGCCCTAACATGTCACGAAACATCTGTGCATCATTCAACCATAGAAGTGGACTTATTTAATGTGGAAGCTTGCAACCACATTAAGATATCGCCATAGTTTCTTAGAAGTGTAAGCCAACGTGTCTCCATATAGCGGCGTAGTTGCACGGATTAGGGGGGGGGGGGGGGCTCCGCCACCCTGAGTGGTAAGAAAACGAAAGAAAGACAAAAGATTGAAAAAAAAGAAAAAGGGAGAAGATGAAAGGGAAGAGGAAAGCAGACGCATGAAATATGTCCCGCACCCTTCCGCTAATAAGGAGCCTTTAATTATCCGAGTTAGACCAGTGCCCCCTCCCCCTATAGGCAGACTTACGCTACGACAAAGTCACGTGACCATATGCGGTAGAAATGTCGTTGACAAACTAGGTATGTTTCTGGAAGTGAAGATGGTGAAGGAGAGGAGTTACGATTGCCGTAAATGAGCTGTAATGAAGATGCAATGCAGTTTCATTCACTTACGTCTTTCTCCATCTCGCGAGCGAAGCATGCGTCAATTAATGAATGCCAATTAACTATAAGGAACCATTTCTATGACCTTTGACGAAGACTCAGGCGAAGTGTGCCGGAATATGATTCTGGAATATTAAACATAAAAAATGGGCATATTATGAGTTAATTGGGTTTCGTCGAAAAGATGACACATTAATCCATTTAACGACTGCTCCTTGAGACAGTGTTGTGTGCCTCGGATAAAGGAACATGCGAACAGCCAATTTTTCTTGGAATTTATCAATTGAACTCACAACTACGTAGTGTAGAGTTCAGTGAGTATATCGGTTATGCAAGATACGTGTGCGTTTTTCGATAATTTTAAGTGATCAATTTAATTACCACTTGCACGTTCCTGTACTTGATTTGATTATCGTGTCTGAATGAGTCTGATTGAATGATTTGCCTGGTACTATAGCCTCGAAAAATTGCGTAATAAACGAACTTACGACGACTACTTCTGGAGTTCATTCCTCTGTTGAAAAAATTTACTGTATCAGACTGTCGTTTATGGCCTCGTTCACAATTCGGAAAAGAATATAATTCATTGTGGGATGAAAATACATAAAGCTTTAATTTAGGTAATAATACACGCAGAAGGATATATTTATGCACAGGTTTTGATGACCAAAATTTTGACAAAATTAGGTGAAACTGCCGATTACAATATAATTTTTGTTTACACATTTCTCCAAGCAATCCGCCTCGTTCATAATCATTGTAAGCAAGCAAAATAATCAAAATTATGTGCTCTCTAAATCTGCTCAAACTTCAATATTCTTTAACGATTCTAGTGTGTATGGAAGCATAATTGAGGATAAACACATGATCAGCAATGGTATTTTCCATCATGGCCTGATTATGGAAATATACAACTTTTTTTTTTAAATACAGAATTCATCAATGCTCATTGCAATACGACAAAATTATAATAGTGTATTACAAAAATAATTAATTAACAATGAGGAAAACTATACTATAACCTAGTTATGCGTTAAATTTGTGTTGTTTTGTATTAAATGTGATGTTTTTTATGTACCTGTATAATGTAGGGGTTCCATGAAAAGCACCGCATTAAGTTTATGTGCTGGCTTCAATGGAACCACCCTACTCAAATAAAACTTAATAAATAAATAAATTGATAAATAAATAAATAAAAACATACACAGAAATACAAAGCTCTAGTCGGTAGAACAACACGGAAGCTCGAATCGTGGACTGGGAACGAATTAATCTCAATAATACAAATGGTGTTTGTCCGCTCTTCTCTAGCGATGTCACGGATCGGACTAAAGGTTATGATTGAAGGAAGGGAAAATTGATCACTATCACATTCACACCCATCCCCATGGGACGTGTATTGACCTTTAATAGAGGGATAATTTGCTTCTGAAATACATTTATAGATAGCAATTTGATTATCTTGTATTCAAGGTGGAATTGATAGGTCACTATTTTTATACACAGGGGTGTAAGTTGATCGTACCCGCGATAAAACTCATCTCAGGTAATTCTGCTTGTAAATAAAGCTAACGTCATTTGTATCATTATTTGATGACAGCTATGAGGCTACCTCGTCCTCATCATCTCTTGCATCTTCTCTTTTCTCCTCTTCCTCCAACTCACTATCCGGGCCTCGCCCTTCCGTACTTCCTCCTTCTTCTCCTCCTCATTTCCATCTCGATCCTTCTCTTCCCAATTTTGATCCTCCGGCTCCTTGTCCTCCTTCTCTTACCCCTCCTCCTTTTCCCTCTTCTCTACTTCCCCCTTTTCTCCCTCTCCTGCCCCTCATTCTTCTCCTTCTCCTCCTCTTTCTCTTATACCTCCCTAATCTGATTTCTCTCTCTCTCTCTCTCTTCTGTTCTACCGCTCCCGCCCCCATCCCCACTATTCGTGCATATGTTTTATACGATTGCTCTAATAATAATAATCTGGATTTATATATCGCTAAATACGGAATACCGTCTCAAAGTGCTTTATAGATATTATTACCCCGGTCATCGGATTCATTCACGCACAATGTGCACCATCTCCACCGTCTCTGGAGAGTATTCCTACCACATGGTCACCGTGAGGGCATAGGCATAATACAAATAGTTTTGTCATCCTACCGGGTCCCCATTTCTCTCTTGGGTATTGAGTGGCAAATGTAGACTAATGCCTTGCCAAAGGACATTAGTGCCGTGTCGGGGATCGAACCACGAACTTTGAATTTCAAGTCAAGCCTAACAATTTAAACCACTGGACTACGACACTTCTAAATCTTTATCATGGTGAACATAAGATTTGAAGTTTTAAAAAAAAAGACACTAAATTAAGAAAGAAAACTTGTATTAGAACACCAAAAGTCCGATCACATGTTCAACTCCACCCAGGTTATGTCGGGGAATCGCTATCCCCCCGCCTCCCTCCCCGTTCTGCAGAGAGTTGCCAAGAGATCATTGTAAATAATAAAATACCGTGAAATTATTCTACCTTATAAATATCTGTGCCCTTGAAGGCTTTTTTCTAATAAAGTCTAAATGCTCGGCAGACAACACCGAAAGGTTACTTTCGAGGACGATATCCCTTCATAATATTATCGCTCTCGTTCGCGCGTTAAGTCAAAGCGGAAGATAGGATTAATGTCTTGAGTACACCATGGACGCGCTGAAATAATCGGCTTAATTATCTTCCGGGTATTGACGCTGTTCACACTGGCATTGACACTGCGGGCGACAAATTACATTCTCCGCCAGTCGCTAGCTTCAGACTATCTTCTTATTTTTTTCTTTTTCAGCTAATTCTATCGCGTTGTGTTTTCTTGTAGGCTGCAATAACGTCAAATTGTCGCCTCTAAGAAAACATTAAAACACCTGGAAGTTAACGGTGCTTTTCTTTCCCTATCTATTACAACTTTGGAAATTGGATACCCTGTGGGTTGTAGAATGACCCCTTCCTCCCCCCCCCCCACCCCCTCTCTCTCCCCCTTCTCTCTCTCTCTCTCTCTCTCTCCCTTTCTCTCTCTCCCCTTCTCTCTCTCTCTCCCTCCCCCTCTCTATCTCTCTCTCTCTCCCCCCCCCCTTTTTGTGTGTGGGGAACTGGAGTGGTTCTCTCTCTATGTTTCTCTCCCTTATCTCCCCCCCCTCCCGCTCTCTCTCTCTCTCTCTCTCTCTCCCCCTCTCTCTTTTCCCTCTCCCCCTGTCCATGTCTCTGTCCCTTGACACAGGAAAGCTCCTCCTCAATCGCATTATTCGCATGTGACCTTTTCTTTCCTCATAAGCACATTACTTCGCATACATGCACGAGGTGAAGGACGGAGAACATTAATTATTAAAGTATACCTGAATGCGAACCCACCTCTACGGGATTCTGAACACGATGAAAGTTAAATTGGAATAAATTGTGTCGTTTTGTAAGCATGGTTTAATAGAGGTCATGAGAAGCAGTCGCGTCGGGGGATTGGAGGGAGGGGGGGGGGGCATGTCGTCACTTTTTATTCAAACTCATTCAAATTTAAATGTAAATCTACCCTGCAAGAGAGATCTTGTATTGATTGGTATTCTTAATACACAGGTTCACTGTAATACAAATGGGAATTTCTATTCACTATGCGAATGACTGCTCAAAGTTACTGAAAACTGCTATCTTCATCAACAGCTGGTCTGTTACAGGTGGTGGTTAAACCACGTTCAATTATTGGGATAGTGAGCACTAAATTTTTTTTCGGCCCTCGAAAATTAAAAATCGCACCCCCCCCTCGAGCAACAGGAGGGGGCCTGTCTCCAAATAAAGGTAACATTTTACCTGTCCCCCCCCCCCCCGGATCCGCCATTGCATACGGAGAACCATGCGGCGACTGTGCGGAGAGGAGAAGAAGTAAAGCAACCGAAGTGTTATATTTGGTGTCACTTAACACTGGATGGTGGTCGAAATTTTGATAACAAGGTCACCAGTTTGTCATCCCATTTGACGTTGAAATATTTTGTTTTCTTCATTTTTCTCATGAGAGTTCCTTTTCTTGTCTTTCAGTTGGTTGCCACGGATCGAGAGGGGATATCCACGGGGCGCTTCCGAGTCGAAGATGGCGAGAGGGATGAGGTAAATTAAAATCATTTTTTTCTTCTTCAAAGTCTCTTTTTGTTCTTACTTTGTCATTTTCCATTTTAAGAAGAGACGTAAATTTTGGTTTAATTGTATCAAAATTATTTTCTAACTGCTTCCCCCTCCCTTTTTCTCTCTTTCTTACTAAACTGTCTCTCTCTCTCTCTCTCTCCTCTCTCTCTCTCTCTCTCTTCTGTTTTTCTTTCACTTTTAACCTCTGTCTCTTTTCCTTTCTTTATATATTTCTCTTTCTTTTTTTCTCTATCTCTCTCCGTCGTATGTATCTATCTGCCTCTCTCCATTTTCTTTTGTATCTGTCTCTTTCTCTCCCTCTGTATTTCTTTCCCCCCCCTCTCTCTCTCTCTCTCTCTCCCCCCTCTCCCTCTCCCTCTCTCTATCTGTTCCTGTCTTTATCTCTCTTCCTCTCTTACCATTCCCTCAATCCATCTCTGTCCATTTCCACACCGTGTATCAATTCATTCACTCCTTCCCTTTCGTGAAAACATTTCTCTGTTTCGCGGAAGCTAGATCTTTTCCTTCCGTTGTTGTCATTCTTGTAATCAAGATTAAAGATGACATTCATTTTGGAGCACCACCAATCTATCATTCCTTGTAGTATGTGCCCCTAATTCTTCTTTGATACAGTTCGTAGCATCCGTGGAATCCAATACTATCAGTCTGTAGCCACACCCACCTCCCCAATTTCATTGCCTCCCTCCCAGCTTCAGTCACCTCCCTCCAAGTATATGCTTTCTTCCCTCTTTTCCATTCATACCTTTATTTTCTTCCTTTTCATCAGCTTATTCTTCTGCCCCCTCTTCTTCTTCTTCTAATTTTTTCGTTCTCCTTCTTTTTCCTATTCTTCAAAGCCCTCTTCTTCTCCCTTTTCTTCTTCTTTTTTAATTATTATTATTAATATTGATAATAGTAATAGTCGCACAAGTAGTCGTATCATTGTTTTCATTATTTTCATGATTAATAATATTATTATTATTATTACCATCATTATTATAACTTTTATTGCTATTATTTATTCGGCAAAAAAATCCAGAAAACAATGGTGAATAAAAAACAAAAGTAGAATTTGAAAAGATTCGCATGCATGCCAGGGAAATTTAAACAATTTAACAAGTAACTATAACACGATGAGCTTCTTCTTTTCTGGCATATAATAGTGAGTTACAACAAAATACAGATTTTGTTTTTCTTCTATAAATTACTTAACTTATATGAAATGGGATTGTTTAAAAGATGGAATAAAATACTGATAACTTTGAAATTAAGTTACCATGACTACGATCCGATATACTAGTTCTTTGTTAGCCACTCTTGTAGTTTTCTCCTCAAGCTTTCCTTACCTCTCTATTTCACTTTATAATGTAACTACCCCTTCCGGATATAGTCCTATAGTACTGCATTATGTCATTACAAATGGGGAAATTGCCGAGAAAATAATACGCCATGAGCATCTCCTGTACCGTCTCACAAATAGCCTTGAAATTTGCATTCAAGTAAAGCTGTTAAAAATGATAAATGTTTAATATCGAAATGTCATGTCATTTCACGCCAATGTTTCCGGTACGATTTAATTTCTTCTCGTCTTGCCATGACAACCTTGAGAATTGATGCGATCCAAAGTGAGAGAGAGGAGAAAAAGATGAAAAGAGGGATAGAGTAATACAACAAAATAATATAAATGGAACCAAAATACAGAAAAACAAGTAAAAAAAAGAAGAAAAGAGCAGATTATTAAGACACGTGCCTTCAAGATAATCAGAAAAATAAGTTCAACTATTTTCTTGTTGGTCAATCGCATCAAGTCCAGGTCTTGACAACATCCGGTTAATGGTCAACAGTGAATTGTTTTTACTACATGTATATCATTGCATCTCGGGGGGGGGGGGCGTTGTCTTAATTGTATAGTTATGTTTCATGAATGCAACGCCTTTCTAGAACATGTTCCATAATCCGATAATGAAACTATTAGTTCGGTGACGTAGGCCAGCTTCGAGGAAGCGTCATTTTGATTGCGTCGTTATCTACGGTAATCGAACATAAATCATGTAAGCACTCAGTGCATGCGCCAATAATGAAATCCTAGGTTTGATATTGTTCATTTTTGCATTTAATTTTCGTATGTCTCTCGCGTGGTGCGTCAAGGAGCAAGAAAGTCAGTGACTCAGTCCTACGCCATTGTAAAGACTGACGCTTCGTGTGCATCAAGCATTAGGTCTTAACGCACTGAGTGCCGTCAAATGTGCGTTTGATGCGTCAATTTGCCTTCGTCAAGTTCATGAATAAATCATAGTGTTAGAGAGATGAACACACTAAGTCAGAAAGTGAAATTTGACCTTTGACATGCCATGCGAGAGTGACAGCTTTAATACATAAACGTCAGAAAAATGTACAGTTTACTGAATAACTAATGGCGCATGCGCTAATTTCCTATATAGGCTTTATTAGCGTATTCAACGTGAACAAGATGGCGCCTGACTGTTTCTTGGTACGACCGCATAGGACTAAGTTGGTTTGTAATTTGGAAATGTGCGATCGATCCTACAAACTTGTGATCAATCGTAACTTTCGTTAAGCGTGGGCTTATAGACTATAGGTGTATGTATGCATAGCCCCTACTTTGTGCTCTGCGTTTCACGTTGTTCATGAAGTGAAAAATTCGATATTATCGTGCCCTAAATCTAACATAACCCGATTGGCGGAGAATGTTTAGTGCAGAAACAAGATATCAGCAAGTGATAGCCAGAGACCTGGCCACTGGCATATGACAAAAGATCAATAAAATGTAATCAGGTTAAACATTCTGTCATAGCATAACCCAGAAAGGGTTTCTTATTTATACAGTCTACCAATCGAGTACCTGGACCCGTGCCTTGGAGCTTATTCTTCCTAGTGTTACAAATAATTGTGACCCTAATGTGAGCAAGTGACTCATCTGTTTTCCTGTACGTATTCTACTTCCATAAATGTAGAATACCTTCATCAGTAACGAATGCTAACTGCTCATCGCGTTATGTGTTTCATGTCTTTTGAGATAATGCTATCATGACTTCCGAAAACATATCTTTGGCGTTTTCTTCCAGAATAGACATTCACAGATCAGAAGTCCACGTATGATGCGTTAATATATATTTCTGGACACTTAACGCTATTTCTTCATACTACAGAAAAGCTTTTCGATAAAATGTCTTCAAGCTTTGTGACATACAAATAAATTTCCAATGAATAAAGTCCATTAATTTTGAAGCGGTGAATCTGCGTCATTTAGCGATGATCGTCAACACAATGAAACCTTTCAAATGTTGTCTAAGCAAAAAGGCATGTTCTTAACACTGGACACTTATTCGTCAATCAACTTTAATCGAAAACTGAGATGAAAATTAATTAAACTTTACATTTAACACACTTCGAAATGATCGACAAGATCATAATTATCTACACTTCACTAGCTTGGAAATGATTTTTTTTTCCTGAAATGTCATTTTCAATGTACGTTTTTCCTGCACATAAAATCATTAGAGATCTCCTGTTTTTCCATATAAAATCTATACAACTGTGAACTCGTCTTTATGGGGTTTGCGTAGATAAGACATAACGCAGATCTGCAATTTGACCAATAAGTGCCCTTTTCATCTAGGTACAAAATCCACGTTTTTGTCATAAATAAGAAATTCCAAATTTTGAAAACGAAATACCTTTAATATTCCCATTGGATTCGCGATCTGAGTAGAATGAAATACGTTTTTACCTTAGTTCTTGTATATAGCTTGAATTTATTTTGTAAACAACCGCAATTTGTTTTGTGCGCTCATTGACATGCATTTGAAGCTAAAAAGCGTGAGAACAGATCGAGATAAAGAATGAAAATCTTATTCGTGCTGGCCGTTGCAAGAAGAAGGAGTAGAAGAAGAAGGACAAGAAGACTTATGAAATGGAAGAGGGAAAATATAATTTGAAATAAGCCGTTGTGCTTTTCTAGGAAATAGTAAGAAAAGTACTATCGAAACTATGTGAAGAGCCGAAGAAATATTGACCGGTGAAATTAGATGCGAATAAGGAGAAAAGCAAACGCTGCATTAATAACATGATTTATACAATACTCTAATTGTTGGTGAGAGGGCATGTGTTTAACGGTAATTATTTATATCTACGTTTAAAAGTGAACACATTTTGAGGGTAGCAGAAAGAGATTGCCATAGTTTGTTACCTGACAAAATTATGGACCTTTGGGTAGGTGCAGTTCGTATAGAGGGCATAAGGTAATGGTTTTAAATTTATTTTGAGAACCTTTAAAAAGAACACTTACAAGTAACATCCTGCTTCGACGTTCCTGCACGCAGTGGCGTACGTGGAGCGGACACTGGGGTGGGCGTGTGCAAGGAAGAAAAAGAGGGAAAAGAGAGAAGACAAGGGACGCCTGGAGCATCGCCCGCATCGTCTCAACAGTAGCCTTGTAAATTTGCATTCATGTAAAGCCGATGCCCCCTTCTCCTCTCCCAACCCATCATTCCAATACCCCTTAATGGGTGGACTCACCCTACGTCGAAGCTTCCTGATGTACCACTTTAAAGCCCAAAGTATGATGGCAAAATTTCACTTAAATAAATTGTATCATAATGTAAAAGAGGATGCCATTCAAGACACACTTCTGGAAATAGTTCCCCCCAAAATGTATGTGAAGACAAATATTGATAAAAGAATACATAATTTGGGTTTTCTGTTGAACGCACAAAATCGAATTTTTCATTTTTTCATCAATATCCGACTTCAAACACAATTGGTTTGGAAATTCTTGCAGAAATGTGTCTTAAACGACATTTTCACATTATGATGTGATTTAATTAAAATGTTGTAATCAAATTCTGGGGGCTCCTGAAATGTTAAAGGGTCTTTAAACAAAGAGTGGCTCACATAATATTGTCTACATTTACTTACGAGTTTACATTCCTGTATGTCCCCATTGTCACAGACAAAATCTTATTCTCTACAAATTAAAAAAATAAAAGTAATGCGTCCCCTAAAACCAATGCGCGTTCGACGCTGTTCATATTAGCGAAGGGCAAGTCTTAGATCTATTTGTTTCTTATCAAATAGACATACGACAAACTAAAGCAACCTCGTCTCACCCTTTATATATATTTGGCGGCAAACAGAGTTGTTTTCTCTCCCTTAATGTGTATTTATGCAGCCTCCTCTCACGGGATAGGAAGGACCCTTATATCTATCGACCACGTTCTCCTTTCGAACAGTATTTTGGTTGTCAGTCTTTCCCCTCGGTTTCGGCACTCTTTTTTTTTGTTTCGACTAACTTCATCAGCTGATCAGAGTAGTCTGATGTTGCCGTAATATTGTTGTTATCTTTTTTACATCCTTCTTTTCTTCAGGGTCTGTTCCATTCCCTCTAACCATACTAGATGTTGAAACTTTGTTTACTAAGTAATAATCTTTTACTAGCTGGATTTTAAAAAAGGGAGGGGGAAGCGGCGTAGAGAAAAAGAAAGAAAAAAAATAAAGAAAAATGTTAAGAGAAGGAGAGAGGGAAAGGAAAGAGAGAGAGAGAGAGAGAGATAGAGAGAGAGAGAGAGAGAGAGAGAGAGAGAGAGAGAGAGAGAGAGAGGAAATCGAAATTATAGAAAAATCGGTACCCTGGGTAACAGGTCGGCAACGTATTGGATGGGATGGAAACTCCACCCCACCGCAAGCTATGCGTAATGTGTCTATAAATGCGTCCTACTTTATTATTTATCATTTAATAAAAGGATGGTGATATTATGAAGTATGAAAAAAGAGTAGAACTAAATTAGGTTTAGGGATACGAATACATTGGGGTGTAGTCCAGGTTTGAAGTAACGAGACTGACTGGGAAGGGGCGGATTATCACCAGATTGCGTGATGCATAACTATTTTGTTTAATATTTCGTTGGCAAAGTAATTTTGCATTTTATCAAAATGTCTCTCTTTGTAATTTCAGATCTCGACGATGGCAACCGGAAGTGACGTTCACCTCGAGAACCCAGAATACCACACACGGTGGTATTTCAAGTACTTTCTTGGAAAAAGTAAGTTTTAAACTGTAGCATTAAAAGCTAATTAACATGGTGGTATTTTCTGGATTCAACGATTCAAAGTTCAACTATAGTAATAATGAAAAAACTCTCGAAAAAGTTGCAAAGTAATGTTAAGAACCGAATTGCTAATCATTATTATTTCGGCAGAAGGTGTTGATGCGCTGAGAAAGAAACAAAGAAATTAAATATCAGGACCCCATCTTAAGAGTTAAGATTGATCTATATCAATTGTAAGTCCTCCATTCAATCGCAGTTTTTCAGTCTCTTATTTCTTATGTACAGAGTTGCAATTAATATCAATCGCAAATAAGTTGCGATTGATTATTAACTCTTTATAAGACGGGGCCAGGTCTCAAAAGCTTTATTTAAATATAAAAATAGCTACAAATTTTGTCTAAAATTTTATTTCATCCGCTATGCTTGGGGGTTGTTATTTGTTTCTCATTAAAAAAAAATCTTCATTTTTTTCTATCCTCATGATAATGTTTGTCCCTACTCCATCATTTAGATAGTAAGGAGAGACAGTGTATAAGTTTTTGTTACCAGATTCAAAAATATCTTTGAATAGCAAGGCGCTAGAAAGTATCGCGTGTTTCCTTTTACAGTAACTATGACAACAATTCCGGTGTAAAAAGAGATAGTCTTAACAAATAATAAAGAACAAATCAGGACGCTCACAGCTGCTTTCTGAGGTGTATTTCAAGAGTGGAGGAAGCTATATGTATTGTTGTTTCCTTACGTGATGATAACATATCAAGAATGCAACTTTATGTAGCTCCTTTGTATGGTTTTTCTTTCCTGAAGTTCTAACAAAGATTAATCGTTAAAATGAGAACCTTATGTGAAATTGATTATATGCAGTTGTTTCTATTTTGGTTCGGAAAGAGCTTACAAGAAACCTTACTAAATACATATATACCCTAACGCCGCTTAAGTTAGTTTATAGAAAATATCTTTCTAAATTTGGGAATGTCCATGTATAATGACTTTTCTCCGAGTGGACTTTTGACCTTTGATATTATCAACGCCATTTCCTCGAAAATGTGATTTTCTGACTAGATTCTTCGATTTTAATGCTGTGTTTTATATGTCCTGTAATATATCCACGGAAGTATGATGAAAATATATGAATCTCCATAGTAACGATTCTTTACCCCGTCTTATGAGATAAGGGACTGCAAACTTGCGATTGATTCGGATAAATCGCAATCTCTCTCTCTCTCTCTCTCTCTGAGAATTTCCTTTTGGTTAATTATCAACTTTTCGATCCTTGTCCTCAAATCGCAAAATGTTATGATTTTTTTTCTTCAAAATACAGTTCGTATCTTCTTGTTTGTCCTTTTTTTTTTTTTTTTTTTGTTGTTCTTGTTTGTTTCGTATTGTCAACAAACACATTGCACCCCCTCTCTCTCCCCCCACCCCCTTCCTCCCCCCTCTCTCTCTCTCTCTCTCTCTATCTCTATATCTTCCTCTCTCTCTCTCTATTTTAAGTGTCATGACGTACGTGTATGTAGTAAATTGTTGTGAGCCTTATTTTTAACACTCGGGTCTTTGTTTATCTCCATAGTTCATCAAAACTACGTAGGAGCAGATGTGGAAAAGAATATCTTCTTCCTCTCCGTAGTTCTTACAGACGCTAACAATCACAATGTGCCCCAATACAGAGCGATCTTGTGGAGAAAAACGGTAAGCAAAAATAATTACGAAATTTCGCAATTTCCAGAAATTGCAAACATCACAGGAACAGGGATTTTATTGTTGTTTTTTTATTCGTGATAATGTTTGTTTAAGTCGTGATATAAATCGATATTCGTGAATTTTAATTTCCTATAGATTGCTAAGTATGTGGAACGTGTACTAAAGAGTAGAAAGAGAAGAAAGAAGTAGATGAAGAAAAAATAAGAAGAGGAGAAGAAAAAGAAGAAGAGGAGGAGGAGGAGGAGAAGAAGATAAAATTCAACATGATTATTATCCAACTCCGTCCATAAGTTAAATTGAAAACTAAAAACAATTAGTTTGGGGATGGCCTGTAGACAAAGTCTAAGTTAAGATATAAATTTAGTACTGTTTTGAGAGATTGAACGGATGTGAAAAGCGAATTAAAAACATATTCAGACAAGAAGCCTGTCATAACAGCAATTACGAAGATTGAAATCGGTTCCTGACGAGCAAAAGGAAGTCTCAGAAGTGGCTCCTGAGATTTCAGAAAGCGATACTTGAAATGTATTTTCTGCAAGCATCACCCAAAACAAACATGCTGCGATACCCAAAACCTGGAAACCCCAGCTTAGCTCATCAGTAAATCATGTTGTTTAGTGTTTCTTCGGCTTTCGAGACAAATCAGAAATATATTGAAATGGATAGTTGTTTTCAAAGAGTTTGCTACAAATACAAATCTTCTTACTTACGATTTCAATCATTTTAAGATTTTAATCTCTGAATCAGACCTGATCCAGAAGAGGTGCAAGAAGCCCACACTATAATGGAGGTGGTGGGGAGGGGCGCAACTCCTATGCACGTATAAGGTTTTTCGCCCATCCTCTGGTTTCCTCTGATCGCACACCTACTTAGTAGACCTGCTTTCATCAGCTCGAGTTTGCCAAACTAGACCGAGCTCAAATTGGTCTGGTGAGGACGTAATTTCGAGCTTCGGTAAAATATACCGAGTCTGAAAATGGCGGGTTATTTGGCAAACTTGAACTTGAATCTGCAAATATTCAGAATTGAATGATATGTACTGTTAAACTAAGAAAACAACAATAACATGAACATTCAGCAGTAACCAGAAGAAAAGACAAAAAACAATCTCTATCTCTGAGGTTTCCTTTTTGCGTTTAAAACGGACTTTTATGAAATTGTTTCAAGACCACTCTTGATAGAATTTCTAAGTTATCGGGATGAAGTGTGTTTTAAAAAGCTGCTGATGGGCTGCAGAAATCTAGCAAAGGCAGCCTTTGGCGCATACTTTCCTGAGAAAGTAAACAACCTGAGACATCTGCATTCTTTAACCTTCTCAGGCTTATGACTGTAATCGAATCATAAACCGCTGTAAATCCCATAATGCCTGGGATTCGCTGATCCCCGTTTTCTGCCTAATGAAGACGTCTCGAATATCACTGCGAGGTGTTGGGGGACAGCGATTAATCTCGAGAGGCATGTTCAGGTTATTGTGTTCTTGATACTTTCTTCGAATCAAAAAGCAACCACGGTCCCGGGGTAGCTGGTTTCACAGGAATACACAAAAATAAGAGAAAGGGGTTTTAAATGTTTCAGACATTTACAACTAATAAAGAAGATTTGTCGTGGTCTAGTGGATACGTCACCGGACTGTGGATCAAATGGTTCGCTCTTTGAGTTTGAGTCCTGCCGCGGCATTAAAGTTTTTTGGCAAGACATTAATCTACACTCGAACCAGGTGAGGTAAATGGGCACCTAGAAGGAATTAATTCCTTGAAATGCTAGAGCACCACAATGGCAGCCATGCTAAACCCGGGATAATAACTGTGGAGCGCCAGGAGCGTCAAGTCTGTCAGATATGAGCGCTATACAAGAACACACCTTTATTATTATTTCTTGTTTTAAAATCATCATGACTTGTATTATTATTATTGTTATTCATGTTGTTATGGTGTTCCTCAAGGTTCAGTTTTAGGACCGGTATTGTTCTTACTTTATAAAAGAGTGTTAAAAGTTTATAACGTAAGTAATGAATGATAAGGCACATATAATTCCTTTGCAACTTCATGACCGAATCGCCAATTCGTCTTCATAAGATTACCCTAAATCTTCATCTCTTTAAAAAAGATTCATAACTCTCAGACGAAGTTGTCCAATTTCTTAGAAACTCTCATTAACCGGTTTCTCCTCATTCTACTTTTATTTCTTTTACTGGGAGACATTCCCAACCGTAAGTTCCTACCATACTTACTCCAGCATACGATTTAGAATATTTTATATCTGCCCCGAGTTCTCCTTTAAAAATGTAGCAAAAGAACAACGTTGCAAAGACGCCTTGCACCTTGTGTTTATCCCATAGTCCACAGCGAATTATCTTTTAGTTTAATCATTATGATTTAAATCGTCCGTCAGAAAATTGATCATCAAACCATCTTGTCGTGTGTTTGTCACGTACGCATGTTCACGTTTTTATAGATGGGGCTACATAAACTTTCATCTCCACAAAATGATGAATGATTAAAGAGGCCATTGCGAGCGTAGTTTTCGTTCGTTTAAATGGAGCCAAGCAATAAGCACTCAATTATTGATGGTCCTTCTATATTTGTTAGATTGTTTGTTTCCTTTTTAAAAATCAAGTATTCATGTCGGTACTAGTGTACAACATCCATACTAATAAGATGTAAATTCAAATCAAAAATTCATGTAACTTTATATATTGAAATTCCCTGCACGATCAGCAAATGCAAAATGGATTGTGGTGAATTTCCTGCCCGGATAGCAGAAGAAGTTGTATAGGTTTAAATCCCTCCTGGCTCGAAGATGTTTTTATGACTTGTCCTCTATTCATGTGCAGATTGTGCGGTTTGGGTACTGTATACGGTTTGGGCACTGTCCATTGTAGGAACAAAATATAGATATACAGAAGGAAAGGCCATTTTGTTTCATTTTTGTCCAGGTTGAATTGTCATGGAAATTGTTTACTCGCATGTGAGAAACTGCATATTATGTTCACGGTACACAATGTCATTGTGTCAACATTGAACGAGTGACACATGAATTATTGCTATGCATAAAGGTTGCCAGCTATACTGAATACAAGAAGAACAAAAATAATTGACTTGATTTTCGTCTCGTTCCTTTAATCTGTATAATTTACTTCTCGAAATTCTACTTTACAAACGAACTTAATAATATATCCATTGTTTTGTACACATTCAAAAGCCATGCTGATAAATTATTCAAAACCTTGAGTTAGCCGTTTGACTAAGTAACACCTCCACGCCGACTCCAACGATTCGATATTCGACAAAATATATTCTGCCATTCTGGATGATGTTATTGTCAGTTTCGTGTCAGTTTCATAGATGAGTTACCGGGGTATTAGCCGTCTGATTTGTACAGTTATCTGTTTATTTCATTTTTTTCATGTTTCTTCCGTTTCATATTTCTTCCACAGGGAACACAAAAGATCTGTATACCGTACAACTCGGCTAAGTCGATGTCAGTGAAAAGAATACTTGGGTAAGTAGTCGTGTAATAAATCCCTTCGTCGATCTCATACAAATAAAAATCATTCTGCCAATAAATAGGTACCCCTGAATAGAGTTCATGAAATACATCTCCTCGTGGCATTTTCGCTTTTACAGACGATATTACTTTAACCTAGGTTTAACCTAGTTCTTACATAAATTCAATTTTTATAGAAAATTCGCTCCTGAAAACAAGATTCTTCCAGATAAATTTGAGTACTGGTCATGCGATTGTATTTATTTGGAAAGGAATTATTTGGAAGTCCTTGGTTAAAGGTTGATTATAGGGTTCGTCACAATTGATGTATTGAATTATATTTTAAATGACCAAAATGAAAGGACATTGACTCCGTGTTGGAGAAAAATCACTTGTATTGCACACAAAAATCAGTATGGTACTTTACATATAAACTCTTTACATATAAACGCTCACACGCACACTGTCATATGGCATGAACGTTTGCCCCAAACTTTTCAGCTATTTTTCTTAACTTATGTCGATCTATGTGAGGAACAACCGAACTTCATTACTTACATTTGAAAAGAATGAAAAGCTCATTTAAATTAAGTGTCATCTCTACCAGAGCTCAATTTTCTCTTTAAGTCGCTATTTTTTGTCACGATCTTTCCTCGATGGAACGTTGGAAAATCGGGGAAGTACAAAATATATTGCTATTATGCTGTGATCATAATGTCAGAATGTTATTGGAATTAGTTTGATATTCAAGGAGACGCAGCTCATTTGTGATGAGCGCTTCGAAAAAACGTGCTGAGATCAAGGGTCCTGTTGCTAGGCAACCAACTTGTTGTGGAAAAGATGCAGAAAGAGATGATGAAAGGGATGATGAAAGAGATCACGCATGAGATGAACTGCACGAGCATAGCATGAACATGTCCAGAACATTAGGAAGAAGAGATATGAATATTATTTTACATATGGCCGTGACTGTCATCTTTGATGCTCCAAAAGCAAACACCTGTGAATATAAATTTTGGTATATGACAGGCTGAAAATATTTAAGTTCCCTTCTAAGGACATTATGGCACATAAAAATGGTTGAAGAGCCAACTCGAGTAGATAGGAAGGTGGCCACAAGGAGGTAAGTCGCCACAAATGTGTCTACCAAAGAGAAAATATTTAAAAAATCCCATAGAGAAATCAAAATACAAGCTACATGCCACACCCACCTTCCCCTTCTCCCCTCACTGGTTCAACACGGCAACACATCTTCGCTAGGCGCTTTTAGGTGATGCTTGAACTATATCAAATTGCATTCCCTAACTTGTGCTCGTGCATTTCAGCAAACTCACTTGCTAAATAATGGAAGCTTTCAACTCATACAAATGGCGACAATAACATAAGGGTAATAAAACAGGTATTGGCTTTAAATGTTCGTATAACATAACAATTATGGCAAAATGAACAATGATAAACATGGCAACATCTTGTTCATAAAATGATAAAATGCCGGTAGTGCCGTCGCATCAGTGTTAAAAAAAAAAAAATCGTTCCGATTTGTTTCCCTTTTTTGGCACTCTTGTCATGACATTGCATGCTCTAAGGCCTCTCCGATCATGATCATTATCATCCTGACCCATGAAATATCTTTTAACGCATCCTCTTCTCAAAAATCATGATATTTGTTAATTATTCACATGCTAATCATATTTTTGCATTGTCCTCTGAAAACCTTTAACATTTGCAAGCGAAAAGCACTGACGTAGATTTTTCTTTAACAACCACAGCTGCAGTTCTGTGTAGGTTGATTTTTCAACAAAAAAAAACTTAAAATTTGCAAACGTTAATCAATTTAGATAGATTGCTCTCTGCCTATAATCATGTTTATATTAACGCGAAAATTCCCTTGGCGCATTACATTCTAATATCACTAAGAAGCTCTGCTAGTGATAATGGAAGACTATTGGCAAAGTTAAAATGAATCTCTTAAGGTGTAAATGAAATTAGAGTACTATTTTATATGCAATGAATTCATCTCGAATGCATGTCAAATTAATGATGGAAAAGGTCGTGATGCAGAAATCTGACAATCGAACCCAAGGGACAAAACGTATAACTATTTACCTTAAATTGAGATGCATTTATGAGAAAGATTTATGTAGATATATGTATAAATACATTGAAAGCAATCACAGTTAGTATAATGGCTCCTAAGGGTTCAATGAAAGCATGAGATGTTTACCGTTTAGATGCCACTTAAGAATAATTTGATTATTAATATGCAAATCTTCACGTTGGATATTATTTATCTTCCTCTTTAACTTGATGATGGGTGCCTATAACGGTCCATAGATTTAAATGTTGTTTGCGACGAAGATGAATTATCCCTGGTATTACTGATGATGATAAATGGCTTGTATTTTTCGAAAGATTTAAAGATGTACACCCACGTACCTTCTTCCGTAAGCTATATTTCGTATATTAAGATGATAGTCACAAACGATGATCCATGATCGTCTCTTAAGTGTCATTAAATCTTAGCACATCAATTTAAAAGTATTTTTGTTATATCGAATTATGTCACAACGAATTGATTGATATACATGCATTTATAATAGCTGATATAGACGATCATATTATATGTATATATAGTAAATCATAAATAGTAAATCATTTAATGTTATGCTTGTGCTTTTAATACGCAGCCGATTCAACATCAAATCAGAGAAGTCACCAAAGGAAATCTACACACCAGACATTCAAAAGGTAACATTTCTCTTTCATGCAGTTCTCTTTTCTGTTCATTCACATAATTTCTTCAACGTCATTTCACATAACAATACAAAAATGTCCCGCATTCGTTTTAATAACTAACGAGTAGGCTCCCAAAACCAGATTGGATCCAAAAGCCAGATCAAAGAGACCCGAAAGCATCGGTCTGTAGGACGTTTTTACAACTAGTCAGAGGGTCCAGGAGACGGAAGGTGTCTCTCCATTAGTCTAGTGATTCGTGAGACCGAAGCATTCGGTCTCGAGGGCCTCTGGGTGAGGGAGGGAGGGGGGGGGGGTGTTTCACAAAGATCCCGCTAAGTTGAACTTATCTCTAAAAATGATCATGGCCCGACTGGAGATGGACTTAACAATTATAGAAAGCCGCTAGCATCTTTGAAAATATTTTGTAAAAGAAGCTTTAAAAGGCAAAAAATGCAGTTTCAAGTAATTTATATTTTCTAATATAAATGAGATTTCATGTGCTTAATGTGGAATTTATGAAAAGTTATAAAAATTCTAAAATACTTGACTTTTTGCTTTTGAATATATTTCATTTCAACGCTACAAATAGCTATCCATAATGTTAATTTAACTCCAAGTCCAACTTGGAGTTAAATTAGACTGTGAAACACCCCATGGTTTCATAAAACTACGGTACACTGTATAATGCGGGAAAGACTTAACTATCTTACAACAAAGAATAATAATAATCATCTATTCGCCATTTTATCGAGTATCTTTTATTCATGGCGATGTTCTTTTGTTACTAATTTTGTGTCTCACAGGAGCTACTGCTGTTGGAAGAGCAAGAGGGGTCAGTGAACTTCAAGTTCGGTGTTCTCTATGCGAAGAACGGTCAGAAATCAGATGACGAAATGTTCAGCAATGGTAGGCCATTCATTGCGCTAAGAACCGCAGTTTTACTTTGTTCTGCTTGATTTTTCTCTATATATCTTCTCTTCTCCTTCTTTTTCTGTCTCTTACTCTCTCTCTCTCTCTCTATCTCTCTCTCTCTCTTTCTCTCTCTTTCTCCCCCCCTCTCTCTCTCCTCAAATGATATATAGGTGAAGAAGAAAAAACTGTTTCATCATTTAATCTTTGCCTGCTATTTTTTGTCAACCGCCGCAGGACTAGTTTTGCTTATATGCAATATTAACATATATACAAATAATCATTTAACTAGTAAACATTTGAAAAGGTGTGTACATGTAACTGGTAACTTAGTTTAGTATCTCATATCTAGATGTAATTTTCCTTGCAGCCATGAGTTGTCCCTCTGTTTACTAAACTGTTGGATAATCTATAGAGTATTCTTCCTTTGGGATCTACACTACGTTTCTGTATTTTAAATACCTCAGTAAACTGGTCTTTTTGGCCCGTGGCGTTGCCTAAGCCAATCATAATTATGTGCATGAATAATCGAATGATACTTGATCGATTTTTGTTCACACCTTGTTCCTCCCTTGCAGAGCATGGATCAGAGGCCTTCCGGAAGTTGGTTTCTCTCTTGGGCGAGACCATTACACTCAAGGGGTGGGACAAGTTCAACGGCGGTCTCGACGTCAAAAGTAAGAAACTGTTATAGTCTAACATTTTTTATGTAAACAAGTTCAGTTTCGTGGTGCAGCTCGATTAAACACGATTTGCAATCCCGGCGTGAATTGCACTTAGATTGTTTCTTAGGCGAGTTTATTGCTCGGGACTGTTTTAGTTTGTTTTTTTTTTGGGGGGGGGGGGGCGAGACCATAAAAAGGGGTATGACAAGTGTAGAGGCAGAACTAGTTGCATGTACGTCAACAATGTTCTCATATTCAAAAAGTGTTCTTTGTTATCCCGATGAACAAATATTATCAATTCCATCATGAACAGCAGTTGGTATGTTTCTTGGGCGAGCTTATTCCTCGGGACTATTTTAGTTTGTTTTTTTCTTGGGTGAGACCATTTCAGTTGATTTCTTTCTTTGGCGAAACCGTTTCAATCAAGGGATGGTACAAGTTCAAGAGCGGTGCCGACTTAGAAAATGAGCACTAATACTATTTCGAGTCGTTAACGCTGTCATTATTAGGATCGGACCATACTAGATGCTTTACCGTTTCACCTTATACCCAGGGCCAGTTTTTAATGATCTCAACTTTTATGAAAAGTTGTTTGTTGAGTAAGGGTTGAATGTCGCTATACTGTATTCAAAATATAAGCTATAAATATTACTTCTACAAAGAGGTATTGCAATCTAAATACTCTCTCAGTAAACAAGAATTCGTATTGTTGAGTATATAACGCACCGTACACAACTGCTTAGAAAAGGGCGCGCGCGGAACCCAAGTTAAGGCCGGCTTCCGCAACCAACATGGCCAGCTTCTCACCACAGCTTGGTGCCCAATATGGAAACCAAGTTGTATACCGATATTGAATCGGCATCTTTTTATGTCACCACCCCTTCCATTCGTGATTGAGATTTGTTTGTAATTGGCGACTAGAAAACGACGCCAGAGGCATACAGGTTCATGCATCTTAATCTCGTGTATAAAAGCATACTTCGAAGCGGTGAAAAATTGATCGGCTAATGGATGTTACCTAAGGAAATGCAGAGCATTGAGACTGAGGCAAATGTCAGATATAGGGTGAGGAGTAAAACCTCCTGACCGCTATCTACCGAATTTTGTTAAGGCTATAAAAAGTTCAAGTGATATATAAATCACAACATTTCCCCTTATGATCGGAGTAAAGAAAATCATTGATTGACCACGGAGGAATTCCAGGCTTCGTGATGTTGTGGATGTCGTAAACAGGTAGAGATTCATCCATTCCCAGTGCTTCTCTCGGTCGCTCTGCTATCTCTCTCTCTCTCTCTCTCTCTCTCTCTCTCTCCCTCTCCCTCCCTCTCTTCAATTAGTCTCAAATTATCTTCTTTTAGTCGTCTGCGGTGCTCTCCCTTGTGGTACACCACCTAATCAATATTTTCTCAATTCATGAAAGATCGATCCCCCTCCTTTCAAATCGCCTCATTGCCCATTACCCCTCCTCACCACCCTGTTAACCCATCGTTTCCTCCGCTTTGTCACCTTGATATGCATTTCTCATCTCATCTCATCCCAGTCTTTCCTTGATCACCCTTTTTCTCTCCACATATATGTATCTTACTTTCTTTCTCTTTCTCTCTATTACTTTCTTTGTCTTTCTCTCTCTTTCTTTCTCTATTTATTGATCCCTATCTTTCTATATCTAACTCCCCCCATATCTCTCTCTCTCTCTCTTCCTCTCTCTTCCTTTCCCATACCATCTCCCATTTTGCCTCCCCTCCCCCTTATGACTCTCCTCCCCCTCTTCGATCACACCCCTCCACTCTCTCTCTCTCTCTCTCTCTCTCTCTCTCTCTCTCTCTCTCTTTTCATTCACTTTTTCCCTCCAGGTCCTTGGTATCTTTCATTAATCACCCTTCGTACCTTGCCGGAAGACCCTCTATCTCTCTCTGTCTCTTTGTGGCGTCCCATTTCTCCGTCTCCATATCCCTCTTTTCATCTCTCCACTTTCTATCTCTCCATTAGCATTTACCCTCAAATATATCCCGCTCAATAGTCCTACTTTGCTCTCGTTGTCTAGCTCCCACGCTCTCCTTCTCTTTCTTTTCCTTCCTCCTTTTTCTCCCATTCCACCTCCCTTTTTCTCTACTTTTCCATCTCCCTCTCTCCGTCTCCATATCTCTCTTTTCATCTCCTTATTTTCTTCCTCTCTGTACCTTTCCACATTCCATTTAGGCCTACTTATGGTCACCCACCTCCTCCCAAATCTAAGTTTACACTTTCATCGTACACCGGTCATACTGTACCATGTATATTTTGTCAAAAGACACAATCAATCTCCCCCCCCCCCCCTCTCCCTCTCTCTCTCTCTCTCTCTCTCTCTCTCTCTCTCCCTCTCTCTCTCTATATATATTTCAATCTATCTATCAATCTATCTCTCCCTCTCTTTCCCTTTCATTTCTTTTTCCCTTCCTACTCCTGCCTCCTTGGTTACTTTCATAAATCGCTCGATACTCTGCCGGAAGACCCAATCGACTGGAATTCAGGAGCATCGACTGCCATGTTTACTAGCATCGGTCATGACCGGATACTCCCGATCAATCTTGCTCTGTGCTATTATGCGTAAATAGAGCGGTGTAGAGCGGTGTCACATCGCTGCCCCCTTGGTGTTCAACGATCGTCTATTCCTCTATCTAGGCTGCTATTTCATGCCCTGGAAGCAGCGAAGCGGAATAGGTTGTTCTTCAATTCTGAAAAGTAAATTTTCAAGTTGGAGTCCCTTTTAATGGCAGAAACTCAAATATAGACAAGAAGTGAAGACAATTAAATATATAAAGAAAATTACAATAACTTTATAATCTTCTGTTCAGGCGGCATATGATGTGCCTTTTCAAGCAGGTGATTTACTTTCTTACAGCATTGTTTTTTATCCTACACTTGAAAGGATCAGTACGTTGTGTCTCTTGGATGGAAAAAGGAAAGACAAAAACAAAATTTACAATGTTCATCGATCGAGGTGAAATGTATATCTCAATACCATACACATAGGCCTATACGCTTTCAGTGTGCGTGTGGAGATCGAATACGATCTCATCAATCATAACATTGATGAGCAGTTTGCCATCGGCCCATCCTGGTGTCTGCAGCAAACCCCAGATGGTTGTCTTTGGGAGAACTTGGTAATCATATTACAATGTAGCTCCTCGCGGGGACGTGAAAGGATATATCTCCTAAAAAACACGAGCATACATGTATTTTATTTAGAAATAAATAAGGATTTTGCCATTTGATCTGCATGCCAGATGCCACGGAAATTTGTCAACTCTAAAACGGTGAACAACCGTCAGCACTATTTATCGAATACAGGATTTTTTGTTTCTTTCTCCTGCCCCAAAAAGGAATAACAAAGGGTAGGGGGAGGCATAAGAGGACATTTTTTTTTTTTTTTTGGCCTCGAAATTTGAAAATTTGACATTTTGCTCCGTTGGGGGGGGGGGGGTAAGGTCACCTTTTTTAGGTCAGCCATGGGAATATTTTTATTTTTTTTATTATTATTATTAATTTTTGTTTTGTTAAATAATTTTTTTTTTTTAAACCCAAAGGGGGGGGGGGGGGGGGGTTTGGGATTTTTTTTTAGGGGGGGGGTTTATACACGTACAAATTTCAAGGAGGGGGTGTTAACCCCCAAAACACCCCCTGCGTACGCGCCTGTCTTCAGCATGTCTTCATGAAGTCAATGAGTGTTCTTTAAATTTTTGTTAATTTATGAGTAAATATATCTTTTTATTTAATTTTCTCACCATTTTTTTAAATTTTACTTTATTTTAATTTTTATTCATTTATATCATTGTTTATTTATTTATTCAGTAATTTTCTTTATTCATTAATTTATGTCATTGTTTATGAATTTTATTAAGTAATATTCTTTATTCATTCATTTATTTAATGATCTACTTATCTATTTACTCATTTTTCTATTCATGTATATATTCAATTAATAGCTTTTAATTAAAGTTTGTATTAACTATTCATTAATTTCTTCATTTCTTTCGTAATTCATTCATTTATTTACTGATGTATTTGATTGTTTCTTCCAGACAACACCACGGGTACAGAATCAATCTACACTATGTACGAGGGACATGAGGTTATGTTTCACGTATCTACCTCGCTGCCTTATTCCAAAGATAACAAACAACAGGTACATTAGTAATTACATTTGAATTGATTCTTCTTTCCATTGCTCTTCAAAGAATATCTTAAAACACACTTTTCCAATTCTTCTTAAAGATAAAGGTGAGTTCTGGTAATGCGATTGCATTGTGAAAGAAAATGTGTGGAATGGATCAGAAAAAGTTGATCATGTAGCATGTAAGTATTGGTGTGTACTGCAAGGTTCTGGAGTCATCAAAATCATAATAAACTTGTCCCAGTCTTGGTAAAGAAACAAGCACTGTACACATAAGGATGTATATGGGACAACACAAATGGTGTCGAGGCTACTATACCTTGATTTCCTTATCTTTCTATGCTCATTTCTCAGCCAGTATACATTTTCTTCCAAAATTGCTCGGCACATGACATTTATTTGTAATCTTGAACATTCAGTGTAAGTTTCGTTAGATTCTGTGAGAATTCATTTTCTTTTTTTACCAGAACTCAAGTTTATCTTTAATTTGTCCTTACACTAAGGGACTTGTATCTTCTGGAAAACCCGCTATATCAATCCAATAACTATCATCATTATCATTAGTAGTATCTATACCGGTCATATACAATGATGAACATAATCATAGCAAAACATGATTCGCATTCCAATTATGTATTACAAAAACATTTAAAAACATTTGGGTAATCACAAACCATTTTTTCCGGAAGTTCTTTTTTTTAAATTTTGTTCGTGTAATATATCTTTCCTTATCATAAGATGATTTAATTTGCCAGCATAATATTATTCTTCAAAAAATGGTATCTGGTGATAATCTTGCTGATTTCACCAACGCGATTGAGGAAAAAATCAATGGCAATTTCAATACCCAAATGTTTTGCCTGTAGAAATGTTAGACTCATGTATTATCTGATTCTAAAGTTTGGACGTTACAAAGGGTGATGCAAAGAGCTTTAGAAAATGCTCTATTTTATTTATTTATTTTTTTTTCTTTTTCGATTGTGATCAAGTTTTGTCAATGCTACACCATTTCAATAAAGTTGTTTTCTTCTCATAATCCGTATTTTGCAGGTCGAGAGAAAACGACATGTTGGTAATGATATCGTAACTATTGTCTTCATGGATGCCGAAGACCCGGAAGATGAAGTCTTCTTCAAGCCTTCGATGATCAGGTCACACTTCACACGTATCCTTTGACCTATGACCCCACATTTGTATTTTTATCTTTTATTTTTATTGATATATTGATTGATGCATTTATGTATTTATCCATCTTTTAAATTGTATTATTATTGTTTATTATTGTTTATCATTTTCTCATTTTTTGCCTGTCAGTGTCAGAATATCGGGAAGATATATATATATATATATATTTTAAGTTTGTTGTTGTTGAGGATGGACGGCCACAGAAAGAGGAGGCTCAGGTCTTAAAAGTATATTACAAACCTCCCAAACGAGGCTATCATATTTTCTACACCCCCCCCCCCTCTTAGTATGCCCCAAAATCGCCTTCTCCCTCTATTTCCGCCCCAGTTGAAGATGGTCTGGCTCTATACAAGTTTTCTGTTTGTGATATTGTTTACCAAAGTTTGTCTCTATGTCCTCAATTGTTGTCCCCCTGTCAAGATATATATCAATCAGGGGATAACATTCCGTGCAGTATAATCACTCAAAGTTATAAAGAGCTGTAATCAGATAAAGAAAAACATGAAAAAATCGATCTTATTTACTGGGTGTAAGCCACACATATTATGTTTAAATAATTGAAATTCCTCCCAGGAAGCATAACATTTATAAAAGAAAAACATGTTGTTTACAGAAAAATGGCCCCACGCTAATATCCTGCAAATAATCAAACAATTACTTAAGAAACCCAGAATAAAATACATTTTTCATTTGGAATGAGTTTTCGCATTGGATTAAGGTCCGAATTGATTGGAAGTATTAGACTGTATAAACACAAAAACATCTCAGACACAGTGATAGCAAGATTATGTATTGTCAGGTCTAGCAAATACAAAAATATATTAACAATTCTATTAACATGATTAAGCTCCTTCAAATTGGAAAACAGGTTGAAATATGGTAGGAGTTAAAATTTTCTATAGTTGTGATCAACAAATTCGTTAACAATAAAATCCGCATACGTCTCTGTACGACAAATTAAAACAGGATTAGACTTACCTTTGTATTATCTGATATCACCTATTCCTCACTGCGTTAATGAATAGAAGTAGAATAGAGTAATGACGATAATTCATATCCATTCCAGGGGATGATCAAGGCACCTAAAGTTAGGACTTGGTTTTATCTAAGCTGCCTTGGGTTGCTGAAGGCAATCAAGGAAATACTTTCTATCAGGTGATTATTTACTACACCTGGATTCAGAGAGGCAAGTGTAGACCAATGTCTTGGTAAAGATTATTCAGACACATGCATGAGACTTAAACCGGTGATATACCATTCGACTAGATGAAGCGACTGGCTAGAGCACGAGGCCTTTAACTTAAATTTTGTTTACAGATTTTTAAAGTTCATAATCTGTTTCAGAGGAAAGATGACTTATTTGATGAATATTCCTTGACGATGACTTTTTATAAAAACAGACATATTTGCATTGGTAACATACAACAAGAACGAAGATACTTATAGGTAAGCTTATTATGTAGATTACAAATCTGTTTTTCTTCTTTTTTTTAATGGCAAAGTATATACTAGTTAATACTTTTCTTAATAACAAAATCCTTCATAATCTTAGCTGTCATGTTTGTATTACTACTGCAAAATTATTTAGGTTAAGGTCCATTTCATTTCTCATTATACAAATATGTATATATATTTCGCATTACTTGAAACAAGTTTTTTTGTTAAGTCAAGTGGAAGACAAAGACTTTCGGGAAAAAAAAACTAAGGCGATTTCAGTAGCCTTGTACGATTGTTTGTCTCTGCGAACATTAGAATGACACGTTACGTTATATGAATCTGATTTCCAACCACAATCCTTCAAGTTATCAAAATTACCCTATCAGTCATGTATTTATACGTGTTTTGTTTTTTGATATGTTTTTTTTAAATTTGATTATTTTGTTTACTTATTTCTTTGTTTATTTGTTTGTTTGTAGGTTACGAGTGTACTCTGAAGAGTCAGTGCCTTTATTTGGTCCACCGCTGCCTGCCCCTGCTGTGTTCGACGATCACCGGGCTTTCCGAGATTTCCTGCTCGTCAAACGTAAGCTAAGGATCCCCCTTTGGGAGTGGGGGGGGGGGGGGGGGAGGGGGGCTTACATGAAGAAAAAAATAATAGTTGTTACGCTGAAATGTTTATCTAACCCTTCCTGAATTGTTGTCATTACTATTTAACCATTTATTATGATTTATCCGGGTTTTTTTCCACCTATCCAAGAACCGATTAGAATGGCATAGAACATCGAGTTATAGTAATATTGCAATCAACCTCTAATGTGAGACAGTATACCACGATAGAAAAGAGACACATACTACAACTACGATTATTACTACTACTACTACTACTATACTACTACTTCTACTACTATTACTACTACTACTATTACTACTTCTACTACTACTACTACTACTACTACTAATATTATTATTATTATTATTATTACTACTACTACTACTGCTAGTGTTACTACAACTACTACTACTACTACTACTACTACTACTACTACTACTATTACCACTACTACTACTACTACTACTACTTCTACTACTACTATTATTACTACTACTACTATTACAACTACAAAGACTACTACAACATCTACAACAACAACTACCACTACTGCTGCTGCTACTACATCTACAACAACAACTACTACTACTACTACTACTACTACTACTACTATTACTACTACTACTACTACTACTACTACTACTACTACTACTACTACTACTTCTACTATTACTACCTGATCACTACATGTACTCATAATAATACTATACCACTCCTAGACCAATATCGTTCTTATTCATATAGGCCAAGCTAGTTCCAGATATGAAATAATGAATTCCACAGTAATTAACCAAACAAAAAGTCGTAGGTTTCGAAGTACAATCAGTGTGTCTCTTCTGTACTACCAAGTGTCCCCTTAAGGTTGTGTTAATATCTTTCATTTGATTTCACCCGCAGTCATTAACGGGGAAAAAGCTGCCTTCAACACGCCTATCTTTGCCAACAAGCGCCAACGAACATTGGAAATGCTTATCAAAAACCTGCAACAAGATATGATGCAAGAGACGAATAAGGTATGAAGCCAGGTCTAACACTTCGAATGCTTTCTACGCCTCATTACACAGTCGCCTGTCTGCCACACGTCTAATTTTGCACAAAACGACAGGCACCAATAGACAAAAGGATTGCTTTGTACTACACAATGGCTTCCCCAAATGATCTACTTCCGGTCTTGATGGTACCCCTTTAAATATCGCACCCCGTCGTATGAAGAGTTGAAATTGATCGCAACTTATTTGCGATTGATATCGATCGCAAATATTATGTACATAAGAGAAAGTGGACTGCAAACTTGCGACTGATTAGAGGACTTTCGATTGATTCGGATCAATCGCAACTCTTTGAAAGACAGGGCCCAGTATAGATTACAATTGCACTGGAAACAGTGAAACAATCTTGAAGCCTTTGGTATATCAATCCGTGATAAATACAATGTGGCACAGGGCAGTGTGGCATATAAAGAGTTAGATATTTGTAGAGAAATCGGATACTTCGCATTTTTTACCCCTCGTTCATTATAATAAATACACTCCATGTTTTAACCTCCGATATGATAGGAGTTATTGATTTGTGTTTCGGGAAAACCATCACAACGATTTAAACGCATAACTGGGATGTGCGTTTATGTAGATCACTTTACGGACTCACCATTAATCATCATTAATTATCATCATTTCTTGTTCTGTTCTAGTTAGAGTGTTGTGAGTTACTGATATTCTTAGGTTTTTAACTAATGTGTCAATCGTGTATCTACAGCGGTTAAGATGAGAATGGTGATGAATATTCTATCCAGCGCTGCTTCTCTAATTTAATTTCCGGTATTGTTAAAAAGGTTTGGGACAGGACAGTTGCAAAAGCCGTCTCAGGTTATACTGAAGCCCTATACCAAGCTACATTGTACATGAATATTCCTGATGCAATCAAGATACACGATTCGGTTTGTCGATAAAAAGAGAAACCTTACCCTGGCTGTCTTTATTACTAAGATTAATGAAGAAATCAGTTTGAGGGACTATGTTTTTAATCTTGTTCCTTTTCTGTCTGTGATTTTCATCAGCAAAACATGCTGAACAAGAGGTCATTCAGTGACGTCATCCCTGACCCCGTCTGGGGCTGGAGAAGTAAGAAAGAAGAAGCCAGACAAGCAGAGTTTGTCAAGATCGGACAGGTCAGTGACTTGAGGAGAGAGAAAGGGAGAGAGTGGTGGGGGGAGAGTGTGAGAGAGGGGTCAAAGTGAGTGAAAAAGAGAGAGAGAGAGAGAGAGAGAGAGAGAGAGAGAAAGTCTTGGGGACGGGGACAATAAGAGCGAGAGAGAGAGAGAGAGAGTCTTGGGGAGATGGGATCAACAAGCGTGAGAAGGAGTAAGAGAAAGAAAGACAGAGAGGGAGGGAGAGGGAGAAAGGAAATAGAAAGAGGGTGTGAATGCCAAGATACAGAGAGATTGGTAGTGAAAGAGAGGACAAATTATGTTATTTCGTAGTCTTTTAGAGCCCTTAAATATCCATTTTCTATCTATTAACATTTTGAAATTGCACGAAGTGGTCCTATGATAAAATAAATAGCATAAATGATATGAAGATAGCTTATAGACCAATGCGGGATGCCGATAACAAGTAAGTTCTTTGTGCCATAACTAATGTTTCTCTTTTTTAAAAAGCAGTCTTTCTTTTTTTAAATTTCTTATCAGATTCTTAAACTCAAAACTATCGTGAAGGGGGATGCCCCCACAAGCCTTGCATCGACGAGTTTACTCAAAAGAGAGGTAAGATTATTAAGATTATGACGGTGAAATTCAATAATTCTCTCTTTATTGTTTCTTTCCCTATCTCTCTCTACTATCATTTACCTCTCTTTTTTTCTTTCTTTTATACGAATGTTAAGTACCAATTATTCGCCACCCGTTGCCCTACATTCGAAGCCTATATTGTTATTTTGTGTGGAGGTGCTTTTCTTTCTCTTTTTCCCCCTTCTTTTTCAGCTGTGGTCTTTCTCAACATTAATGTGTGTTTTTTTTTCTCTCTTTTCCTTTTTCCTCTTTTCGTTCGATTTTTACATTTCCGTCCGATAAATATCTTCTCTTGTCTGCACTACTACTAAAGCCTCTAACACAAGCTTCAATCTTTATAATTTACAGAATTCGAATAATGAAAACCTTTAAAAAAAAAAATTAAAAAAATTAATTTTATTTTTGGTTCTCTCTACTTCAGCCTTGGGAACCGCAATGCATCCAGAATGACTTTCTGTTCGAGATTGTTTGCGGAGATTCATGGGGTATGTTTATAGTTTCAGCTTTCATTCATAATAAGTATTCTATCCGTTCCGAAGATACTGTTTTTGTAATAGAGTTGGATTCGTACTTCCAAAAATGGAACATATTGCATTAATTGCGTTGGTTCATAATCATTCCGAAAATGAAATCGTCCACTGCATCGTTTTCTTAATATTGCGAACCTATGTAACAAAAATAAGCAAAACATGTCTTAAGGAAATAGTAAAGTATTGTTAAATTTCCTATTTAATTTTCGGAATTATGAACCTTCGCAAAAACGAGCGCCTGTCGTCATAACGTACAACCTGTCTCCGAATAATCATCCTTGGGTTCTAGAGTGTGGAATACAATAAGTTGAAACAAATATATATCAACATGTCTTATCATCTATGTCAGTTCTAAAAGCTTTGTGAAATGTCCTATTGATTTAAAAACTTCTATAGAATGATAATAGTTGAGAGTTTTAAAATCCTCAATCCAAATTCTTAAATAATCTTTGGTGGTTCTAAAGAAATGTTTTCCAAGAAATTAAAATTTCAACTAACTTTCCAATTTATTGGTCAATTAAACGAGCTGTTTTACTTTTGTAAATTACATTTTCGACCAGACGATCTTCTAAACGGAACTTGTGTGAGCGGTCGTAATATGAAACCTAGCATGTGCCCAAATGCTACTTTGTTAATGAAAAAAACAAACTCTTTTGATTCTCTTCGAGTCAGGTTTCCTAAAAAAAATGTTATCTTTCATCACTGATAAAATATCTTAGCTCATGTCTAGCCTTGAAACATTGTGCATCTCTGAAACATGAAAGATATCATTTTAATGGATTTTTGACATTCGCTGGAGGAAATGTCAAAATTTGTCTCGTTGTTTCCCTCTTCAGGGGACAAGCTGATAGTTGGAACGGAATCAGGGGTCTTCATAATCGAGGGTAAGTGAAGCTTATTTGTCTCATTTTGAAACATAATATCACCCAGAAATCTTAGGAAGCGACGTGCAGAGACGTCTTAATGAAGAATTTTTGCTGGGAGTTACAGCAAATTGTAGTTCTTAAAGGAGATTCCCTGTTATTGTCTAGTTTGATTTCATGCGAAGTCTGTATCATAATTAGACCAACAAACTCTTTGCCTCTAATAATAATAATAATACATAACATTTATTAGGCGCTTAATACTGATGTTTCTAAGCGCACAGTGTTCTGATTAAGAGAAGACTATAACCCGTAGAATTAAATTAGAAGAAAAAGCAAAAATACAAAAGTAACATAGATAAGGTAAGAAAAACAGTGGCAATCAACTAAATAAAGACAAATATGGTGCGCACCTCCATTGACCGACGCACAACTGCAATTTACAATTTGAAAAGATAGGTTTTGAGTAGAGATTTGAATTGAGATACAGAGGGGGCGCAGTGAATAAAGGCGGGCAGTTTGTTCCAGAGAGCGGGGGCAATAACTGAAAAGGCGCGGTCACCATACCGGGTGTTAGTGCGGGGTCCAGGTGTTAACAGTAATGTGGAAGATGAACGAAGTGTTCGTGACGACGTACGGGAACGTAAGGATATGAGATCGGAAAGGTAAGAGGGGGCTAAGCCATTGATAGCTTTGTAGCACAGGAGAAGAATTTTGAAGGATATGCGGTGGTGAATTTTAAGCCAATGTAGTGAGTTCAATATTGGAGTTATGTGCTCTGATTTACGCGAGAGAGTCACAAGCCGAGCAGCGCTATTCTGTACCCTTTGAAGTGGGCCTCTAAATACACTACACACATTTAATGATTCTTTAAATCAAAAAAATTCAAAAGGGTCTATCCTTAGAAGGCAAGTCCACCCTGGTATTAAGTTATTCTTAAAAGAAACCGATAAATAAAAGAAACGGGTTAGTGAAAGTTTGAGCAGAAACTGGTTACAAATAAGAAGATTGTGAATGTTTGAAGTTGCAATTAATCAAACACAAATGGGCGAATCTGACGTTACTTGCGAGGTCCCCTCCCATTTGGCCTATACTAATAAACTTCATAAAAACTTAACTTTCAATCATACATTTACCCTATATATAACTATCGCAAATTTGTATTTTATACAACCCTTGTATTGAATAAAAAATAAATCCGTCATCAAGAAAATTAAAGTTTATGATTTTTGTTTGTACAGAGCAAAGGAAGAGGAAATAGGAAAGGAGCTCGCAAGATATGTCACTGTGTTAACAATTTGTGTTTCACTGATGACAATAATTCATAACTTTCCTATTTTCAATCGGATATTGGTAAACGTTTCACTAATAAAGTTGTTTCTGTCATATTTCTGCTTTTATTAAAACCAACTTAGTTATATGGATGGACTCTCCATCAAATCGGGCCTTAATATTCTCGCGGAACCTATCGATCAAACATGGTTTAGAATACGATTTTCAAAGTAGTCGTTCTCCTAAACGCAACCTTCTAATGTGATAAACTAAACGATGTTGTGTTATGCATGCACTAAGTTTGAGAAGGGTGTATGATTCGACCATTTTTCTGTTTTCTTCGGTATTCCCCTTTAAAAAAAAGTTAGAGTCTTTTTCTGTTTTTAAACATGAACTACTTCCATCTTTGTTACAGAGGGGCTAAGTCCTCGCATGATCTTCGATAAGACGGTGGCTTTCAAACAGCTCAGCGTGGTAGAAGCTCATGGGCTATTATTAGCCCGAGCAGACAAAGGTAACCATAGTAACTATATTCTAATTCTATGGCTCTGTGAAGTTTCAATAATAGGACAATTGACAAAGAAAAAAGGTGATTTATTACATCTGCAGGTGCCTCCTGTGTCAAACAATTGCTTTGTGTACTGCAAGTATAGTTTGAAGTAGGGTAGTAGTTGAAAGTAATCAAGGGTTTACTCTTCTAGTAGAAGAGTTTTTTTTAATTTTTGTTTTAATGAAATGATTTATCAACTACATTTTTAGTTTTAAGGTATCATTATTTAATTGATTTATATTTAGATATGATTACATATGGTTTTTGTTTTACTTTTTAAAATGATATATATATGTACCGAGTTTGTATATTACTTTCTATTAAGTTGAAAAATACAGAAAGAAAATCAAATAAACAAACAAAATTTGTTTGATCACGTGATGTGCTATGGGCGTTTCAGCGTACAAATAATTCGAGGGATATCGTCTTTTTTTCTGTCGCAGCAGCGGGCATGTCGTGTGCAATTATGTCATAAAAGACATGTTGTCTGCGTTTGGTGCAGTTCAATACCGGAATTGCCGCTGTCTCTTAATTTGATATCGTGGTATTATTTTCCTCTTTAGGCAAAGATGGTCGGATCTATGTCTTCAGATTATCAGACTTTGAAGGGCAGGAGAATGAGAGCTTGATCAGAACAAAGTCCGACTGTAGGAATCACAAGATCGAGAGATCGAAAGGTAAGCACATCGGACGTAATACATATTTCAACAATCTGAAGGTTAATAAACGTTGGTGCTTCCCACTTTTATAAATACTTGCACCCCATAAAAATGTTGTCTACATGACAGAAGTGAGAATGTATTCTTTTTCTTTTCCAATTAATGTCAGTCGTTCACTTTCTCTTCCTCATTTGTATAAGTTGTCGGATTAAAAGAGCAAGTAATAATGAAATTGAATATGGTTTTGGTAGCTCGTAACGTTTCTAAAGATTTACGATGAATGATCATTTGTTCATCCTTATACAGTTTATGTATGTCGATTGAAAGTGTACTTAAATGTAATCGTGAGTCCTTGTAATTACGGAAAAATAACTAACAACAAAATCAAACAAAAGTTATGACACTGAATGTTCAAGAGTACAAATTAATGATAGGGCCTATCTGCTACACTATTTTAAGAAGATGTAGGCCTATAATTGCTAAATAATGAGAAATGTAAGAAAAATATCGACATCACTTTTCTGACAACAAATGGCTCATGTATAACATGCGGGCTCATTATCATTGAATACAATATTGTGTGGTTCTCAGTGAATGTGATTTTCAGTGAGATTTGTTCATTTACTTAATTGTTTGTTTCTCTCCTGGCCATTTCAATCAATCTAATGCGCAACAAACAATTCAAAATCACTTTAACCCAGTCGTAAATGCAAGTCCATTACCATAACGCAAGATCATCTGTATCACAATGCTTTTATTTAAACATTTATTTTGTTTTTATTTTTTATTTTTGTAACGACAGAATGTCTTATTATAGGCCATGTTCTATCTAACCTAATTATTATCAGCTATGTTATCTTGGGGAGGTTGCGCTCCGAACATTTTTTGTTTATATCTGTTCCTACTATGTATTATATCTCAACGTAACCTACTGAATTGTATTTTCTGTGAACAATAATTATTTTACATGGTGAATAAATAAAACAAACAAACAAACAAACAAACAATTATGTATTTCACCGACACGTAACTGGATTTGATATTCTATTTTTTCAGGCTGCCACCTGTTCTCTGTAAGCCGGCCTGGAGGAAGCCATCTTCGGATGGTGATAGCTGTGGGGAAGAAGATGATCCTGATGACATGGAAACACAATGCTGCATGGTCCGCTTGGTGTAAGGCCGCGGATACAGACACAGTAGAAGGGTTTCAGTTTACAAGGGTGAGGATCGATGTAGGATTTTCATTGAAGAAAGTGGAGGGAAGGGGATGAGAGGTGAGGGGAGGTGGGGGAGGGGAGGAGAGGGGAGGGGATGGAGATAGAGAGAGAGAGAGAGAGAGAGAGCGAGAGAGTGAAAGTGGGAGGGAGCTACAGATAAAGAGAGGGAGAGGGCATTGGAGAGAGAGAGAGAGAGAGAGAAAGAGAGAGAGAGAGAGGGGATAGGGGAGCCGAAGACCCTGGGACGGAAGAGGGTCAGCTGCATGCTATTCCTGGTGCAGGGCTACTGATGATAATGGCACCATGGTGGGCTTTCATTACACCTGGATGAGAAAGAGAAGGTAAAGACAGATATAGAGGTAGAGAGACAGTGGGGGAGAAAGATTGAGTAGGAAAGGAAAAAGAAAGAGAGAGAGGCAAGAGGCTTTCAATTCTCAAGGTGAGGAATATAAGATAGATAGATACTTTATAGAAAGATATATTTGTAGATATGCCTACTCTTTGCTTCAATCTATGCGCATTAAAAAGGGAAATGAAAAGGAAAGAAAATGGAGAAGCAAAAGATGTATTAATTTCATAGGAAAGTAAGATTTTTTTAAAAGTTAAATATCTGTCGAGTATGATTTTATCTTTGAGTATTCTAATCTTATTTTGATAGGAGCTATCTGCGGGCGATGTACCCAATCCGATGTGCCTGATCGACGGAGGGCACGGCGACAACCACATCGTAGTCGGATACCGACATCAGTACGACCTCATCAACGAGAAGAACGGCGACACTTTCCGACTGCACCTCGTCGACGCGAACAAGGTGAGAACAATACTTGCTAATTTCGCATCAAGTCCGATGCGCACTTCATGATATTCAACTATCCCGCCAACTGATTGTTTAAATTGTATAGGTCACAAAAAATAATGTATTTCATATGTCAGTAGTGCCATCATCCATGTCGTAATACTAATCTTACTTTGTATTGAATTGAACTTTGCTCAAAATATGAGCATCAAACACTACTTCTGTGAATAGCTCTTACAAGGTAAAATACAATTGACATACAATCTACAGTTGAGGGTTGACTTCTCAACACACCCTCAAAACTCAAGTTCAACTTTCCCTGTCCTTTATACAGCATGGTGTTTCATATTAATATGCAGAACATCTTTTGCTATATAAACAGCCTTTCCTGATGTTTAAGATGCATTGATCTATTCTTCTCGCTTGAATAGGTTACTCTAGTGTCAGCTGTTGATATCTACGAAGACGATGAACCGGAAGTGCTTCTCTCTTACAATCGTAAGTTCATATCTACTCTAGATGTTACATGGGAATATCACCGCTTTATCCTGGGCTTTCTTGCGCCAAAGATTATAGTGCTTATAGATTGCAAATGCGTTTAACGTATTTGAGGTCTGGTTTGGATTTACTGTGAGGTATAAGGCTGCATTCAGGCTTCAACTTGGGAATTCTATCAGTGAACGGAGCATTTGTCGTACAACTCATGAGCTATATTACAACAACAACTCAATTCCTGTGTAGTTAATTTTACATCAAGCATAATTCATCCAATCGTTCATAAGCATGACATAAATTGGCATCTATACCAGTTTACATCGAGACCTTAATATTTGACAATTAATAGTTCAGGGCATATATTCCTTAACGCCTAGAGGTCTACCAACTGTGCAGTATAGCCTATGTCATGAGTTCACAACTAAATTGGCAAGGTTGTATGAATTTGGGCTACGGAGTCTTGCATTCGTATTATATTCCTCCTGAATAAAAGCTTTGTAGTTCCTGTTTTAAAAAGATATGTGAACTCAACATGCCCAAGTTGTTTCTAAACAATAATATATTCACTTGAGCTCTCGACATAGCTTGATAATGAGTGATGTTTTATTGCCTAACAATTAAATCTTTGTCCAAGATAACATGGTAGTGATTCCCATAAGCAATACATTTTACACAATGATGAAACAGTTTCCAAAGCAGCTTGCGCTTTCTGTCAGGGCTCTGTTTTACAAAGAGTTGCGATTGATCCAAATTAATCGCGAATCCTCCAATCAATCGCAAGTTTGCAGTCTCATATCTCTTATGTACATAGTTGCATTTGATATCAACTCTTTGTAAGACAGGGCCCATTTCCTGCTTTCTTCTTCTTTAGGGCTAATTTATTTACTAATTCTTGAAACTAAAGAGCGACCCCTCTTCTTCCTTCATACAGATATATCGCAATTTCGACGGTTGAATGGCGAGGCTTCTTCGGATTTTGACATGCATTGGAACTCGGCTCCAAAGGCTATAGGTAAATATCTACTAATGACTATTTATTTGCCGAAGTTACAGTGACGACATAACATGTGGATCCGATCGGTTCTCCTTTATAGCTAATGCGATGAGATGTGCTTAATCAATGCAAATTCATTGTGAATATACATACTCCACATATTAAGATAATGTCATCACGTTGATAGCAAGTTTTTTAGGTCGACAGCTTCAGATCTTCAAAGCTTTAGATTTTGAGTTTTCAGAGAGCTGATATTCCTCTGACAGACACTAAAATGGCATATAAATGATATTATTGTAATCTATGGCTTGTTGAAATATATTTCACACATTTCATTTTCAGTTCGGATGTGATCTTTAATAGTGTTTAGACACATAACTCTAACGTCATGGGGCATATGCCACAGACGTTATAAATTTAGATAAATACCAAAGATAGCCTACCCTTCGTAAGGAAAATAAAAATGCCGAAATCTTCTAACTCTTATGTGCTGTTCATGAGGCAAAGCATATTTTACACTCACTTGCTCATAAAATGGAAAAAATAAAAAAGAATATATTAAATATCAGTGGATTTGACAAATATAATGAATAATTAAAATTAAATCCGTGCCATCACATGAAAGGATTCGTGGATTTTGTTCTCCATAACCCTCTCTCCATTCAATATATATCATGTCACTGATAGAATAGACAAATATTGTAGCTAATTTTAACATTGTATATATACTTTATCTTATTTTCCTCCCTTTTGCAGTATGCGCATTTCCCTACATCCTAGCCTTTACTCCAGACTCTGTTGAGATTCGTCTAGTCGTCAATGGCAATCTGGTTCACACGATGACCATGCCTAGAATCAACCTTATCACATCCAAGGTATTTCATTTATTCATTCAGTCATTCAGTCAGTCAGTAAGGCAGCCAGTCAGTCATTCAGTCAGTCTGTCAGTCTGTCAGTCATTCATTCATTCAGTCAGTCAGTCAGTCAGTCAGACAGTCAGTCATTCAGTCAGCCAGTCAGCCAGTCAGTCAGTCATTCATTCAGTCAGTCAATCAAGCATTCATTCATTCATTCAGTCATTCAGTCAGTCAGTCAGTCAGTCATACATTCATTCAGTCAGTCAGTCAATGAAGCATTCATTCAGTCAGTCAGTCAGTCAGTCAGTCTAGGTCAGTCAGTCATTCATTTATTCTGGTTTAAGAAAGAAAATTCTTTGTAAAACTGAACAGTCGAAAAAATAATACATACAACGAGTTAAATTATTCAAAATTATATAAAATAATACAATATATTCCCAATAATTGACAGGAAAACAAAGATTGGTATAAAAAATGAAGAGTTATTCAATGCCAACCATGAGATCGTTGTTTGATTTATTTTACAGTGCGACATGTACTTTACATCGATGGGTATGGACGTCCTTCAACCGAGCCCCAAGGAGCCAGTCCGAGCATTCAGTCCACTCTCCAGCCCAACATCACCACCACAAAGTGAGTTAACCTGCCACCTCTGTTTGCCCCTCTCTCTCTCTCTCTCTCTCTCTTTGAATATTTTTTGCAGGAAAACACTGCCAAATTCTTTTAAATATGTCCCTCCCGTCGCCCCCCCCCCCACAAAATCCTTATGGTAGGATTAAAGGATAGTATTTGTGTGGCTCTCCATCGGTGATGCTTAAAATAATGTAATACTCAGTTTTTATATAGCGCTTATTACAAACACTAAGCGCTTCCAAACTTGGAGATTATTATCCTGACTTTAGCCGAGCTGCCATTACGGCGCTCTAGCATTTCAAGGAATTAATTCCTGCCAGGTACCCATTTACATCAAAGTTTCTCGAGTAACATACCTTTGTAAAATCATTAGCTGTTTTGAGCGTTAAAACTGCATAGTATTGACATGGTTTTATCACTTTTGATGATGGAAGTTTGTTTGTATGATTATTTGTAAATGGTAAATAAACGGATCTGAATGTGAACCGTGAAGAACTATTCCATAGCATCTGCCTCTGTAAAACCTCAACAAAACAAAAAAAAACATCACATCGGGCAACTTCTACCGGGGGAGGGGGGGGGGGGTATCAAGAGTGTTGTTGTTCTGAAAGGTAGTTTCCTGAGCATATTCAAGGGGACATTTTTCTTAGCATCCATCTTGTTAAGTGTAAATTCGTATTGCTGGAGATTACCAGCACTTTCAAAGATTAGGAGGTCCTGCGGAAGGTATATTAATAGATATTTAGGAGAAATTTTGACATAAGGTATTCAGATGATGAGAAGCTAACATCTGTTTTATTTCTATCTCTCAGCATATGGTCCTTTCTCGGGCGCTGCAGTTAGGATCTACAAGATTCCATTAATCAGTCTGGTAGGGCAAATGAGTGAACGACCACTGCCAAACCCCACCAATAACTGCCGACCTCGTTCCTTCATCTCACCTCTCGTCAACATTGCCGAGTCTCCACCGACACCTGTTCGGCGTTTCCGGATTTCTTCGGGCTCCTCTCCAAAGGAGGAAGTGGAATCGGAAATCCTCACGACTGTAACCGTCCCAGTGACGTCATTACCTCCACAAACATTATCCAAGGTCAAGGCTGGTCCTAGACCTTCTCAAGAATACTCGGACTCGGGCTATTCCGAATCAGACTTCTCCTTCGAATCGACGGACTCCCTCCCTGGAAGGTCCTCGCCAAGCAAAGGCGGGGACTCCGCGGAAACGCGCCGGCACAAATTCGGTTGCCTCCGCTCACCGCGGATGGTCAGACGACAGCAGAATTCAACGAAAGCGGACAACGACGCACGCGCAGAGCTCCTCGGGAAGCCAAACAAACGCGCAAGTGGGCGATCGCGCTTCACGTCAAGTACGTCGAGCACGCAGTCGGACTCGGTCTTTTACCCAATACACATCGAGAACAACAATAACAACAAGAATAACCAGAGTGAGAGTGACATCGGATTCGAGTTTATCCCACCTCCGCGAAGCCCACTGGCCGAACGTCTTAGCAGCACAGGGAGTACGGCATCGCAGCAGTCAGAGGCAGAGATGAGAGCCGAGCTGTTGGGGCGTTTTATTCACTCGCCTCGGGCTGATCGAGCCTCCAACACGTCCTCGCTCCAGTCCGAAGACGGTGGATCCGTCTTTCTCGAGCTCCCATCGAATGGAAAGTCAACCAACGGTCACCCACCGAGCCCGTTCGCCTTATCCACTTCTGTTGATGATGACGATATTGATTTGAAATGATAGTAAAACGAAGTACTAGTTTCAGTGTACTAAAGTAATATGTTTATGATTATGATTTTATGCATGTTGACTGAACAAACGATGGGCCGTTTCCACTGCCCATATTTTAAACGATGTTGCAAAGTTGTTGTCTTTATATGGATTTATATCGTGCTGTTACTTTGATGAATATGCCATTGTAAGCCAGGCCTAATTATGATTATGCCCCTTCAACATAACACTCTGAATCAATGCCCAGAAATAACATCACAATGTACCCCTTTCCCTCACCTCTCTTCCAATTTATTAACTCCACCTCCGTCTTTTTCTCTTTACCCTATTCTCTAATCTCTCTCTCCTCTCTTTCTCTCAATTTCCCTTAATCTGTCACTCTCTGGACATTTTAAAGAAAATCATTTGCACATATGTTGACCATAGGTTGAGCACATTATATCAAGATGACCTACAAAAGAGTCCTCAGAATCGACAATCCACGCCACCCTTAAAACAATAATTTGTATAAAATATGGTTGACCTGGTAAATTGGTTTTCTGATCCTGTGCATGTACAACGCACAGAAATATTATTATCGTGCTGTTAAAAGAATATGGATTCTAAGCACCGAAGCACGATAGCAGCGTGGCATTAAGGTCAGACGTGTAGGAAACCCATTGCCCTCCAAATATGTCATTCTCCCTGACTGGTTACGAACACGGTGGCAGCGGTGGGATCAATGAAACCCTACCCTATCAAAATGACTAGTGGCTCAATTCTCTCTTTATTGAAGCAGGAACAGATGAATTGAAATGTATGTATTTCATGCTGCATACATATGAGAGGCCTATGTTTTGTTATTGATGGCACCAGAAAGTGAAATCGTAACATTAGGATAACCAATCCTACATGATTTACATATGTACACGATAATTATAAAAATGTTGTATTTTGGAGAAAATCGTAAAATGAAAAAGACATTGAAAAGATATAATACAACAGAAAAGTTCATCATATTCTCAGTATTTCCCCTTTCCATCGTCTGGATAAATACAGTCAAACCTGCTTTAGTAACCACCTGTCCTCAAAGACCACATTTTTTGTTTCCCTTGAAAATGGTTTCCTATTGAAATTTGTACAAAAGGAACATGTCTACAAAGAACACCCTTTTTGTTCCCTTGAAAAATATTCCCTATTGAAACATGTACTAAAGGAACCTGTCTTCAAAGACCACATTAGTTTTTCCCATGGGTGGTCGATATAGACAGGTTTTTACTGTACACAATAATAATGGTTTAAGAATTTATGGCAGTGGAATCATCATATTTACGTTTAATATCTGTACTTTCTATGTAATGATATTGTGTACGTCTTTTGGTTCATGTTTGTGTTTATGTTCGATTTATTATAATCTGATTTGCTTGTACACTATTTCATGAGCTGGTTGATACGGGATCAAGTTTGAAGTTGAATTTAGAAAGTGCAGAAAACATCGACTTTACAAATCTAAATTAAAGCAACAGAGTGCATTCAATGAAGTGGTCTTCATTTATATTCACAAGTTGATTATCTTTAGGCTTTGGCCTTTTCCGTCACAGCAATGTTCAATGGGGGTGGATTAAGCATGTTAGGGCAAAAGCGTGATTGTCTTGGCGCGACCATAAACGATAAATCATGATTTGAAGTGTGTTGACACTTTACATTCTCCTTAAAAATATATTCTGTCGTGGTTTCCCGCGTTATATCTATTTAAAACGAGGATTTATGGATGCAATTCACATGTATCTCTTTATCAAATATCAACAAAATAAATTTTGCATTATCTAGGTAACTTTACGATTGAAAATAGATTGTTTTGAGAATAGCATGTAATGAGACGAGTTCACTCTCACACTACCTCAATTGTTATTTCTTTCATCAGGGGCATCCGGCTAAAACTTAGTGTTTTTGCTTAATCGAAGAAATTTCACTAGTCTTTTCCCCTTTTTTGTTGTTATTCAAGTCAAACAAATTCTTTGTGTAGCATATTGCATTAGAAATACATCTTCTTTACAACTTTAAGATATATCAGTAAGAAGGTCTGTGCTTGTTTAATTGTGGAGTTTAAATTGGACCTGATCCATTAAGTTCACTGATTTATAGAACGCTAAATTATTTAAAATACGACGGTTTGAGCAAATTTCAGAAACAAAATTGGAAAAACTTTTGACGAAAATTGCAAGGCATTTTTTCACGTTTTTCATCAATCTGGGAGGGAATGCAACGCCTATTTATTTAAAGTAAAATTGTTGGAGCAAACTTCGTGAAATTTGCGAAAACAACGATTTCGACAAAATCTGGAGGCGTTAGTTTACCATTTTCGGCCCAAAATGCAAGATCTTTAGAAGCGCAATTGTTCATGTCTTTATAATCAATCAGAGATAGATGTGACCTCGGCCTAAAATTTCATGAAATTTGGAAAAGTAGCCATTTTTTAAACCCAAAATTTCAAGGGTAACTTCATCTCTTTTTTCTCCACAATCTGCTGTTGAAACTGGACATGTAATAGGCGGATGGGACACATGTAAGGTTTGCCTTTTCAGTTTTATACTAACGAAATCAGAGAACAAAATTACAAAGATTATACCAGTTTATCTCGCATGAGACAATTTCACAGATATATCTAAACGTATATAGTTAAAGAAATATTATGTTCACTTTCTTTGTCTTATCTTAATGAAATCACAATGCAGGTTGCAAATACTTGTGTTCCTAGGTCTGGAAAGCATCGAATAAGATTTGAGATCATTGAGAGCAACTTACCACTGGAGCGTATAATTATGCTTATTTCTGCAGAGATAAGAATATGTTTGTAAACTGATCTATTCTTCTTAGTTTTTCTGTACGGGGTCATGATTTTTTTCCCCGAGCAAGGATCTGAGCTCGGGTGCAGCATGCAATGACCCACTCATATTAATATGTAGATCGGTCAGTTTTATTTAGTGTGTCTTCTTCACCATTCCTCCCTAGCCCCCCCCCCCCCCAACCTTTTCCAGTTTGGATTCAATATTGAAACAGGTAAAGAGATGCAGCCGAATGCCTTTCTAATACTTCTCATTCGGTTATGCCCCGGACCTTGTTAGAGGTAACTGGCTGTGTAGTTCTAGTAGATAAGAGGTAACTGGCTGTGTAGTAGATAAGACATAACTTTATACTTTTCTCAAATGTGTATCAGTTACATATATGATATGTTCAAAACGTGTGTCTGCGTATGGCTACATTGTGTACTGTAGTTTCTATAAGTGTAGCAAAAAATTTGTGAAGTCTCGTTTGTAAATTTTGTACTTTTGTCTTTATACTCGTAGAAAATAATTCTAGCTCTTACAAATGAAAATATTATTGAAGAAAGATTTATATATTTCTGGGTCTGTCGATGCAATTGATATCGGTACTACACTTTAATTATTACATTCTATTTTATCTCAAGAGTTTATCAGAGAATATAAAAATTCCGAGGCATATTTATAAATAGAGTACTACTCTTTTGAGATGAATTTATAGCTTTGTAAATTACTAGATTATATAGCTGTACACAAGGATTTTAATCCAATGGTACTTGTAGCAAAGTAAATAAAGTGTAAAATAATCTGTCATATTTTTATTTGTATAAATAGATAAGATATCTGTATTGCTAATGTGCGCATGCCTTGTTTTGAATGCACAATGATGCACGGTTTTAATGTATGTACGATTTTTTTTTCATCTTCGAAGTTGTTAGCAACGACTGTAAATTTGCTTTTCACAAAACCTTGTGCTATAATTGATATACTATGTGTAAACGGTTGAATCTAAAACTTTGGAATAAAAGTACTGAATAATAAAACGATATACTGGTTAAATTTGTCTTTCTTTTTGTCTAGTAATGTCTATGTTTCTATGTTTTTTCCCATCTGTCTCCGATTTTTTTTCTTTTCAAAGCCCCTCTAAAGTGATGGGAGCCCAAAATTCGTCAAAAATTTGATGGCAAAATTTCACTAAATTTGTGTCATAATGTGAAAAAGGATTTTATTCAAGACACACTTTTGCAAAGATTTTCCCCCAAAAAATGTGTTTGAAAATAAATATTGATAATAAGAATACATAATATGGGTTTTCTGTTATACGCAGAAAACATGAATTTTGTATTATTCGACTTCAAACACATTTCTTTTGAAAATCCTTGCAGAAATGTGCCTTAAATGACATCCTCTTTCACATCATGATATGGTTTAAGTATAATTTTGCCACCAAATTTTGGAGCTTCCAACACTTTAGAGGGTTTTAAATTAACGTTTTCTTTTCCTATTAGTACAAATCTAATTAATAGCTTCCAGGAGTATATTCCCCTTTCAAATTAAAGTAAAATGTATCTTTAAAAGGAGAGCATACTGAAACAAAGCGGGAGAATTCGAGAAGCAGATTCGCGAAAGTTTGAACGAAATCTCACAAATAATAAAGTTATGGATTTTTGAAAGTTGTAATTATTATGTGTAAGAGGATTTCAAATTAGTAGCCGAATTGGTAATGTCACTGTGATATTTTGGCGGACGTCTCTCCAATTTTTTCCAACGCACAAAATTACTAAGATATCATTCCTCACCCCCCCCCCCCCACAAAAACAAATGTATGACCTTGGAGGTTCATTTCTTGGGAAGACTTGTACTAATATTCTATCCATGATATATCTCGAGTAGTACCCAAGGGAATGAGGCGCTTACGAGTTATGTACACGATAAAGGGGCAAGTTGTAGTGGCCAAATTGCAATTCATACAGACAAGGGTGTCGATTTGTATCCGTGGTTGGGGGGGATGATAGGTGCCAAAATATTTTCGGCAATGGATCAAAGCAACCAAGAGGAAGAAGCGTGTGGCAAGTTGCACCCCTCTCAAGCGCGTAGCCAGGATATCATTTTAGGGGGCGGTAGTAATTACGCAAAGCGCGGTCCCTAGGGGGTTGGGTGCAGGGAGGGGGAGGGAGGGGGAGTCCCCCCCCCCCCCCGCGAAGCGCGGAAGCTTTGACGTTTTACTAAATTATTAGAGAAAGAAGACGATTCGTTGGACCGTTCTCGACTCTTAATCCTTGTTTGAATCAAGTTCCCCCTTCCTCCGCGCGTAGCGCGGAAGCTCTGACGTTTCATTGGATTTTAAAGAAAGAAGACGATTCTATGTACCATTCTCGACTCTTAATCCTTAATGTTTGAATCAAGCTCCCCTTCCCCCGCGCGTAGCGCGGAAGCTCTGACGTTTCTGTAGATTATTAAAGAAAGAAGACGATTTTATGTAGCATTCTCGACTCTTAATCCTTGTCTGAATTCATTTTCGCCCATTCCTGCGCGAAGCGCGGAAGCTTTCACATTTTATTACATTATTAAAGAAAGAAGACGATTTGTTGTATCGTGTCCTTCATGAATTCAGTTCCCCCCCCCCCCCCCTACCGGGCGAAGCGCGGAAGCTTCAACGTTTCAATAAATTATTACTCTTAATCCTTGTCTGTATTCATTTTCGCCCATTCTACGCGTAGCGCGGAAGCTTTCACCGTTCATTAAATTATTAGTAAAAGAAGACGATTAGTTGTATCGTGTACTTTGACGTTTCATTTGGTTATTACTCTTAATCCACGTCTGAATTCAGTCGCCCCTTTAACAGCTTTGTCCTTTTCACTATTAGAGAAAGAAGACGATTCGTTGTAATGTTCTCTATATTAATCCTTGTCTGAATTTAGTTTCCCCACTGAAAGTAAGTTGTGTCACAAATAAGTTGTGACATAATAATCTTTCTCCAAAAATGAAAAATGTTTTAGGAAATATCAGGAATAGAATGAGTGAAAAAAATAAAAAATTAAGATACAATGACGTGAATTTTTAAAAGGGTGAACGGAAACAAAATAACAACTAGTGAACTTTTTTATAAGTCATATTAATATCTGAAAATCTTTCTCCTAGTCTCCGATCTCATCACGAAATCGTCACAGAGTTCATCTACGTTTACACTGTCCAGGATTGTCTGATGTGCATTGCAGATTGCTACTTTTGCGCTTCGCGCTTAACATTAGCTCGTTGCTTTTTGACGCTGCGTCTTTGCATTTGGCGCACTGCATTTCTATGATGCTGTTGATTGAACAAATTAAATAAATTCATCAATTCCTGATAAAGCCGTATGAGCGAGAATTCAATTTATTCTTGTCTCATATACGGTTGTCTTATTTACTTCGTATATATGTATGTATTATGCAAATGAGACAACAAAATGTGTATATTAACTACTCTCATCGGGCTCTCATCATTAATTTTTCTGTTCATTTTTTTGTTATGGTGAATTATTGGGGGGGGGATGATTGTACAGGCCATCCCCCCCCCCCCCCACCTGAAATATTGGGGGGAATATATCCCCCCATCCTCCCCCCCCCCCCCCCCGGGATCGACACCCATGCATACAGATGTAGTGATTTCATCATTCAAACATTCATAACATATGGTCAGATTTATTTCAAACCTTTGCCAGTCCGTTTCTCTTAATTCCTGCCGTTCATACACATAAACTTGATACAAAGGTTGGATTGCCCTTTTAAGGTTCTACGGCGTATTTGCAGGCCAAAACAATGAAAAGGTTAAATTCCAACGGCATTTGAAAGATATTACTAATTTAGAACTTCCCTTATAACAAAAGAGCTTGGAAATGTATTTTTGAGGGAAAATAACGACCGTTAGTTGTCGAATCGAATTTAGCGATCGCGGTCTTTTAATTTATTGTCTGATTTTTAGACCCTTGTACCGATTGGTCGTAAGTTTTGTGCTGCGCAAAAATTCAATCAGTTTAATTTTGGCCAGTACAAGAAGTGGGTAATTGTTGGCTGCAAAAGGGAATACTATGGAAAGTCATTACAACTAATTCATAGGGACCAAGGTAATGACCTTCTTATATTGATATCTTAAAGACAAAGAAGTGGAGCCAACTAAATTTAAGTTGATATAATGGAATTCATTATTACAAGGAACCACTGAACAGTTTAAATTTTAGGAAATATAAATTGCATATCCACAATGAAGGGCATACCATGTAATTCCACCCGAACCTTTGACTTCAAATTATATTCAAAAGTCATTTACAGTTTCGCAATTTCCATGAGTACTGTAAACAGATCTCAAATAATAGGAAAGTATATTTTCACACAATTTCTGTCCCATGAACTCTTTAGGGATTTTGTACAGGATGATTTTGAAAGTGCAGTCAAACCTGTCTAATAAGGTCACCCATTGGAAACAGAAAAAAAAGTAGCCAATGTAGACAGATGGTCTTTCTAGACAGGTTCCAAAACACACATTTCTCTCTCTCTCTTTCTCTTGTTAAACATGATACATGAACATGGCCACATTAGACAGGTGGTCTTTATAGAGAGGTGGCCACTAAGACAGGTTTGAGTGTACGTTAGATTTTAGGTATCAAATTTAGGCAGCAGTTGTCTTTGTGGGACGGAATTTAAGAAATTTAAGAAAATCATCCATACTTGTGTGGTAGCAAGTAAAATTATTTTTTAATAATTCCCCAGAAATATCCCTTTATTGTGAATATATACCAACATAACATGAGAATACACTAAGTACAATACTTTATTAAAGACACAAAGAACAACTTAAGAGACAAATCATATGGGAGATATCAATTAAATATAATATTTCCAGCATTTTTTTCTACAAAAAGTTCTCATTACAACCAACTATTTACATAGTCATATACATACAATGTACATACATGTACATTATTTTCTGCAGTCGCAAAGGGATTCCATCTTGCTATACTGTAGTCAAACTTTGAGCTTCACATGTTTCCAGTACAAAGAGATGAGTAGCCTACTTAACAGACGCGTACGCACTTGCATAGAGTGGGGCAAGTCAAATTCTTTGTACCGTAATTCTTTATTTTACTTCACACCCGTTATTCTGCTAGCCCACAGAATGCAGAGTGAATTCTGTGTGGTTGATCTTATACATTCTAGCATTATACAAATACACAACTCATTTGTTTTAAGTGATTGGTACACTGTAAGTGATCTTAAGGGGGGGGGGGGGGGATTGGATGATTTGACAGTGCTACACCAGAATAGATTTCTGTCTTACTGCATGGGAAAGTCTTCTTCACACGTAGCAGTTCAACGCATAGTAGTTTAGCCTCATCTTTTATGACATCTAATTTTCATCTTTTCTTTTGATCCAGAATACTCTGAATTACAAATTGTACATGAGCATAAAGTGTGAAAAATCACTGGAAATTTTGAGTCCTTTTATGCAGTAGTACATCAACAAGAGCTATTTTATAAAAAAAAAATCATTACAGTCTCTAACTTGGCAATACAGAGTGAAATTTTTATAATCGTTTTTGTGTAGAAATTGGCAATTTCCTGTATTTAAAACTAAAAAAAAAAAATTTCTGAAAGGGAGTGTATCATGGCAAATACTGGTTAACGGCATCTATGTTTTCTTTCGGACAACTGCACGTAAACGAAGGGACTAGGTCAGTGCGCTAGCGTTCGCGAAACAGACCGAATTTCTCCTCACGCTTTGGTTTCGCGTATGTTGCACACACGTGAATGCTGCGGTCGCGTCGTTCGTAGTCGGATTATACCCGATTGGTCCCGAGTAGGCCCACGGGAAAGACACATAGTCTCGTCATGACATACTCCCTTTAAAGTACCAGTATGAAAGAGTGGAAGTATATATAACTGTTGCCAATTTGAGGAGGAAATGTGGATTCATTGGGCCTTTAAAGAACCCTGAACTGCTACGGGTTAAACAACTGAAATAAAAAAAAATATTAAAATATGCTGCGGTACAATAAAAAGTTATTTTATGTGTAAATGTAAAAGAATGGCAAGTGAGGTGGAAAAAGTAGATGGGTGCATATGAAAAGGTCCTTGTGTACACCAACTCATCTGTGTTACAAGATATACATATAGAAACATGAAACGCACTACATTTATCATTGTACGGGCAGCAGGGGTAAATAGGCCATTTTAGTAATGTTATTGAATTTACGGTAATGTTTTGTGAAGTGCTTAGTTAAGAATTATTTAATTTACCTGCTACGAATAATTGCATTTTCATAGACAGAATGCAAATTGCATTACGCGTTTATTTGTTCTTACAACTAATGTATGCAATTTGCATTCTGACTACTAAATAATGATTGTGATAACAATGACGATATCAATAATAATCATAACTTTTCCTTGTTTTACAGTCCCACCAACCAGACCGACACGAAACCCAACAAACGATAACATTACCTCTGATGGTTCAATCCTGATCAGGTTGAAATAGGTCTGGGCCCTGTCTTATAAACAGTTGCCATTGATCCAAATCAATCGCAAGTTTGCAGTCTCCTATGTACATAATTACGATTGATATCAATCGCAAATAAGTTGCGATTAATATCAACTCTTTATAAGACGGGGCCCAGGAGTCGGTCTGGAATCGGTTTGGTAGTGTGACTACGGGATCAAATGTGAACAAAGTCTTTACAGAAGCAAACTCCAATCCTTCTTGAAGTCCAGTAGAAAAACAGTCATTGTAAACACTCATTTGTCAACGATCTCTTCCACCTCCGGGCTTTCTGCTTCTTCATCTTCTACTGTAACCAATTCTTCCCCTGCTCCTTCCCCTGCTCCTTCACCTGCTCCTTCACCTCCATCATCTACCTCCTCTACATCGTCGTCGTCGTCGCCATCATCATCCTCATCATCATCATCATCCATGTCATCTTCATCATCGACATCCTCATCATCATCCTCATCATCTTCTTCTCCTTCTTCTCCTTCTTCCTCTTCTTTGCTGGTATCTTGTTCTTCTTTGTTCTTCTTTCTCTGCTCAGAGGCCTCCTTCTTGTTCTTCAGACTTGCTCGGAAAACTAAGAAAACAGAACAGGTAGAAGGAATTAGTTTCAGATTATACAACATAAATGTATGTTATAGAGAGGATTGCTCCATGGCCAATTCTAATAGCATTTCCCAGCGAAAACTGTTCTTGATTTTCATTATTTCAATCTAAATATTAAACAACATCAATACTAAGGATGATATTAGCCAAAATATCTGATATTATTATTTGTGTGAAGGATTTTTGTGCCGACCAGAAGAAAAAAAATCGGTGTATCTTACGCTTTGTGCAAAAGTACCAGGATGACTGTGCAATTTTAAAACCATGTTTTATAGTTTGTCAATAAGTACCCAGATGACCATACAGCATCTCTCCATATCTCATGATTTGAATTGCACAAACACTTTGAAAAGATTCCCAATCAACTGGTACCAATGAAAGTATGTCAGTCCTCCATTTTTTTGGAGTGGGGGGGGGGGCTGTATTTGGTCTGATAAAAGTTCTACGAAGGCTGGTACATCAAGAATGACCACATACCTGTACTCAAATCTGAGTTGTGGTCTGTAACATGAAATGGCTGGGACTTTACCTAATAATGATGGATGATTATATACCTTCTAGATTTGCCCTCAAAGGTTCAGTGAATTCACTGAATTCCATGTCATCTAAAGCAGCAAATACATCTGTAGCATTCAACGTCTTCCTCTTGCTCTTCAAAGCATGAGTATTGGCACTGTAATCAAAAATATATTTTTGAAAAATCATTTAAAAAAAGGTATGATGGAAATGATATGGGCTATGAATAGCAGTCAAATGTGTTGCACAATAATAGGCTGTAGGGTAGAACTATTTGCACATGACTAGTACCAGAAATACATGAATTTTGGGGTTACACATTTCCTGGGTACCATTCTCCATCTGATCATACATGTATCCGTAGCAATATCCAGATCAACAGTTTTCTTGTCTTCATATAATCCAAACATCTTTTCTTTCGTCGACCTCTTTCCTTCTCCCTTTGCTGTATAGCAGCCCTCATATCAGTTCGACCTCTCCTGTTCTCTTTACATAATGTCCAAACAACATCAAACTTATATTCCGTCTAATCTCTGTCTCCCTTACTTTGTTTTGCACTTTCATGACTTCTCAAAATCCCCTGTACAATAATAATAATCATAATAATCTGGATTTATATGGCACTTAATATAAACTGCCATTTCTAAGCAATTTACAGATATTATTACCCTGGTCATCGGATTCATTCACGCACAATGTGCACCATCTCTACACCTGAGGGAGTATTCCTACAATAAGGTCACCACTAGGTCATATGACAATTACTTATACAATTGTTTTTGTTATCCTACCAGGTCCCCATTTCTCTCCTGGGTATGGGGCGTAAAATGTAGATTAATGCCTTGCCAAAAAAAACTTAATTTGGAGGGCCCAATCAACAAATTGTGTTGGGCTTTAGACTGAACTAATCATTTTTTTTAATGCAAAGATAATGGGAGAGTGTATGAGAAAGAGAGACAGAGAGAGAAAGAGAGAGAGAAAGAGAGAAAGAGAGAGAAAGAGAGAAAGAGAGAAAGAGAGAGAGAGTGAATCTTAGATAATTTATACAATAGCTTTATACAGTAACAATGATAAGTCATAGACTGTTCAATTACTCATCTTAATTACATGATGGGTGAATATTTCACACTAAATTACTAAGATGTTCATTCATTGATCTTACCATGAGGTAGCATACAGTACAAAGACACTGGCAGCTTTCGATACTGCATTCCTTGCTTCCTTGGAAACACTGACACCTTCAGGAATCTATAGAGAAAACAAAAACAAGACACATGCTTACCTCAATATATTTGAACCCACATTTGTAACATGGAAAAATATTGACTCCTTACACTACTTACATTCATGAAAATACATCATTAAGATGTTTTTTGTGTCACGACCTTTTCTGCACCTCTTCAGAGTTGCATGCTATATGAATAAGTATGGCTAGGTTAATTCTCCTGTTTAGGAAACCGCTTTTCAAATATGAGGTATTGTTCTAATACAATATATATATATTACCTTTTCTTCTTTATTGGTTCTATACTGCTATTTAACATGAAGTTTATATTCAATTTGGATGAAAGATTCACATTGTGAGACAAATGATCTAGCAGTAAAATTTCCAGTTGATAGGTCTCCAACACCACTTACCAGCCACTTAAACCAGACATTTTCTATCAGTAGTCATATTCCTTACTTCAATCCCTGTGTCATGATTGTAATTCCTAGCCCTAATGTAAATAATAATAATAATATTAGATATGTATAGCGTACATATCCCCTATGAATGGTGCTCAAGGCGCTCCAACTATGAGGTATTGTTCTAATACAATATATATATTACCTTTTCTTCTTTATTGGTTCTATACTGCTATTTAACATGAAGTTTATATTCAATTTGGATGAAAGATTCACATTGTGAGACAAATGATCTAGCAGTAAAATTTCCAGTTGATAGGTCTCCAACACCTCTTACCAGCCACTTAAACCAGACATTTTCTATCAGTAGTCATATTCCTTACTTCAATCCCTGTGTCATGATTGTAATTCCTAGCCCTAATGTAAATAATAATAATAATATTAGATATGTATAGCGTACATATCCCCTATGAATGGTGCTCAAGGCGCTCCAACTAATGTAATTTAATGTTTGTAATCCTTTGATCCGATCATGTCCAAAAATGTATATCCCACATCCGACGTTTGTCCAGGAAATTATGGCCAAGATTTTCCCCAGCCTGCATACATGTATTACTGTTCAACAACTGATTTTGAATGGAACATTACACAATCACAAAAGACCCATCTTTGCCAATGCCCAAGTCATAAAGTTAACTCAAAAAAAATAATCAACACCAAAACATTTTTCATTTGGTCTAATAACGGTCTGGATTGCAATTTACATAAAGGATTTTGGAGTAATTCACCATTTCAAAACCTTGTTGTACTTCAAGGCGTACACAAATGTGAGGCAATTATATTGCTGCTACACCGGGCTGCTCACAGAGCAGCCCTTCATATCAAGGTAGATGCAGAATAAGCTTTAATTCAGAACACCACATACATTGTAAGTAATGAAGACCTATATGGCCATCTACCAAAACTCTATGAAACGCCAAGACAGAGAAGACTGAAGCTTGCTGGCCACTGCTTCAGGAGAAAAGATGACCTTGTCTCCAAACTTCTGTTATGGACACCATCACATGGGCAAAGAGGCAGCGAAAGACTAGCCAAAACATACAAAGATATATATACTCGGAGAAGATGAAGACCTAGAGATAGGCTTGTTGATGAGGTCCTTGTCCATTGGTTTGGCTCAGCTAAAGTAAAAGTATTGTACTTACTGCATCTTTCATAATTCTTGTGATGACTGAAAGAGGTAGGTTGAGGTCTTCTGGTCTCTCTGCCATGGTTCAGTCACTGATGATCACTCGGCAGAACACTAGTTTTAAAATAAAAGAGACAAAAAGAGCGAGGGGGATAGTCAAATTCTGTAAATGATTTTAAAAATGATTATGTGTTCAAAAAACACCAACACCAACACCGAACTTAAAATCTAGTGTTGAAATCCAAGAGTTGGTGAATGGGAAAATTACATGTAAATCTTTAACACCAGCCTCATTTCAAGTTTAGTGTTATGGCTGGTGTTGGTGTTCTCACAACACCAATACCAGCTGTCACCGGATGTGAAATCACTCATTGTCTACTCTTAATGCCTGGCAATACCTCTTCATCGGTATAGATAGGGTGTCTGATCGCGCACCCGATGTGTGCTAAAATTCTTCCCATAGAGATTGCACGCATCCCTATGCAGTCTACGTGCACTGCGCGACCATGCAAAAAAAGTCAAGTTTTTTTTTTCAATTCGAGATTCAAACCTTTATCTGTTGTGATCCTGAAGGTGATACTCAATAAATGAGGTGTCATATAAAAGAGCAAGTGAATTCCAATATTTCCAAAGGGATGGGTTATTTCGAAATTCTAAAAATATCTTGGTCAAAACAGCAATTTAAACATTGTGTCCTGGCTAACTTTGAGGTTTGCCACTTTTGAGATATGACGCCCCGATCGATAAGTAGTCCCAGTCCTAAGGAACAATTCTATGCGCTTATATTTTCGCTAGCCCCCAGGGATCACAACTGATTACAGTTTAAAAATACCCTTCCCGCTATTTGGTGGATCAGCTAATTAGGGGGCGTGCGCTCCGCTCAGTCCAAACCATGGTTACATCGCGTAACATCTCCACGTACGAACGAAACCTGAAATTCAATTACACATTATTGTGAATGAAAGTATGGCTAGCCATTCGCGCAATAAACCCGGAAGTAAATACACGTTATGGTCAATGGCAATATCGCGGAGACAACGTGCACGTTGTCTCCGCGATATTGCCATTGACTATAACGTGTAGTCACTTTCTTTTTTGGGGGCGCGAACGGCTACAAGTCGCTACAGCTCAAGCTGCAAGTCGCGCATTGGCTTAGCAGCATGGGTACGATATGCATATGCTTGCATATCGCGCGATACAGAGCTCTGTTTGGCTAAATTTAGCAAAACAACATCACTCTGCGTGGACGTCTTTTTCATCGATTTTGACCAAAATGATATGAATATACCAGCGTTTTGGAGGGGCTGTATCTTTTGATAGAAACATCAGTGAAGCTTCAAATTTGAAATGTATTATTCTGATTACACTTTTTATTCAAATATCTATCAAAAATGGTGAAAAACGATCCCAAATTGAAAATTGAAAAATCGTTCAGACACCCTAGTAATTTTAGTTAGGCTTACAGTTGCACCATGTGAGAGTATAAGAATTCTTTGTCCTAACCCAAAGATTCATCCATGTTGTATCGTTGATTCAACATGGTGAAGAGAGAGTAAGCATGCGCGGTAGCCCCGCAGCAAATATGAATGCGTCCATACTTTCTCTTTGCCATGTAGAATTGATGATACCAAATTGAAGAATCCTCAGGGTAGGACGAAGAATCACCCCTTTTTGATTTTCCCATCAAAGACTTCTTCAAATTATAATTTCAAGTGGCCTAGAGGAGTCGAGCAACCTAGTAAGTCAATAATCCCTTTGCATATTTTGAGATAATGTCGCCCAACCCGCTGTTTGAATCGTTTTCCTATGCAGCCTCTGAAGCTCCGACGCCTTCGGGGTCGTCGTCGGAGCTGAGCTTCCTAGAGTAGGGAGGCCAATGCCCAAATCTAACTTTTTAATTACTAATTTGTTTATACTAAAACTAAGATTAAAAGAAAGCATTTACTTTCACTAAGAAAATCCACCCATCTGCCGACTCCAGAAGTTCCATCAAATAGGAGATATCCAGCTCTTTTTATCCAGCTTCCTTCTACGCCTTTCCGTACGTAAGAGCCTTGAAACAATTATATTTCATGTCGCAAAGTTACGTTCATAATTAGACAGGCCCGAGGGACAAAGTTCATGATGAAGTTTAAAACTTCGCGCGAAAGTGCAATCACTCAACAGCGGCTAGCCTTGAATCGGTCGCACACGTACATGTACACACCTTCTTCTTCTTAGTTGATCCCTCCACCGACACAGGCGCAGCCCCGATGCGATGCAGGCTGAAGTCCAGCCATCAATGTGCGAACGACTACATCTTCTACTACTACGAGCCGAAGACGATGGTTAAAAAATGACGAATAGATATCAAAATTGGCAGGAAAGAAATATATGTAATTCATTGATATTTACCTTAGATGTGTATTCCAATAATTTAATTTCCTCATGAGTATTCCTTATTATCAACGATCGAGAAGTTACGAGGTCCAATTGACATCCATCTTGCAGCGAACACAATCATAGCGCACATCCATGCGCATGCAACGTACGTATTTCTCTCACTCTCTCTCTCTCCCTTTCGCTATACGTAACATACACACTGATGTATCATACAACACACACCTTCAAATCATGGCTTTCATTTCAATTCTCAAGTATAGACTGCTCACGTAGACTTTTTTTTTACTGAAATATCTTTTTTAACACTTCTCATACATTACTGCACGACACTCGTATCTAGTGCTGTGAGAATAAGGTACTAGGGTCTATAAATAAGACTACGCTTTGCGCACGATCTGACCGGAGCTCAGATTATGTCGCAATACCCTTTATTTTTGGCGCGAACAATGACGTCACTGTTCACTGTTTTCCTTCTCATTTTGAGATGGATGTAGCTATAGGGCTCAAACCAACGCAAGATTGACAGAAACATCGTACTCTATCTACTTTCGAATGTTCAGTTTGTAAAAATCTGTATTGAAAAAGATATAATCTTTTTTCTTTATATTTTCTAGTTGTTAGAAGTGGCAAATGTGAACATCTGAAATGTTGATCTCTATCAAAAGTTCTTTACTCAAAATGGATCCCATATTTTTAGGGTCTACCTTCTGCCAATGAGAAGGTTTTTAGTGAGCAAACCTCTACGCCCTCTAGGATTTTCTTAGTCGGTGGTGCGAGTGCGTCAAGGTCGTCTGCAACCACAATTATTGTTTATTGGATTAAAAAATGTCAAAATCTGCAAGATTGTCAACAAATGGTGAAAGACTGTTACAGATCCGTGATTATAGGTATGTTGTGAAATGTCTAATTGTATTTTCTTTTCTTATTTTCTTCAATTTTTATTTTTACATCATTTTTTTCCCTTTGCTAATTTTTTGAAGTGGGCGACGAGCGCACAAATCGTAGGTGTAGAAGCCTTACGCCCGGGCATTGGCCTCCCTACCTAGAGTAACATACATGTATGCTCAATCTTATATTACTGCCCCACATACCTACTTTTGTGTTATTTTGATCACTCGTTAGTAGAATAACTTCAATAAGTTCGCTCTAAAAGGAAATCTATAAAAGAACAAATTAAGAAAAACAATTCAATACAATGAAATATTATTTTTCATGCCTTACTGTTCATTCAAGGCATATAAAATATACGAAATCAAATTATTTTCGCACTTACCTAGTCTAGTCTTGGTCTTGAGTTGGACAACCTTTTCAGAGATTCCCGCGGATAAGTGACGTCATTTCAGAGGATCGAGACAACTCAACTTCACAGGTTACTGTGTACAGCCCTTGACAATCCGACCATCTACACAGGATAGCTCGACCCTACGGGTTGTCGAGTTTCTGTTTCTGTGTCGGTTTCGGTTGCGTCGGTAGATTCAGGTTTAACTGTACTTCACCAAGACACCAACGTTATCAAAATTAGACATAATTTATTACAAATCTTTGTCATCAACATAGAAATATAAGATAGCGTTTCCTATGTGTGAATCGAAATATTCATTTTCGAAATTATAACTAAATATTTTAATAGCAAAAGTGACTCCACTTTATAAAAAGAAAGATAAAACTGATGTTAGCAACTATAGACCTATTAGTGTTTTAAGCGTAGCATCAAAGATTCTAGAAAAATCGGTCTGTGTTCAAATTGAAAGATACTTCAAAGAAAATGATATAATTTATGAATTTCAATCTGGTTTTCGACATGATTATTCGACTGAAACATGTCTAATTCATTTGACTGATTATTTGAGGAGAGAAACTTCCCAAGGGCGCTTTGTTGGTATGGTGCTCCTTGATCTGCAAAAAGCTTTTGATACAGTTAATCATTCCGTCTTATTGAAGAAGTTACAACTAATGGGTTTTGATAAGGCAAGTTTAGATTGGTTCAGATCCTACTTATCTAATCGGCACCAAGTAGTGGCCATTCATGATATTCGTTCCAAACTAATGCCTATAACATGCGGTGTTCCTCAGGGAAGTATTTTAGGCCCAATTCTATTTTCAAGTTATATAAATGATATGTGTACTTGTATAAAAGACTTCAAACTATTATTGTACGCAGATGACAGCGTACTACTCTATTCAAATCCTGATCCTAAATATATTGAGGAAAAGCTCAGTGAACAGCTGTCTACGTGTGTCGATTGGATGACTGATAATAAGCTTTCTTTACACTTGGGAAAAACAGAAAGCATTTTATTTTGTTCTAAAAGTAGTTCTAAAAAGTCATTTGAATTCAAAGTGAGACACAATAATCAAGCAATCAAGAGAAAAGAGTCTGTGAAGTATTTAGGCATTGAGTTGGCTAGCGCAATTTCATTTTCATCTTTAGTAGAATCAGTTGTAAAAAAAGCAAATTCTCGTCTGAAATTTTTGTACAGATATCAAAGTTGTATGGATTTAAAAGCAAGACGTACACTCTGTTTTGCTCTTATTCAATGTTTATTTGACTATGCTAACCCTGCATGGTACAGTAACATAAACAAGTCAGATCAAAAGAAGTTGAAGATTATACAGAACAAAATGGTGAGATTTATCAACTGTTCTGGTCCAAGAACTCATGTTGGCTATAGCGAACTTTCTAAAGCTGGTTTTCTTGAAGTCGACCAAAGATCAAAACAACTCGCATTGCATCACGTGCATAAAATATATCATACTAGGTCGAATCATTATATTCGATCCAACTTCGATCTTGTTACTGACGTACATGATTATAATACAAGAAATAGACGATTCAACTTTAACTTACCAGAAAGAGTAGGTAGTATTGGAAATTCGTTTTATTACAATGCCATAAAACATTGGAATTCCCTTCCCAATGGTGTAAAAGAAATAGGAAACTATGATCATTTTAAGAGGAAATTAAAGGAATACCTAATACTTGACAGTCAGAGAAGAGAAGTGAATGACATGTTATATGATTGAAATTGTTATTCTTCTGTCGGTTCATACTTTTTCATGTTGTATATACTTATGTTTTCGTACGTTATAGAAATTCTACAAATTCATCATTATTTTCCTCTTCTTCCTTCTCCTCTTTTTCTTCTTCTCCTTCTTCTTTTTCTTCTTGTACTTAATATCATTTCTATCATCAGTTTAATGTTGTTATTATTATCTTTGATAAGTAGTTCTTTTAATTTTCTTATCTGTCTGTAAATATTACTATTTTAATTTATTAATTGTATACATGTCTGTAAGGGACCCCACTGGAAATAAGCTCTCGAGCTTTCGTGGGTTATCCTGTTCAAGCTGACTTATTTTTGATCTGTTATTATTGTATATTGTTGTATGTTGGAAGCTTGTCGAATAAAAAAAAAATCAATTAAAGAGACACAGACAGAGAAAGAGACAGCGGAGAGAGAGAGAGAGAGAGACTGGATCGAGTGCCGAGAGATCTAGAGAGAGGGGGTGGGGGGGGGGGGGTGACGGGTGCAAGATCGGAAGGGCAGCGCGCACTCCTAACAGAGCAGAGGGGCATTATAAATTTAAAGGGACTTGTCACTATAAAAAAAAATGGACCTTTATCACTTTTCCATAGACGCCTGTACAAAATCTGGTAAACAATTTCTTTTTTCTCTGAAGTTACACAAATGGATTTAGCTCCTTTTGGAATTAAACTCTTTATTTATACATGCATAGGCAACTTTTGGGGGGTCGGGGGTTAATTTTTGTTTCTTTCAAACTTGTCATAAAAATGATACACCGTGATTCATAGATTGTTATACCTAACCAATTTATTCGTATCATTTCTTTTAAGTCACATGGATTGGAAAAGAAGACATTCTGGTTACACTTATATTAAGTTAATCTTTTCTTTTCCCGGCATCCATGTGACTCTGGCAAATGTACTCTTATTTTGTGTTCAATGATTTTCTTTGTCTCTGCAGAATAAATAAATAAATAATAATAATAACTATAGTAGAGAAATCCGCCGGTATGAGCAGGGATATCGCCCTGGTATGGGGTGTGATGGCTAAACTTCCTAGATTTAAAAATATCTAGATAATCGGAATTTCGGTAATTTCTCTAATATACTTTGACGAGTTATTGGGTCAGGCTGTAACATTTTAGGGCTTAAGTTCATGGAATTTTTCTCTACATAGCAAATTGTAAAGGAGCGGTGTTGCCATTTTGACAACTAACAAATGCATAACTTTCTTATTCTTAATCGGATATTGCTCAAACTTTCACTATTTTCGAAAATAATATCGCCAGTGATATTCGGTTGTCTCGCAATGTATGGTCAACAAGGGATCTAAAACATTAAAACCAACTAAATATCAGGATGGACTTCCCTTTTCAAATGCAAACAAAATGTCTAAAGCGCTTTTCTCCATCGCATATAATTTTGCACCCCAAAACCAGATAATAGCGCATATCAAGCAATATAATTATTACGCTTTAGAATGTAAATCTTTAGAATGTAACTCTCTCTGCCTCGCTCTGCCTTTGCTTCTAAGCAAAATTTAATGCATCCTCTTTTTAAATTTTGCAACTCTCCCCCTCCCCTCCCCCTCCCCCCTCCCCCTCCCCCCCCCCGAAAAAACCTCAAGGAATTCTGGTTTCTATCATTGAGACGACAAATTAGCACAATTATATTGTTTGCCCCGCGCAGGATAATCCCGAGATACGTCATTCCTCCACGAAGTTTGCAAACTTTCTCCGTCACTGTTTGAGAGTCTTTCAAAGTTCATTTCTGTAGATTTTAGCCATGTTTTATGAAAGCTAGTAGTAGGTGATTTGTTACTTGTATTGTTGAAATAGATTGGTGATAGGCATGAATCACAACATCATCTGAGCAGCAGCGAGCCAATTTGGTTGGCCTATCAATCTGAGACTCTCCTAATTACAGGGGCTGCTGATGTGACCGTTCACATATCAAATAATTATCTATCAGTAATACCTGGATTTTAGTGGCTATATTGTTCGCAATTGCACTTAAATCTACACCAGAGGGGATCTCAGCTACTATAGAGAGGAGCGATTATCTAGAACTATGCATACGATTTTTTTTTTTGTAAAAGGTTTTTTTTTACCGTTATTCAGATTTTCATATACAAAATGATAAAGATAAACACAATTGTCCTAACAGTATAAACATAATACATTGTATTATACATTATAAACATAGACACATTTTACAAATATTTTTCATCAGTATCCAAACTAATATAGTACATATTAAATCACATGATCAAATATACAAATTTTGATATATAGTTCTGCGATTTGGGAGAAGAAAAAAGAGAGAAAAAGTTGACGATAATAGGCCTACTTTTTTTCCATTTAATTTTCATTTCATTTATTCAACCAGTATAAAACATTCTACTTCATATCAATATTTTCGGATAAAAAATTATGAAAAAGGAAGAATTTGTACAGTATAAACTTTTCTTCTTTGCAAATGAATTAGTTCAATATAAATTAAGCAATCTGAATAAAAGATTTTCTTATAAAACAATAAGTGTAAGGTGAAGGTGCGAGTGCGCTGCGATCTGCGAGTAAGTGTTAGAGCGCCATCCGCGTTATAATTAAGCAAGTGTTTATGTCTCATCCGTGAGAAGCAAAAGGTTGGGCCTTGTTTTTACGGTTTATTCAACTTTATTTACGATTTATCCTCAAAATGTTCCTGTCATCGATGTGTCCTTGAAGCCCAAGAGAAAAAGGTGTGTATCTTGTTTCAATAATGCAACAGAAGAATTCATGACAATGATATGATCCTAAAGGCCTAGCCAGACTGTATTTGTGTAGGTTCTCTTAATTGAGTGTGGTCCCGTGTGATGAATATCGTGTGCGGTTCATTGTTGGAAGGGTAGGCCCTACGGTCTTTTGACTTGTTTTGCATTCTTTTGGAGGAAGAGGCAAGAGAGAGAGAGAGAGAGAGAGAGAGAGAGAGAGAGAGAGAGAGAGAGAGAGAGAGAGAGACACCGAGAGAGAGAGAGACACCGAGAGAGTAGAAGAGAAGGGAAAAGAGGTAAAATTAAGAGGAAGAAGAAGATGACAAAGGTATAAGCTAAGCAAAAAAAGAGTCAAGATTAGCTCAAACAAAGGCTCAAAATAAAAGTGAAAAAACTACACTTCTACTTCTAGAATTCTATTTCTAGTCTGAGATTAAATTTAGAAATTAAGAAAGAAGGAAAAGGGTAGTAAAGTCTAAAGTAAGAAGAGAGGAAAACAAGAATCAAGGAGACGGACAAGATGATACTGGAGTGGAATAATAGAAGAAGAAAGAAGAGTAAAAAAGAAGCAGGAGAGGATGCATTTTTATGGTACTGTAAACGTAATATTAGCGGTGCTTTAATTTTCCTGCTAAACTTGGTGTCCGCGAATAGTAAAACATGCAAAGATATAAACATGACTTATGTGTGTTTTGAAAGGGCTGAGTTGCGTACAACGCAAATCAAAAGGTAAAGACCAGTATTGGAAACGCCCCAATTTCAAAAAATGAAATGGAAGCTCTATTACCAATCATGTGAAAGAATATGTTTTGACTAATACATGATGATAAAAAATTTGCCGGGAAACCGCCTACTAATTCATATATTTGGTAAATTTGTTTCTCTCATGGTCTGTGAGAGATATAGGGTAGTCCCATATACATCTTTCTGTGTGTAGTGCTTGTAACTTTATGAAGAATGGGCCAAATTTCTTATAAGGCTGCGACGGGTAGTCGAATGCTCGAGTACCCGCACGGTTGACAACTACTCGGGTACGATTTCTAGTACCCGAATATTCGGCCGCAAAAAAAAAAAAAAAATGTCCAGGCCCACGCTTACCCATGCCAGGGAGAGCGGCGTCCGCTGGCATGGTACCGTCGGTAAAAATGTTTCCCAACTCAAGCACTGTCAAACTCACCTTTCAGAAACTGGGACCAAATGTCCAGATTTCTGTTTGGACTTGGAGGAAAATGGATTATTCTGCCATCTTTGGTTTTTAAAACAGCATTGTTTACTGTTATTATTCTTATTAAATCGGCGCCTTCAACTGCAACTCAAAGTAAAGTTGCATGCGTTTTCAGCGAGGGACCTGAGAAACTGCCGAGTGGTATGGTAGTGGCAAAAAAAGAAAAATAAGAAAAAAAATCAAAAAATCAAAAAATTCAAAAAAAATCAAAAAAATTCAAAAAAATTCAAAAAAATTCAAAAAATTATAAAAAAAACATGGCGTCCGAATATTCGAGTATTCGCCTGTGAGCCTGGGAGTGTACTCGGGTACCTCATTACACTGTTGTGCACAGCCCTAATTTCTTATCATTTTGATGATTCCAGAACCTTGCAGATGCTAGATGCTGGATGATTAACCTTTTTTGATCGATTCCATAACGTTTCTTTCACAATGCAATCGCATGACCATAACTGGTCTTTACCTTTAAGAACCAGTGAATATGTTTTGGGGTTGCTCAGCGCGAATAATTAATTTCGCTAAAACAACATTGTTACAGTAGTCCATTCATCTATTATTAGATCATCGCCATTACTTTGTTTTGCATCTTCTTTCTCTTCCTCAGATTAAGCCCAGAACCGTATTCCACAAACTTCTGTTTCGGAAAATGTTAATAGATTTGGAAAAATGCCTCCAAAATTTAAGCGACACCTTCGAAGCGGGGACCTTGCAGGTTCTAATGATGTTGAAAGGGTGAGTCACATTTCATTCTAAAGTAAAGGTTTTCCATAGGCATAGGGTTTGAGATATATCAAATACTTCTCGCTTGGGACTGTTCCATTTTTAATGTTGTCCAATGTTTATTAGAACATGACTTTGTGTACAGCTGTTTGCAATTCAAGTGAACATGTAACATTGTAATCCAGTGTAATCTCATTGAGAGGTCAGCACCTATAGGCGACCTATCATAAGTTACTGTTATTTCACTTGCTGGAATCACTTGTATTCCTCCAAATGTTGCATACAGAATTGACCATTCAGGCTAAGCAGAAGTTTAGCATTTAACCGTGTCTTTGTACCTTCCCTGAAGATTGATGCATCATTCATTCATTCATTTCTGTGGTGAAGCAAGTGTTAGTAATACTTGCTTCGTTTTGTTCATATTTGTTTACAGTCTAGGCCGATTTTGCTAAGTTTTGTTCATGTTTGGCCAACTTTGTGATGATCTAATTGATTTCTATGATCTATTTCTTTCTAGGTAAACTTGTTGGGTGAATACCATGATGATGATGAAGAAGAAGATTTCTTTTATGAGCGGAGTCCTGTGCCAAAACCTGGACAAAGTAATCAGAGTAGCTCCAAAGTACAAAAGTATGAGCACCAATAGTGATGCAAATTTAGATTATATTATTCTATAAAGGCCACCTGTCTATAGTGGCCACTAATTTCTGTTTCCCTTGGATAGCCCAAGGAGTAACTGACATCTCCCTGGATAGCCTTAATAGACAGGTTTGACTGTATCAGTGTTTAATGATCTATGAGAAATTGGATGCTTGGCTAGAATATTCCTTTTTGTCCAATGTACCATTGAAGGTATCAACTAAGTACTGTATGCAAAATCATTATTACATGTTTGGCATGTATTGTTAAGTGTAATTCTGAGTTAACAGGGGAAATGGCAGACATGGGTGAACTTTCAAAAATATCGACATGACACATCGATTAGAACCCCCTAAAAATATATAATTCCAAGCCATTGTCCAATGCCCTAATACTTTAAAGAAATTTAACTTGTACCAATCATTCTAAATTGAGTTTGATGGTGTGATCAGTACATTTTACTCTTTAAGTGGTTTTTTTTCGAAGCAAATAGAACTTTGAATTATAATGCAGCTGCCATTTGTTATTTTCAGTGCTGTGAATTTCTGGTTTAGATATAAAGGTATCTAGCTCTGGTAGAAGAAAAGAAATTAGAATGAAATGTGTTAGAACATATATGTTTCTCCTCTTGTTTTTCCACTTGTATCAAGAGATAAATGCCGTAGACATGTGTATGTTGGTGTATCCTCCATGCTTTTGGATTAATTTGTTTATCCAACTTTTTAAGGGGTTGACGTTCATAAGGCCTAAAAAATAAAGATGTTGTATTGCCCTCGACCGACCCCAAAATCATGAAATCTAAGGTCAGCTTTAAAAAAAAATATTGTTTTTACCGTTTTTTAGAAAAAAAAATGTATTAAAGCATTCAAAACTGAGAAATATCAGCCAAAAGAGGGATTAAAAAATAATAATTTCAGACCAACTGATGCATGTTTTGGCACCTAAAGGGCAATATAATATCTTTTTTTTCTTTAAACCTAAGGCTAATTGCCCTTTTTGTTAACCCCACGTTCCCATCAAATTTATTTGCTCCTTCCCTTTGTATTTTTCTTGTAATCAATCTTTTTATCTGTATATCATGTTTGTATGTTTTAATTTTTTTTTATGGAGGATGAAATAAATGAAATGAAATGAAATGTTGTTTTATTACAGAGTTCAAAGTCAAGTAGATGAAGTGGTAGGAGTAATGAGAGGAAACATGGAGAAGGTTATGGACAGGGGAGAAAAGCTGGAAGATCTAGAAGATAAGACAGGTATGGTCAACCGTCAAATCAACTTTTTATTGGAATTATTGGTGCAATAAAAGTTTGGTAAATATATGAGATTAGGGCTTAGACTGAGATAGCGTTTGGGGGTTATGGATAGATACAGATTGCATGACCACAGAAAATCATTGTCAGAAAATCTTTGACTGCCAACCTTATTAATGTGTATGCCAGAGATTGGACAGCATGGAATAGTGCCATGAAGATTTCGACATCCAACCACATAGTTTTGGACAAGTGGAATGATGATGGTGGTGGTGGCAGTGTGTGTCCTGAAGTTAACCCGTTCAACTCGGGAACCGAGATTTCTCGGGTCCCGAGGTACGTACTCACAAACGGGAACCGAGATTTCTCGGGTCCGAGCAAGGGCTTCTTTTATTGCAGAAAAGTACATCTATTCACCTTCTAAATACAATATAAACTACCTGTATACAAACCTTGAACCTTTGGCTACATGCATCTCATTTTTTACCGACTGTAGATGCGTAATTTTTGTTTTATTACAAGTTTAGCATGAGAATGCACGAGTCCTCTTTCAGGATATTCGTATAGAACACATGCAAGTCAGTTTACGTTATTTTCATAGATTTTCGGATTCGCTGCTGCTAACTAGCTGGGTTACTATGCCTAGGAATGTGTAAGCCGGACATAATGATTTTACAAGCAGCGAATTCCACACTCGCTCTGGAAAAAACTTTTGTACTCGGCACGCGCGGATACACCGTTCAATGCATGAGCCTTGGCCTTATATGGTCATTGACGCCTATTCATGGTAACGGGCCGATTATTGAAAAGCTTATAGTATATTACAGTCTCGTTCGACCTAGCGCTCTCAGTTCAGTTTACTCATGCGTACGTACACAGGGTAACGGGCCGACCTATTATTGGAGAGATTAGCTAGTCTCGATATAGTCCATCCCATTGTTTCGTTTCAAGGTTGTCGGCTATTATTTACTTATCGTGCTATAAAGTGTCGGAGTTTTACTATTTAGTTCAGCTTTTTGATTTTCATGATAGTTGGTTGCACAAATTAGTTCTCAATTCTTTGCTTATAACTGCTCTTTATCTATGTAAGATAGTTTCTCAAAATGTCTCGTCATCGGAGAAAGCCTATTTTTAGCGTTGAAGATGCTCGAGAAGCGATCCTTGACTCGGACTCAGAAAATGAATATGATAAAATGGACTTATCAAGCGAAGAAGAGTATTCGTCGGACGTAGAAAATGAAGAATATGAAACAACGACATTCAATGATATTTCCATATTATCTATAAAGCCTGTCGTCTCAAAAGTTTTGACTCCACAGCTATCTTTTACGTCATTGTATTTACATGACAATACGCTTTTCATTTTATCAACTTGACCAATTTAGCGAATCATTCATGTATGGACCTCCTCTTTTATGAAAGGCTTATCCAGGCTCCCTCATCAGCTGCCCCACGATAAGGGGGAACAAAAGAATGTAAAGAAGTAACTACTCTAGAAGATTGCCGTTTTGAAAGAAGAGGATGTAGGCGTAAATAGGTCAATTTACATTACAATACAAACAACCACTCTAACTTATACACCTTTACGAGGGCATGTAACAATTTTAGAGCAGGTTGAAGTAAAATATCTTGATCAACCTAAAGCCGGTCTTGGCTTGAGCGGGCATATGAAATGTTCAAATGTTATGTTCTGAAAAACGACCCCTTACTCTTCCTCTCTCTCCCCACGGAATTATCCTCCCCCCCCCCCCCCACCCCCAGCTCCGATTTTTGTCGCCTTTAGTCTGTCCTTTTTGTTATCATATAGATATCTTTTCGCTGAAGTATAATGTCCGACGCATAATAGTATTGTCAATATAGCATAATAAACAGTGTTTATATCAATTTGTTGCAACAGAGATTTTCATTCAAAAGTTTTACTTTATAAATATAATTATTGTACAGTAATATTCTTCGCATTTAGACATTATCAGCCGCTCGTTTTTTACTTCGCTCCCTATAATAAATATAAGGTATAATAAAGTGTGTATATCATCATTATTTTATAATAATTTATCTCAAAATAGGAATGGTGCCGGCATACAAGCAAACGGCGGAACAAAATTGGTAGATAGACAGAGAAAGCGACCAAGTGAGAGATAGAGGGAGAGAGAGAGACACATAAGCAGAGGGAAAAAGAGAGAGAAACAATCATTTCTTATAATTATCTATTTGTCTGTGACATTTTATCTTTATCACATATTCTTGTCCATTCCTTTATCGTGCATGATTGTTGTCTTTGAATGAGTGTTTCAGATAGGGTAAAGTCTGGCTTTACGTTATATGATTTTTATTTATGAGAATGTCGGAACGTGATCCCATTTAAAAATTTTAAAAACAGCAACGACAACTGCAATAACAACAAGACCCTTCCCTCCCCCAAAACAACATAAACCAGGGTTATACATGAATACAAAGTCATTTCATTGTTGTTGTTGTTGTTGTTTGGTATTATCGGCGTTTCATTCTTTTTTTAGAATATTTACGCCTCTCACTTTATTTTTTCTTCTTCTATTTGTTGGTACTATTTGTAAATTCATACTCTTCTCTTTTTTTTTTTGATAATATAATCTCAGATCTGTCATCCAATTATTCAATTATACCCTTACCTTACTTCCGCTTTTTAGAGTTTATAGCCATGACAACGACCCGTACCCTCAGCAACGTTCATTGTTCCTCTTACGTAACTCAGCTGTGGGAACATGCATGGGCCAAAGACAAAGACAAAGCTCTTTTCGCACATTCTATATAGGTCCCAAATACTTGCAGACATTTCTGTGTCGGTTTTATTTGTATGTACTTTGTCAATACATATACTTACAAACTGCAATTGTCAAAATTTGGCAATATATTCATACATATTGATATTTATATGGCATGAACATGCTCAAAGCGCTTTACATTAGTAAATAAAACAAACTAATCATTTTGCTCTCCAAATACTTACACACTATTTCGTTTTCCCTATAATCTTTTTAGAGAGCGAGAGAGAGCGAGACAGAAAGAGAGAGAAAGACAGACAGATAGACAGAGATATATAATATATAGAGAAAGAGAGAAAGCTGGGTGCATCCTTATAGTCTGTACTGTATTTATTTATTATTATGTAATGTTGTCTCTCCTTTCAACCCCTCCCCCGTTCTGGATTCTTCTTTAGTTTCATTTTATCATGTTTATATCTTTTCGCTAAAGTATAATGTCCGACATATATTATAACCGTCAATTTATGCTGATATACTATTTCATATTAATTTAATGCAACATAAATTTACATAAAAATCTTTTACTTTTTATAAATTGTGTATTTTTCTCATACAATTGGGTATCTAAATAAAAAGAGATGAAGAAGAAGAAGAAGAAGAGGAAGAAGAAGAAGAAGAGGGATTAAGAGTGAGAAGAAGAAAGAAAAGATTCTTCAGAGAAAGAAGATGAACAATATGAGAGAGAGAGAGAGAGAGAGAAAGACAGACAGACAGAGAGAAAGAGTGAGAGAAAGAGTGAGAGAGGGAGAGAGAGAAAAAAAAAGTTGGGCACATCGGTATAGTCTGTACTGTATTTATTTATTACTATTCGTTTGTCTCTCCTTTCACCCCAACCCTCCCCCATTCTGGATTCTTCTTTAGTTTTATTTTATCATGTCTATATCTTTTTGCTATAGTATAATATCCGACAAAATAATATTATAACCATCAATTTAGGCTGATAAATTATTTCATAATATGAATATGATGCAACAGAGATTTACATTCAAATCTTTAATTTCTTATAAATTGTGTATTTTCACATGAAATTGAGTATCTAAATAAAAAGAGAAAGAAGAAGAACAAAATAAGAATGAGGCGAAGAAGAAGAAAAGATAACGAAGAAGAAAACCCTACGAAAGAGCTGAAAGAACTGAGAGGCTTGGAGCACAGCAGAGAACGACCGTGCAACGTGTTCTCGACATGACAAAGCCAGATTGGCAAATGATCTGCGCATGCGCTAGGTTCCCGTTAGTCGAAGCCTCTGGCCGCTTGAACGCACACGCATTGTGGTGCGCGCTGAGCGGTCTCACGGTACGGCGTGTTCGATTTTTAATCTCGTTTGTGAGGTGGCTATCAGGCTGAATAATGCCGAGCTGAACGGGTTAAGAAATTGACCTGTATTAGAAACAGACGGCAGGTCCAGGTATTACTGATACAGTATGTTGTTCAATCAAACACTCCACTTTACCAACACACATAAAATCTTTTATTTTATATTTTGTAGAGGACCTTATGTTTAGTGCATCCATCTTTAAAGTTAGTGCCAAGGGTCTAAGGTCACATTTCTGGTGGCAGCAATGCAAGGTAACCTTTCTCGCAATCATTCTACCTTTCTTGATTGTCAGTGTTATTTGTATTGAACAAGTCTCTCCTAAAGATGTACAACCCATGTTTATTCATGTGTGATAATTTTTATAAGATAGGCTTCCAATACTTTGTGTTATACATCTATTCAAGATGTACATATTTGTTTATATACACTGTATATATGACAAACAGACTAGACAAATTTGTATAATAGTTCCCATTTCTGTTATTTTCTGTATAATATAGACCAACCTTTTAAATAATTAATCATAGAAACTGATTAATCAGACAGGTTTAAATTTTTTTGATAAGTAGATTTAATACAAGTGCATGGGCAGTAAATGTAGACAGATCATACGCAAGGACCCTTTTTCTTTGGTGTTTTGTTGTTGTTGTTGTTGTTAAGAACGGGATAACCACAATTTACGCTGTATGGATTATGTTATGATTCAATGTTTACGGTGTCTTTACATACATTGTAGATGCGGATCCTGATGCTAGTGGTGGTTGTTATTATCCTTCTCATCGTTTTAAGTAAGTTTCAGTGAAAGAAGTGATGTAAATACAGTCAAACCTGTCTATTAAGGTCACACAAGGAAAACGGAAATAGTGGCCATTATAGACAGGTTCTCCAACACACAATTGTTTCTCGAGGGAGATAAAAATACATGGCCACTATAGACAGGTGGCCTTTATAGAGAGCTGGTCGGCTAAGATAGGTTTGACTGGATTTAAATCATATTTGGTTTGCTTATTGAATACACCAATGGCAGATTTACAGAATATTCCAACAGGATCTGTGCCTGCATTAATAATACATGTAATTATATTGATAATTCTGTACCTTTATTGAACACAAATCTGCCTGAAATGTACTACATTGACTAAAGTCAAACCAATTTAAACAGCAAAAAGACAACTACCGGTACACTCTTTTTTATTCTCCCTTTAATGTCCAAATGATGTTTGATTGTATAATAATATTTACCTGCAAATCACAGAGTAGGAAGAATCTCCCTCAAAAATCACATTTTATTTAATATGTTGAAATATCAAAATACCAGTGTAAAGAAAAATATAAGATTTTTTTTATGAGTGGCATCGGAGACTACCAACCAAATAATGGAAGTCATTACATTTTGAAACATGGAATTTCTAACATTAAAAAAAAAAATTATTGTTCACCATTTAATTGCCATAGACATTTCAAATTTTCACCTATGTTTCCCCCCTTTCTTCATTTTTTTGATGCAGTTCCAATCATCTTAAAGACCAGGAATAAGTAAAATCGGCTGACTACTAGCATGGCTAGTTTGAACGAAAGACAAAGAGGTTTGGAATAGATCAAGTTGTGAAAGGGACTACTGTAGATCTGTAAATAATGAGATCTGTTGTGTATTCAAGCAATAGATCATCAGATCATTAATAGAAGAAATTTTTGATTATTTGGGTTGTTTATACATGTACCAGATACATTCATTTAGAGGATGCATAGTAAGGTTTTTAATACTTTGGAGGCAAAAGATACGTTCAGAAACAGAAGTGATAAATGATGTGTTAAAGATATTCTTACTAAATGTCTATGTATCAAAGACTTTATGTACGCTCTACACGTACTTATTTATTGAATTGTAGAGTTACGAGGGATAAAAGCAGGGACTGTAGCCACCATATATTTACATAGATTTTCATATTGATTTTCAAATAGAATGGAAATGAAATTAAACATGTAAGTTTTGAAATGTCTGGTTTATTTTGTATATTGTGCTCATCTATGATGTGAATATTTTATAATTTTGCATCACATCATACAGCATCTCATATCTGAGATAAGAACTTATTTTAGTGCAATACATGTAGCATTTTGATGCATTTATATTTTTATTTACATTTATTGTATGTATATATGACATACATGTCAGCTGCCTGCTGTATGTACATGTTTATTAAGGCCATTATGACCATGTATAGTTATTCCAGTGGCAGTAGTTATGGCCTTTATTGCGGTCATGCAGCAAGTAAACTTTTCCCCCCAAGGTCCTTAAAGATAAAGTTGAGTTCTGGTCATGCGATTGCATTGTGAAAGAAACGGTGTGGAATCGATCAGAATAGGTCGATCATCTAGCATATAAGTTTAGGTGTGTACTGCAAGGTTCTGGAATCATCAAAATGATAAGAAATTTGGCCCAGTCTTGGTAAAGTTACAAGCATTGTACACAGAAATATGTACCGGTATATGGGACTACACAAACATGTGGCATAAAAATCTGTCCCAATTTTAATGCTGTTACATGCCTTATTTAAAATATTAAAGCATTTGAAGAAGAACAATGCTTTTCAGGGAACATTTTTAACTGATGTTCTTCCACATTTGCATGATAACAATGATAACGCTCACAAAATATTTTTTACCTCTTCCCGGAACTCAACCTTCTCTTTAAGGCATTGCTTCACAAAACCGTCATAAATACAAGTTTGACGACATTCATTGTTTCATTTTAATACATGTTTCGATATGATGTCAGTAAACCAGTAATTTTGACGGCTTTGGAAGATACTTCCCTGGCCTATGTTAATTAATTGAGGATTTAAATTGAAGGTTTAGTTCATGACAATGTCTCAATATTGGCCAGTATGAAGAAACTCTGTTTTTTGCAGGTATAGTCTGTTAAACCCATAGCAATTCAAAGCATTCTCAGGGGTCTACTTAAATCACTTTTTCCTCCTCAAATAGGCACAAACTATTCTTATTTTCTACTCCTACACAGTTTGAGAAAAAAAAAATAATGAAATGAATCAAATTGTACACAATTGATTATAAATTTCACACTGCATTGCCATTTTAGAGACTGTAATTATTATAAACCGTTGAATAATTCCTATTCACGAATATCACATTGTACTGCATTGTAAGGGCTCAAACATTTTTTTTTGCTGTCTTTTTTTGTTGTTGCTCATGTACAAGGTGCAAGTCCTATCTATGTTTGAACCCCATTATGACAATGAAAGCCATTGTGATAGTGATCTTGCCATGTGCCCTCATGGCGACCATGTGGTAGGAATACTCCCCATTGGTGCACACTTTGTACGAGATGCATCAATTCTAATGAAAGGGCCCCTAGTCTAGTAATTGCTGATAATTTATGTTTGTCAATTAAGACGAAAAGGAATTAAAGAGAGACAAAGGAAACAATGTTTCTTATTATTGATAATTGTGTATATGTTTAAAACTATTAAAGAAATACAGATATTTGTTTTGCCAAGTGTTTTATAGTTCTATAGGACTGCAAAATAGTCTTTGTTATGTATTGTAAAGAATGATTACAAAATTATGCATTTTTTTTTAATGATCCGAATGTGTACAGTAGTGTAGCATAGATAACATGCATTTGACACTCGGGATGTATTGATATTTGTGAAATATTAAAGATTTAATTTGATATATATAATTGCTAAAAAAATGATAGATTTTCATTGTAAAATAGTGTATTTAGCTCTTCATCATACAACTACAGACACAGAGACATGGATTAATACTCTAGTACATTGGTTGTAAGGGGAGTCGATGCATAAATAACCAGCGGGGGGGGGGGGGGGGGGGGGGGGGGGGGGGGGGGGGGGCCAAACCCTATTTTTAAACAAAAAATTAAACATGGGATGTTGTAGAGTTTCGATTGGTATTGATTGATTTAGGGGACTGCCTTGCACTTCTGGATGTACCATCGTACCCTGAAAATATGCTGTGGAAAAAAAAATTAGCGCCACTTTGAGCAGCATATTTTCAGAGTAGTCCACCCAGGAGCTGTGCAAGGGGATCCCTTAAACATGTTGGTACTGAACAAGCTTTTACAACATCCCACGTCTCAAAAATATCTCCAAAACCTGGGTCACATGGGGTTATCTATGAAAAGACATGTGGCAAGAGAATGGTAGAGAATGAAAGAAGAGCCGAATAGAGGGGGGGGGGGGGGTGAAAGTTTTACCAACAAAGATAAAAGAAAGAGAGAGAGTTAGATGAGAGAGAAAGGTAGAAAGAGAGTGAGAGAGAGAATTTAGAGAGATAAGAGAGGTTGAAAAAACGTTGGGATGGTAGTACAGATAACCCCCCCCCCCCAAAAAAAAAAAAAAAAATAATAATATATATACCCGTATATAACTGTCCTAAGTGGAGAAGAAATTCCATATCAATGTGACACCCCATATAATTTTGCTTCTTCTAATATCTTGTGGAAGGATATATCAACCTTCTTATTATCTAACAAAAAAATAAAACAAACACACAAACTGAGAGAAAGAGAGAGAGATTTCCTAATATAAAATGGAGACAAAAGTATATTAAAGCAAGAAATACTCAAACACAAAGAGGGAAGATATACATAGATCATTCCTTTTAATATCTATCTTCTTTATATATCACTCTTAATATGATGACCTTACAAATGTATTAGACATAAAATAAGTAAATGCAAACTCATTTTGTAAGTTACGAGAGCTACTTTTGTGTAGTTTTACATCTTCACTGATCTATAAATCACATCGAATAACATTTCCACTTGTAATAGTTTACTGTCTGTAATAGTGGGCATCACATCGAGGCTTATTATTGCACATAATGACAGTTTGTAATGAGATTTGAATCATAGCGAACTTAAACTTCTACCACATCATCTGAACGACTTGTAAGCAAGAAATGACATTTCTATTAATCACATGGTAATTCTATTGATAGATATGCATAGAGGAAACACATTTTATATTTACAGTACTCTTTACAAAGCTGTTACGTGTAATTAATATCTGAAAAACAACTCCTATCTGACCCTAGACATAATTTGTCTTTCATTCTTGCTTTTTAAAGGTAGGGAATTCTACTGCCACTACTTCAGGTTTAATGTATACTGCCATCTACTGCTCACAATGTCCTGATATGTCGACACCATGTTCCACAATGCCTCCCCAATCGCATGACGCGCGCGTAATGATGCTTGGCTACAGGAACTGGAAATCGCTCTATGAACGCCTTCACCAAAAGATGGCGCAATTAAAAATACATTACAGCAGTGGTAGCGAAATTGGTAAAATACCCTGCCTTTAGTGACTTTGGGTACTAGTAATCAATTTGTTTTCATTTTGCTGTCATACTCGCATAGTTATTTTTATTTTTCAATGCACAATGCCTGGACTGGTTGTTCTCAAATTACATTTCAGAGCTTCATGTTCATGTACTCTCTCTTCAATTTTGAATTTTTTTCCCCTTTCTTTTGATATCGTATTTGATACGAGTAAAGGTAGATTCATGAAGCAAACCCCAAATTACCAATCATTACACAATTCAATTAATAAATGTACACATAGATTAATGCAGGTTCTTGAAAGAAAAGCACACACTTCCTTCATTTTTAGCATTTAAAATTTGTTGTTGAATGACTTGTAGAACCTATAAATGATAGGATATTTTACATGTGTGTCTGTGACCACAACACTTATCTTAAAAATAAACATGAACTATAGTTAACATCCCTCAATTAAACTCTCAACAGGCAAACTTTGAAAGAAGATAACAAGTCTTCTCACATGGTTTCTATTCTGAAAGTCAACTTATCGTATAGGATGTAGTTCATCATCAAAACTCTGCTCACCATGTAATACTACTTGAGCTCTGCAAAGAAGAGGCTCAGTGGTAGAGCAGTGGTCTCAAACATGAGATTATCCGGCATCAAAACTCAGGCAGTGTTCGCTAGTGTCCTTTGCTAAAGCATTAATCCTCATTACCAAGTCAGAGAGGATTTAAAGATGTCAGTCCCCTAATTGCTTCCTTACAAGCATACACATGCTTTCTAAGCAGTTGCGTAAATAAACCCGTCAAAACCATCTCCAAGGAATCATTGTTTGTATGAGATATTAAACAGGTAGATACATGTACATGTACATCAAATAGATACAGATTTGGATAATGTAATGTCAAGCTATATACAGTCTAAGTACATATAAACCAGCAATAATATACTATACTAGATGTCTCGGAGCAAATTAGATTTACAGCATTAAAAAGAGAGAATTATCCGAAGGAAACAAATCATGCCTACACAAATTTCTGACTCGAATACAATATACAGAAAGCTAGTTGTCTACATATATGATTTTAAGTAGGAATAAATACTATACATCAAAACTCCAAGAATTTCATGATTGGAAAATGGTTCCAAATTAATTTTTAAAGAACTAGCAGCAGATTGATAATTGGATGGACATTTATATGAATATCACGTCATAACAGCACCTAAATGTACAAGAAAAACAGCTCATTGAGTTGAAAGTTGGTGATTGAGAATTGGTGTGATACAACCCCCCAATTTTCTACAAACATATAACAATTAACTGCTACCCTGTAAATACAAATAAAATATAAAACTACAATCAATGGCAAATCATCACATGTAGATCAGGGATTGATTAGGAGGATTAAACATAACTCTTCAGTGACATAATACCTTTATCAATAAATCCTTTGACGTTAAAGGCCCAGGCTTATTTAGAGTTCTGATCATTTCAAATTGATCACAAGTCATACAATCAATGGTAATTGTGTAGAGGTGTCATATTGTCTAGTGGATACGTCACGGTCACTGGGCTGTGACTCACACGGTTCGAGTCTCGCCACGGCACCAATGCCCTTCGGCTAGACACTAATTTGCATTAGCCACTCTCCACCCAAGTGATGTAACTGGGTAGGAAGAAATTCCTTGAATGCCAGAGCACCTTTAAGGTAGCTCAGCTAATGCCCAAGTAATATGAGTACAGCTCTGAACAGACGATAAGAAAATCAGAGCATTGAAAGGAAAACAAACTACGCACCATATCAGGGGTTAACAAATTATACAAAGAAAAAGAGTAGGTGGGCTACAGCGATTCGATCAGCATAAATAAAGTCTGGGATCCTACCTTAGACTCTAGTACAAATATATACATAATAATCTCTTAAACCTTTCATTACAGCTATCATAGTCTAGGAAACCCATAGAGATCTGTGCTTTAACAAAAACATTGTGGTACTTAATGGTTAATACAAAGGACTATTGAGAAATTGAAATGTGCTTTCATTTTCCTCTAGTTACCTACAGGTTCCATTCTGAAAAGTAAAATAGTATGAATGACCTGTTTAGGATTACTTAAATGAATTTTCTCTTTCATCGCAGATATTTCAACCTGTTGGAAAATCTTCCTTCATATACCTGGAAGAAAGCGTCAGAAGCCGTACCGTCCAGCATACCCATCGAACTTGCCACAAGACAAAGTTTTGAACTGTTTCTGATTTAATTAGTTGAAGTTTATCTCTAGAGCTTTCATAAATGTTACCTTGTGATACAGAGAGAGAGAAAAAACATAATCTGAAATCTAATCAATCTATAGATCATCATATTCCTCTTCATAAGAGCCTTCATCCATTTTCTGTCATCATGCCCCTTCATGAATATGCATGATCTATGGATTGACCAAAGAAAAGTATGTTTGAAGTCGACAGTATGGAGCTAAGTTGATTTGCCACGCCAAATTTAAAATGGCTGATACTACGGACATTGACTCATTGAAGAACATTTCATTTTATTCAACATGCATTCCTAATGAGTTTCAACCTGAATTTTCAGAATTAAATTACAAAGGTTAAAGACGAAGCAAAAAGAAACTGCAGGAGAGTAGTCCATATTCTGGTCAAATAATGGTACAAAAATGGGATATTTACAGTGGTATGTTGAAGGAATAAATAAACACTGGTTTGTAGATATACATGTATATATATTCTATACTCCTTAGTACAACGATTGAATCGATTCACAGGTTTCATCAAAAACACAGAATATCTTCATAATTAATTGTAACCTATCAAGAGCTCTACTGGAAATCTATGATAATACATTGAGCTACGGCTCTCTGCTACTCACGCTGGAATGATTATTTAGAATCAATTTCTTTTTCAGCAAAAAAAGGAACGAAAGCCATGGAGAAACCTTCCCAGTTTCCATCAGAGATGTTGATGAACGTGCGATGGAGCCCTCCTGAGTGTTGGGTTATCCATCGCTGGCTGCGGTGTTTGGTGGTCGTGGGACTCAGTTGCTGCCCAGTTCACGCAGATCGCTGAGGAATCCCTCCGGCGTTAGGATATGAGTTGAGCCTGGTGGACAGAGGGAAATTTGAGAGAGATGAATTGGAATGAAAATGTTTGTTTTTCTCTGACTCGCTGGCTGATCAGCATATCACACCTCCTCCCACATACACTATGAATATGACTGACAAAGAAAGCGGACAAAATATACAGTTCCTCAGGTAGACAAAGGAACATCCCTTCACTGCTATTATGTAAAAAAGGTGAATATGCATGTGACACCTGTTCTACACATTTTTACACAATAGCAGGGAAGGGATGTTCCTTTGTCTACCTGAGGAACTGTATATTTTGTCCGCTTTCTTTGTCAGTCATATTCATAGTGATAGCAGTCCACCACCCATCAAAGACCACCTACTACTTTTATCACTCCCCTCCTACCACCACCACCACCACCGTCATCATCTTTCTGTTCATTTTTATCATCATCACCACCAGCACTTCTGCAACCATCAACTCTGTGGACTCCTATCCTCCCAAATTTACCATCTTATCCTCATCAGCAGCATTATAAGCATCCTCCTCCTCCTGTTCCACCACCTCCTCCTCACCTTCATTATTGTCATAATCATCATCATCATCCCCACCATCATCTTTACAAACATCATCACCATTATCACCAACACCATCACCCCAAACCAACACCACCAACACCTCTCATCCTTCTCTTTGAAGAGCACCTACCGAAATGAATCTCAGACTTGTTGAACTGTGGGTCTTTGTTATACCACCGCTAATACCCTCACCACAAACCAACATCACTAACACCTCTCATCCTTCTCTTTGAAGAACACCTACCGCAATACACCTCCCACTTGTTGAACTGAGGGTTCTTGTATCATCAACACTAACATCAACACCACAAACCAACATCACTAACACCTTTCATCCTTCTCTTATAAGAGCACCTACCGCAATACACCTCCCACTTGTTGAACTGTGGGTCCTTGGACACCTCGTAGGCGCACCTCATCTCAGAGTAAGAGACTCCTCCGATCACAAAGATGATGAGGCGTGGCCCTGTCTTATAGTCCAGTGGGCCGCGATCCTTGTGCCAGTTGCCATAGCGAGCACTGTAGATGAAAAGATCAGGAGAGTTGGAATGAGATTGAGAATGACAAACAAAAGAACATATGACAAGAGACATTTTTGTAAAATTGAAACCTAATCAGGCATGATTTGGTAAACTGCCTTAAAAAAGAAAAGGAGAGAGAGAGAAAAGTGACAAAAAACTAAATTCCAAGAGGCACTATTTTTCGCATGTAAAAATACATAGCTGGCACAAAAATGACCATTACCGGCATGTGTACTTAGTGATCTGTTTTTCATAAAAAACAGAAATATGAAGTACACTACACTGTCTTATCACTTTCATTGAGGTATATCTCTGGGATTACAAAGCATTGTTACTAGCTGTTCCTTAGTGAGGCACCTTCATTAGAAATTTAAAGTTTACCCGTTTGTCTATCGCAGTTTTAAGAAACACTCTATTGACAATAATTCCCACCTCTTAGGTCCAGAGCTACCAGTGCTACCAGTGTTGTTCCTGCCGGACAAGAAAGGATAATCTCTGTCGCTCAGCTTGTTGGCAATGGCATCCTGGCAAAAAACAAAAATAGACAATTGAAACATTCTTTTATACAATAGGTCAAAAATAAAAAGTTATTGAAGTGTACCAATCTTTAAAAAAACTTGCTTTGTGTCATTTAGTAGTTCAATGTCGCAATATTATATTCAAAAAGATGTGCTTTAAATATTAGTTCTGTGAGGATGTTTTGCAAGTTAAAGTACACTATCAGTGACAGTTTTGTTTTTATATAGTGGTTTTTAGTCAGATTATACGATGTTGATCATAATAAAAATAACACAAGCTAAAGCCTGGGTAATGATTGTGGAGTGCCAAGAGTGTAAGTCTGATATACATTAGTGCTATACAAGAACCCACTATTACTATCATTATCATTATTATCATTATCATTATCATCATCTTCATCATCATTATCTTCATCATTATTTTGATCATTATCATCATCACCATTATTATTATCAAAAATTTTCATTATTATCCTCATCATCATTATTATCATTATCATTCTCATCATCATTATTGATTGATTTGATTGATTTATTTATTTCTGTTTGATTTTCTTTTTCTTTTGCATTTTTACAAATATATAACAAACAAATATTGCAAATTTACACATGACAAAAGAATATATGTGGAATAAGGTAAGGCTGGGTGTAACTAATCGAGAACATCAAACAGGAGGGTTGACAAAATAAGCAAAGCTTGATAGTATGACTACCCTCAAAGGATACATAATAATACAAATATGGAGGAACAAAATATTGGTAAAAAGGGGGAAAAGACAGAAAAAAGAAGAGAAAAGAAAGAGGGGATGCACATCAATATTCACAGACTTATGTGGTAGTTGGATTTCAAATTGATATATAAAGATTTTAAATAAGAAAAGAAATGCAAATTTGAATACTGAGTGGCCAACTTGGGATACAATAGAATGAGAAGACTCTCAAGGTTCGGACAGTAAGCTGGTTTTAAACCTGGGCCTGCGAGTCAGAGCCTTGAAATGTTTGTATAGAAGACAGTGTTTATTCAGTATCCCAAGTAGGCCACTCTTTATTCATACGTGTATTTATACCAGGTCATGGAAGGTTATAATCAACGTTTCAATAAATGGAAGCAAAAAAAAGTAAACAGTACAGAAAATTATCGAGTTTTGTAACGATGGGTAAACGAGGAGAATTTATTTTGTTGATGGATTTAAAGATAATGATAATAATCATCAATATTACCAGTATCATCATCATGCTTATCATTATTATCATAATTATTATCATCATTATCATTACTATTATAATCATTATCATTATTATTATTATCATAATCATTATTATTATTACTATAATTATTATTATTATCATTATAAGTATTGCTATTATTATCATCATTATTATTGTTATCAATATTATTCCAATCTTACCTCCATGACATCTTTGATAACTGGAGTCCATCGAGACATCCTGTATGTCTGCTCTGTAATACGCTCCTTACGCGGCGTAGGTTTAGTCTTACGGCTTCTCTGCTGCTCAGAGGAAACATTAGGGAAAGAAAAATATGGAAAAAACATCTTTTTATCTAAAATGGCTGAGCTTTGATAATTTCAGGGCTAAGGGTGGTTATGGAGGTAGAAAGGCTTACATACACAAAGGCTATCAACTTTTCAAAGAACTGAGATCCCGCTATGAAAAGTAAAAAGTTTAAGGGATAGTTCCGAGATGGGATCTGAAGTCTAGATAACAACACTACCGGAACGATTCCAGGTAGAGAGGAGAGTATGCACTGGTGATGCAGAACCAGTCATAGAGGTGTGGTCTGGTGGATAAGCCACCGAACTGTGAACCCCAGAGTATGGGATACAAATCCCTGCCATAGCACTAGCACCCTTTGGCAAGTCATGAATCTACATTTGCCACACTCAACAGAGGTGAAAGAAATGGGTACGTAGCAGGAAATAGCTCCTTAAAATGCTTGGGTGCCATAAAAGCAGCCATACTAAAGCCGGCATAATAATAATAATGAAGCGCCAGTAGCGTCACGTTTGACAGACATGAGCATCAACATAGGGTTATATCACACTGCAAAACACTGCCACTAGTTATTACCTTACAATTGGAAAGGAACAGTATCATAAACATTTTGTATTGGAGTGCTAAGTTTTCCCAAGCTTGCTTTTGAATAAAAAAAGGACATCTTCAAAAATACATTAGGCCATAGATAAGTAGGTAATATTTCACACCGTACCATTTCGGGGGTGGGTTGTCACTTTCCACAAGGCCTGTTGGTCATAAAACTGGATGCTAATCCTGGTGATTGACAACACCTGTTATTGGGTAAATACCTGAATGGTGTTGAATCCCCATGAGAGCCCACTCCGATGCATCTTTAAGAAAACTCTGAACTGCTATGTATTAAATTGCCAATGTCTATTTTTTTTTCTCTTCATATATGCCCATGTTAACTTACATTGTGGATGATCTGGACACCAAGCTGGGCCATGTTATTGACGATGGGTCTGTCTGTGTCGGGTATGGCAGCGTGTTGAATCAGCTTGTTCAGATTCTCCTCAGTGATGCCCACTTTACCATCTGAGCGAGTGGCAGTAAAACAAACAAATAACAACATCATAATAATCATAATCAAAGTGATAATAACAACAACAGACAAAAAAAACCCACCAAAAACAACAATGATAATATAGTCAAACCTGTCTATACGACTGCCCAAGGGAAACACAAAAAGTGGTCTTTGTAGACAGGTTCTTTCAGTACGTTTTAATGAGAAATCTTTTTCAAGGGAAACACAAAATGTGGTCTTTGTAGACAGCTGGTCACTAAGGCAGGTTTGACTGTGACAATATTGGACTCATTGCCACTCCAGTCAATCCACTGTTATTACCCCCGGCCTTAGCATGCCTACCATTGTGGCTCTAATGCATTTAAAGGAATTTCTTGCCGGGGACTTTAGTGCTGAGACAGGGATTCGACACAACACACATTAGTGGAACAGTGTAAAAAAAAAACTTTATTGTTCGCGGGAGTTTTTTTAGGATTTTCCCCAACGACCTATAGAAAAATATTTATGGAACTTCGGCAGACTCACAGTGCCGACGATCTCTGATCTTAGGGGAGGAAGGATACAAGAGAGAGAGAGATATTAAAGATTTTTTTTTTTTAACCAGAGCTCTTTTGGAGCTTTCGAGAGTAAAATCGCTCATCTCTCCCCGTGTATTTTTCCCCGCTACAATAATAGGAGGAGAGGAGTGGAAAGAGATGGAATTTGGCAAGTCCAAGATATTTGGTCAATAGGTGTCCCATACATTTGAGGATTTCTGAACATATAACAGATTGACATTTCTAATAAATGTGTCATTTTACTCCACAATTGTTCTGGGACCTGTTTCACAAAGCTTTTTTTCAATGGCAAATGACAAAACTCAGTGACAAATCTGCTGATAACCAATCCGAAGCAAGGATTTCACGAGCTTGTAACAAAAACTGTCACTGATGACAAGTTTGGTGAAATGGTACCCTGATCTAAACATTACTAGGGCTATTGACTAAATGTGATGCTAATATGTATACTAAACTATTTGATGAGGTAATGAATGAGACAAAACAGTTTGGGATTGCACCATTAATGACATGAATGTTGTGATGTTCACCTGAAATTCTTGAATTTAGTAGACAAATTACTGAAGTCCTTTCCCACTATAGGCTCATTCATGTAATGTATGAAGAGGTAGACCTCAGTGGGTTTTTCATAATGATTTAATACACAAGTGAGATACGCTTCATCTTAAACACAATGCATGCTGTAAAAATAAATACAGTGGTTTAAAACCACACATCTGAACAAGGCTCAAGACATTGTTATGTAATCAATGACTACTATCTTTACCACACACAAACTGCTTGACATGAAAAATGATTTTATCATCCTGTCCTTGTGGATGGTTACAATAAGAAAGCTTTACTATTGTTTGAACAAGTTGCAGATATATTCCCATCCCTTTCCCTTGTCTTTTGTAGTTAATTGTGAGTATTAGAATACTCTACCTCAATAGATTAAGAATAGCAGTTCTGCTGAAGTGTTAAAAAACAATCTTAAGAAATATCTCTTTAATTTAGGTTATAATTGATTACCATTACCTTTCATGTCTGTACCTTTCCTATTACACTTTGTATAAATGTATCATGTATTTCATCTTTTGCACAAGCTGCGCCTTGAGCATTTGACTGTCAAGTGGAATCGGCGCCTTATAAATCTTATGTATTATTATTATTATTATTATTGGTTCATGTATCCCTGTAATCTTTCCCTGTTTTAGCGTGTATTTGTATTTTATAAACCTAACTTTAGTTAATTATGTCATTTGTAGTTTAAGGAGCCTATCCACAACAAGCTCTGCTTTTCCATAGGCTCTGTCACTATATCTCTTAAGTTGAACTCAAGGATAATATTCTGAATAGTGTGTACCGGGATTGTATGTACATGTATATTATAATAATTTTTCAATATGTTGTTACACTCTTTGTAAAATGAGATATTGTGGAAACCAATACAACTATCTAACTATCTAACTAATGTGGACAGTACGATGATTCTCACCAGACTGCATACACACCAATGAAAGACGGATGAGATGAAGTGCGAATGAAACACATACCATTCTTACTAATAATGTAGAGAAGGATCACACGAAGCTTATCATAAGCAGAGATCTTGGTGTCGAGCAGGATGGGGACGATGTTGCGCATGTGATCCTTGACCTTCTCTCCCTCGTAGTCCATGCCCATAGCCAGGTCCTGTTCCACACGGACCAGCTTGTCAACGTTGTTCTTGTATTGGTTCATGCACTCCTCGGCAAGCTTCAGCTGGGTGGTGTACTGAAAACACAAACAGAAAACAAAAATACATTGTTTCACATACATACAATGTACATCAGCATTCTACACATTTCTAGGATCATAACAACTATTGTTGACCTTAAAGGCATCGTTTAACAATGTTAAACCTGAAATGCACGGCCCTACATGTACGTCTTATTAGTGTCTGTGATATGGTTTAATATTGAAGCCCTAAAAAGCATTGCGCTTAAAAATGATTATGAAATGCCTCAAAAAAGTCAAAAGCTTTGAGTGACCGGTTTTACCATACTCATATTCCCCAAAAGACTGTAATGTTATAAAAACTGTTAGGAAAACGCAAAATTAGATTTCGATTTCCAATCATAAATATCTTGATAATCAGACAGGCAATCAGCTTGTAAAACTCATAGGATTCCTGACTCTTTCAGAATCTGAGGCAATGTTACCGAGTCACTTTAATGCAAAAAAGATTTTCTAAGACACTGCCTCAAATCTGTATAACGAATGTAATCACTTGTACACAGCTCAGGTATTATATTAGACATGCAACAAAAATGGATGCAGTATGTGCAGAAATTGTTGCCCCTTCTATTCATGTATCCGGCAATTTTTGTAGTGCTCTGAATCAAATGTGTTTTTCGATCAGCCACAAAATGTGGAAATATTGTCGTAAAAGGGTTAAATGAAGCAATTGGCATTGTAATGCATTCTTGATGCAGAAAATACACACACCTTTCTTAACTCCTTCTGATACTGTGGCATCTTCTTGATCATCAGAGTCAGATCACGGACACTCGTCTGGAGAAGATAAAAAAGATCACCAATATCAATATTAAGTAAAGACCATGATGTAAGGGGAGGAAGACTACATGGACATGTACACATATATGTCATGATGAACAGCATTTTGAAGGATTGTTCCTTTCACAAAAATCAACCTAGTAACAAATACAAATATATGTTTATTGTAGCTATTTAAGACTGGAAGAAATATTACTGGAAGAATTATTCACCACAAACTCCTTTTTTGGGGGGCAGGTAGACAAAATCTTACCACAGTAACACATCATTAAAAAAAAAGAAGAAAGTTGTATGATGTTTCCACAGGATGACATCAATGTACATTTTGTATGTTGCAAGAATGTGATGAAGCATTAACAGTATTTCAACTTTTATGAAGACCTTAATGTACCTGAAAACACTTCCAAATAATTCAGATTTTCAGGAAAGCACACATTACTTGTCCATGCAAGAATGGAGGAGAGAGGGGGAGGAGAGAGGGGGAGGGAGAGAGGGAGGGGGGGGGGGGGGGGGGGAGAGGCGGGAGGGAGGTGGTAATCTTCAAATAAAAATTTACCTTATCACCTCCAGATCCCATCTTCTTGCCTTGAGCAAAGTCCTTGAATTGCTGAGTAACCGTCCTGTGGATGTGGGAAGTTTGCAAAGAAAGTTAAATATCTATAGTTCACAGTTTAGTGCTGTTCTAGCAATATTTAGGCCTATGGATATAAATATTGTTCTGGCTGAAATGTAATACTTATTTGATATCAAATTCAACAAAACTGATGTTAAATCGGCAAGAAAAGTGACAAGAAAATTTCAGTCTACTTTATATTACCATCATAAGGGCCTTTCCCCTAAAGTATTTAGGAAGTATGTTAATCCATTGCATTATCAAGGTAAATTGCAGAATGTTAAATTAAAATCCCAAATTTATGATTTTCTGATTTAAATCAATCCAATAACCAGTTCACGATAATATTCAAATTGTAAGCTGACCTCTTTTACAATCACAACCCTTAAAAAGAAAGAAAAAGATCTTGGTGTTCAACATAGCATACTATTAAAGTATGCATAATTTTGAAGGAAACTAGATGGAACTTCAACTGCGCGCAGTCGAAACTGATGCCTCCACCATAGAGCAATTTCACAAACCAAAACAGAAGCAATCTTTCAAGTTCAAGTTTAATTGTAATCCATTAACAGGTTCTCAGAATATCATGATTACAAGCTATTTTTCATATATATGCATGACCCTTTTATGATCTTTGACCTCATGACCCTAAAATCTAATCAGTTCATTGGCTCTGCAAGATACATACATGTACATGTCTTGAGTTTGATGGTAGTCCATCCATCGGTTCTAATGATGTGATCACCAGCTATTTTTGCATACATAATGAGCACTGTGACCTTTGACCTTGTGACCCCAAAATCTAATCAATTCATCGGCTCTGCAAGATGCATACATGACCTAAGTTTGGCAGAAATCCATCAATCGATTCTTGAGATAATGCGATCACAAGATATTTTTACATATATAATGAGCACTTTCATCGGCTCTGTAAGATACATACATGACCTAAGTTTAGCACAAATCCATCAATCGATTCTAGAGATAACACGATCACGAGAATGGGACGTACGGACAACCCGAAAACATAATGCCTCAAGCTAATTCGTAACGGAGGCATAAAAATCTCTTAACATACAAAGACAATCGTCATCACAGGGCATTTCAGGTAGAAACATCTTAAAATGTGAGAACATGTGTGAAGGGGTCTACTGCCGGAAGACACTCACGTTGACACCACAGCAATATGCTGATGACGAAGGGTCACCCACATCTCGTCTTTATCATCCATCAATACCTCACAGTCCGGAGCGCTACCACCTTGCTGCTCGTATCTAATAACAAACGAACAACATATACAGACACGTGTTAATGAGGGTATGATACATGTATTACTCAGCACATCAGTTTAAATTACAACACTCAATTGACCTCATCAAAAAAAATCGAAGAGTCATACAAGAATAAATATGTCCTTACTCCTGGTCAAGAGCACATCTTTTAAAGCCTGTCTGCACTAGTGTGGCCAGGAGGGATTAGACCTACCTGCATGGTCACTGACAGATGGTTATCTCATCAAATCAGCTCTCAATGAACATGAGAAAAAGGGGACAATGGGGGACCAACGGGTGCATTGTTTACTATATAGAGGGCGCAAGTAGTGTAGTCTCGCTTTAACCTGAGACAAGCAGACTTTGTGATGGGCGTAAAAAGTTCTGCAACTAAACTTACAAGTACAAGTCATGCTACTATTTAACTAAACTTTAAGATTTAAGATTTGGCGCTGCTACATGTATATGAACTTTCATAGGCCATACATGTATTTATATGATAGTGAACATCAGTGTGGTAGGCTTAAAAGCAGCTCTAATTTATACACCATTATAAGCATATGTTCAAAATCTCATAAGTATGATACAGATATTTCTTGTGACTATAAAAAAAAACCCACCTACATGACTAATCACTGAGATCTGCGAGTGATTTGAAAGAGTGATTAAGACATGGGTGCAAAGAAGAAATGTTCAAGTAGATAAAGTGTCTCGCTAAAAGGGACGTTTAAGTTCTGGGAAAGGTGAAAAAACAAAAATATTCTTAATATGTTGGTGTGGAAGAGTATCATAGAAAAAGTGCCTCCTGAAAAGGCTTGCTTTTAAATTCCCTAATATTCAAAATATAAATGAAAAGTAACAGTGAATGCTTGTGGACCACACTTTCATACATGTTTGTGTAGTCCCAGACACACATTTAAGTGTACAGTGCAAGTGACTTTTAGCAAGACTGGGTCAATTTCTTATCATTTTGATTTTGATGACTCCAAAATCTCACAGTATGTGCTACATGATCAACCTTTTCCCATTGCTTCCAAGACAATTTCTTTCACAATGCAATTGCATGACCAGAACTCAACGTTATCTTCAAGGACCCCTGTGTTGTCCTGGGACTTGAACCTATGACCTCTGCATGTATTTAAATCAAGTGGTTATAAACCACTGGACTACAACAGCTTCACTTACCTGTAGACATCATTCTCAATGGGCAGCAGGTCATATGCCATCGCTTGGTAGGTGAGCTCGTGAAGCAAAGGGGAGACAGGGTCAAAGCCACGGTCGATGACCAGGAGCTGAGATCGGCGCTTCTCAGGGCCCTCTCCCATGCTGGGGTCATCGGCCTTGTAAGCGTCTAGCTTGTTCTGAATCATGTGGGCAAACTCCATGTTACGGTCAAACTCGCTGCCATGGGAGGGAACAGGGACAAGGATACTTACAATTATGCAGAATATAGGTAATAATAGAGAGAGAAAGAGAGGGAGGGGAAGAGACAGAGAGAGACAGACATACAGGGGGAGAGAGAGAGGGACCAAGAGAGGGCAGAAAAAGGGAGAGATAGAGAGAGAGAGAGAGAGAGAGAGAGAGATAGAGAGAGAGAAAAACAGGTAGTAGAGATCCAAGCCCTGCGTCATAACGCTCTTACAAATATCAAATGTCACCTATCCGTTGAAAAAATTCAGTATCTGGTTCTTTCCATAAATAAATAATGAAGTTTGTGTAAAATAAAAATCAGGACAAGTTTACTTTAAAGTAAGAAAACAATAATGCAATTACATGTACTTCTTCAAGTACTGCAAATCACTGCTTCTTAAAAGACAATCGCTACTCCCGTTACATGTATATTTAGAACTAAAACACTTCTCTTTAATACTACAAGGACTTTGAGCAAGATTCTTTTCTTTGGCGCTCGACATACCTTCTGTAGCGAATGGCTGGGTATTCACCAAGCGTAGAGCAGAGTGTTGCGATCTGTTCAGCCATACGTTCAATGTACATGGGTCGAGACTGTCCCCGGCCTGGGTTGTAGAACACATTGAAGCTGTCTGGGCAATCTAGTGAGAACACCTAGGGAACAAAAGTGTAACAAAGAAAGGAAGTTATCAAGTTTTTCAAAACAATTGACCATACTTGGCTGAAGAACTCCAGATTCAATGCCCTAAAGAATTTATCACATTCACAGAAAGAGCATAAATTGCCCATAAACGGGTACCATACATAGGTTTGGTGCTTTACCATAATTATAGCATTCCAAGTTCTAAATTTTAAAAAGGAAATTTGGCAATTAAATCCTTAATTTAGCAAAGTTTGAAATCACTGTTGTTTGATCCCAATTGACAACATTCTTGTAACTTTTACAGACTTCTTTCTGTGCATGTTTATTCTTTTTAGATAAATGGGTTCATGCAAAAGACATACATGTAGGAAGTCAAATTACATAGGCAACCAGTAATCCCTTATGTCTTGTATTATAACATATTATAATTTTTAAGTGGATTTACCTCAGAATGACATGTTTAAAAGTTACCCATACATATTGCACTTCATTTATATATATCCATGAAGAGGTTCATCTGATTGGTAGTGATTCCATGAATCGAAAACAAACAACCTTTTTGATTGTGAAACTGTGAAAAATTCAATTTATGGATTTATCTATATCATATCACTCTAGACATACAACCTGTACGTGACTAATACAGGAACAAGAGCATAGTTATCATACGGACCTGTGACTCGTACGGTAGGAATGCAACGTTGATTTCCTTCAGGGTTTTGATGAACCGTTGAGCTGGGCTCTTACATAATCTCCCAAACAATGCGTCCTCACAAGCTGTAGAAAAGAGAATCGCAAAACCAGGAAAATTGTTTTAAAAGCCTGTATAATAATAATAATAATAATAATAATAATAATCATTTAGTCCACTCCAAATTTTATTAAACCAAAATGAAAATTCTTTTTGCCCAATTGATTGTGAGCCCGGAAGCCACTGAGCAGCGCCAGATCGGCGTTGCTCTATCCCTTATTGTTGGACGCCAAACAAGGTAGCAGCAACTCCCATCTTTTAACGTCTTTTGGTATGACGCAGCCGGGGATCGAACCCACGACCTCCCGGTTGTGAGGCGGACGCTCTACTGACTGAACCAACACTCCATTTTGTTTTGTTTTTATTTATTTTTATAAAATAATAATCATTTACATTCACGTTTACATATATCTTTGAATTAATAATCTCCCCATAATTTTACATGCCGCAGAATCACGTTTACTTGATTTCAAGTTTTTGTGATGTACATATACCCGGTATGTACAATATGGTAAAGGAAACTAACAGAGGAATTCCTAGATTCCTATAATATGCACTACCGGTATACACATATTTTGTTGTATTTTTTAAATATTAATTAAACAACACAGTAACTGTACTAGGATGGGAAAAGAGGAGCCATTAAACAAACATGTGCACTGTATGTAACATTTGAATTCTCTGTAGTTTCATAGAAAGCTTAATGACAGGGCAGACAGAGTACATGCATATACACCTGATTCATGAAATATCAAAATTACACTTGGCATTTCCCTGTTTAAATCAGCATAACAATGTAAAATAAGATTTTTTTAAAAATCCCTGTACGAATTCCCTATGGAACAGGACAGAATAGTTGGTCACTTCTTTTACTTCTAGCTCAGATACCAAGGTCCAATGGGATTTCTGTACAGGGTAAAAATACAAATTAATGAAATGTTAGTTACATGTACCAAACATTGGCAGCACTAACAGTACCTTTGTTGAGGCAAGTTAAAAATCACTAATATTTGTGTGGTGAAACATGCACAAATATTAAAAAATTCCCAGAATTTTGAAAAGTTTGGATATAACAAAAATTGTAAACTTACTCTCTGTGAAGAAGATATGAGCGACCTTGTACTGAAGAGAGTTAATGTCCTTGAAGTCTGCAATCAGCTGCAAGATATTCTAAGAGAAAAATGACATAATACAGGTTAATCATAATAGTTAGTACATGTAGAATGTCTCTATAACTGTCAAGTCACCATGGATTTTCACCCTGGGCTGCGACATTGCTTGATGTACATATTATACTATTATACATGCACACTATGTGTATGTGACAAAAATCGACTATGACAATCCACTTGTTGGTTTCATTGGTTGAACAAGGCTGGTAAAGGGTTTTAACTTCGAGTACTATTGCATTTTTAGAGAATCGGACCTTAATCATTGTATTCTGCAAAGTTTAAAATAAGGAACATCGTCCATATAGATACATATAATATGTGCAATTTTTTCGCAGAAGCAAGTACATGTACATACATGTATATAAAATGATCTAAGAGGTGCTCTCAGATTGTAGTTGCAATGCACAGTGACACCATTGTTTTCTGATGCACAAAATTTTCTTGACCACGGCTTGTCAAAAAGTTAAAATTTAAATAGAAGTGTAGAGCAATATTGTAAGAAGGATATTCAAATGAAGGTCACATAACTCAATTCAAATATACAATGAATATGCAAACTTACATGTAAGTCTGATAAACGTTTCTTATATTTTGATTTTGAGTTATTAATAATGAAAAGTGCCAAATGTCTCTGTTTTATACGTAGCCTGTACGCCCACAAAGAACGTAACCAGGGTAATATCCAGTGATCCCAAATTAGTCTAGTTTTGACTGCTTTATCTGCTGTAGGCTTGTGTAATAAAGTATATAAAAACTTACTTTTTCATTGGGTTGAATGATGTAGACACCTTCTAATCCCTTCAGAGGCTCTCTCTTCTTATTGATATCTTCCACAACTAAAAAAACAATAACCAGATATATATACAGTCAAACAAGCTCTACATGTACATGTTCAGTATATGTTGATGTTTATTGATATCTTCTACATGTTTATCTATTCAATTCAATTCAATTCAAAAAGAGTTATTCATCAAATGATTAGCAGCTAAAGGCTGAATTGCACATTTGTTACATTTAAAGAAATTATTGAAAATAGATACATACAAACAAAATTGCAAAGTGCACGTTACAAACCAATAGTAAATGTTAAAAGTTTAAAAAGTGATGAGTGGCAGTGGGCATTCTCGTGGTGATGGGCATCTATAAAATAATAATCTGATAATAACAGTCTAACCCGCTCTACATGTTTATAAAAAGAACATATGTTTATATAGACTACCAGTAGTTTGATAACTCTTTCTTTGTGTAGTGATTATCATCGAAGCAATTACTTATAAAGGAACTTGTACATAAAGACCACCAGCCTATATAAAGAATCAGGAGATGCAAAGACAAGTATATTTCTACTCAAAAGGATCAAATGATAAAGCAATCTGCAAAATACATGTACATTTAATGTACATATACATGAACAATCCAATTCAAATGGTATAGAAAGTTAAATTGATGAAGACTCTACTAGTGCCAGGCTTAACAATAATCATGTCCAGAGCAAATGGGTTCTTTAATTTCAACTCTGGACCACAAAACTTAGAAACAGCAAGCCGATCCATAAGGACCCTACAAATATCTTCAATCTGGACACCATTCCCACATGAAAAAAAAAGTAATTGTGAAGCTTAAACTAATGCTTTAAAATACACTGCATATATACATTTGTATACATAAGTCTTTGAGGAAAAAAAAGAAGAAAGACAGGACTTACTTGTAATGCCCTCATCGGCTAGATCATGCATACGAACACATGCTGATATCATCCGCATGCTCAGCTGATCCAAGACCAATACCTGAAAAGCAATTTAATTTTAAGAAAAAAAATGTACATTCACATCAAATACTGTATGTATTTGTATTTGTATTATTTTAAATCTAAGCAGTTAACTATAATTAAGCAATACAAAAGGGAAGATACAGAATATCGATATCCAAAGAATTAAGTAGTGACAGTCCTATGCTGAGTGTGAGCCACTGACAAGTACTGTAGCTTTTTCAAACCTTTAAAAAAAAATGATCTGGTAAAAAAAATACAATAAAGTCTTAAAGATAAGAAAAAAGCTGCAAAATGACAATCTTAAAGTGCTCCTGTGAACAGAAAAGTCTTTTGTCCACTGAAGTAAATCTAGATTCTAGAGTACAAAAATCTTGAATACAAAAATCTTGGAATACCATGCCATTGTTTAGCACATGTACATGAATGCTAATGTCATAGTCACTGAAAAAAAAAAAAAAGTGAACAAGGTTCACTGCAAAATCAATGCAGCAACAGGCTGGAGCAGGGTTAATTCAGTGTTTGGCACTAGTATGGTCACCATGCCATTGTTTAGCACAAAATTGTTTGCAACCTTGACAACTTGGCCAGTATGAAGCCACACTTCAGTTCTCTATTGAAGAGCCAAAATGACTGATAAATTATCCAACACAAATAAAATTATCAGCGACTATGACATTAGCATTCATTTCCCAATACAATTTAAAGCAGTAGCAACAACTTTAGTATGAACATGTACAATGTACATGTACCTACATGTATTGACATTAAAACTGCTGATACACAAATCTCCTTTCATGTAATTTTCAATCTTTCTACCAGTATGTACTGGTCAATTAAATACAGCATATAAATAACACTTGTATGACATACCATACTTGATAGTAACAGTATACATGAGCAAAAGTCATTTACTTACATTTTGGCACTTCCGCTTTCTGAGCGGTATAATGACATCATTCATAATACCTTGAAAGGGAAGAAAAAGAAAGAAGTGATTATAATTCAACATCAAGGACATTCAATGCCATTGATCAATCAACTTTGAAATATGAAGCAATGTTAACACAAATAACAGATATCTGCTTTCCACACGTTCCCTGGATTAATGTGTTGGAAGTTGCAGCTACATGTACATGTACATCGCAAATACATGTAAATTAAATGTGCACACTTTACAGTTATAACTGAAGGAATGAGACATCTAGTAAACTCTACAGAGTCTACATACATGTACACGTAGATAGATCTGCACTTTGCACTTGTAAGAGAAAACTTAACCTTCCTCCTCAAATCAGGGCAAAAATTTGAAATGGCTTAATTTATCAGTTTTTCTTCTCTTAAGGGAAATCCAAAATTAATAGCGAAGAAAAATCAGAGAAGAAAACCGATGAAAGCCTGTTTAAATGAAATCAGATCAAGAAAAAAATGAGAAAGTAATCCAATTTTTAAAATTGTCACCACTACCCAGTACCCATATTGACACTTCACATTGAATCGGCATGTCTTTGTGATATAGATCTAGTGGTTGAAAAGACTTTCCCATTTGTTCCAACACAAACAAAAATTCAAATTTTTCAAAAAAAGTAGGATTCAGGATTGTCTTTCTCTTTCTAGAGGACCTGTAATAATATATTCTCCATAAAGAGTCCAAATGTTTGGAGTACATGTAGCTCCCCTGCCTCCCCAAGGGTGAGGGCAAATCATTGTGTGCTTTAAGAATACAACCAAAATAAAGATGGAAAATAAACAAGCACAGACATTTTGCTCTTCTTTTTCTTTCAATCTATCTGGTTCTTGTCAGTTCTCCTTTTTACTTCTTCATTTTTTTTAGAGTTCTCAAAAAATCATGTCAGTTATTGAGCCAAACCACAAAGTGACACTATAGTTTGGAATGGGACAAAAGGTGTAATCATTTGGATATTCCTCACTGTTGGAGACAGAAAGACAAAACAAAAGCAAAACACATGAAATACAAATTACAATACTAAATAATGCTGGGGTGCTTTTAAAAATTGTTTTCTATTATTCATCCCGCAACATGTTCCTGATTGTGAATTGCAACGTGGAATTGCAATGGAACAACATTGCGATGACTGAACACTACGGTAATAACAGAATGTGGCAGCGGTGGCAGATGGCTAAGCTGCAAATTATTGATTAAAAATATGCACTCACATTAGCCCTAATCTAACCAGTATTTAAATGGCAAGGACAAAAATGCACTCACACATCATTCATAGACTATCTTGAGTTATTTTCCTTTTCTCCGTGTCACATACAGAAGTCAGCCATTTTTGCGAGCAGACTTAAATTTAAAATCTTTCCTAATTCATCATTTTTTGTTAATTTGTATAGTGTCACAATGGGAGAGGTTCCTAGAAAAAATAATTAGGGCCTAGATCTAGGCTAGTAATGACCAATAAATGTAATCATCTTCATCAAATTAGATTCTCAAGAAGACAACAAATTGAAATTGATAAATAATTACTAAGTATTTCACACCTAACTTACTCCTTTAAAAATCCAGCGTATTTGCTTGGAAAGCATTTTACCTGAGCACGGGATTAAGCCAAAGCCAAACATCATTCAATGATTCAATGCCTTCATCATCCACATTTATTTTCTCAGCTCAGCTCAGCCTCGACCCACCCACACACACACACATTTGCATTCGATTCAGGTGAACAGTGGTCGTTATCATAATCGTTTGGCAGTTTTCCCTCCATCACATAAACAAATACCAGGAGGTACCTAACGACAATAGACTTTAAAAACATACGCGACTTTAATTTTTTTAAAGGAATGTTAAAATATGACATAAATTTGATTTTACTTACGCTTGTTAACCAACGCCTTTAACGCCATTTTGCTTGCTCAATGTTTACCAATATGTACGCACGTACGGGTCGGCTGATATAGATTCCACACACGTAGCATAGCATTCCGCGCGGAGTCGCGCTGCAAAATCCTCTGCTTAATGGGCAAGAGCATGATTTATTAATGAGTTAATTGCGCGCGTACGTACGTGTACGTTATCGCTGGAGAATATTAAATGGGAAATGAACAGTAATTCGGGATACACATAGATTTTTATGTCAACACTGAGGCTAATTTATTTATTTCCTGTCTTTTATCTTATCGAAAGACAAAATGAAATCATTTATTTTGTTAGTGAACAGAAAGTGTTTGAAACATTATAATGCATTCCAATCGACTAGTGAGGACAAGACGAAGCACTAAAAAATGTAGTCATGATTAGTGGGCGTGGTCGGATGATTGCGGCGACACTTTTCTCGTGGATGCATTGATGGAGGATGCACTACAGAAAATGAGAATATTAGGCTTAACGCATGTAATAAAACAAAATCTGTCTATTTCATTTTCTCATACTTGAATGATTACGTCTAACCCAGCAAATATGTATACGTAGACGGCTTCGATACTAGTAATGTGTAAATGAAAAACCCACCCAGGGTACCTGATAGGCCGATATACCAGAGCGCTATTTGGCTGCCAGCTATGATACGTGTATTGATGTTGGAGCGCCAGGAGCGTCACGATAATTTATGTGCGATATTTTAAGCCACAATTTATTTTATTATCAATTTATAACCCCATCTCTCGAAATGCTACCGATTTACATGCATTCAAGACATTTTCCCCAACAAGTAACCATTCGACACGTGGGTGGAGAGTGGCAAATGCAGATAAATGCCCCGGCAAAGGACACTAATTCCGCGACGTGATCGACTCGAGCCGACGATCTTCATATATCTCAATTCAGGGGTTTGGAAAATACCTGTCGAGGGCAGTCTCTCCACTTCAGTAATACTAAAATATATCAATAGAACAGTATTATATGTCTCCCTCTTCAGTTTGCTGTGATCCCTTATTCATGTTTCCATGTATTATGATGTCATCGAGTGGAATAATGAGACTGGCTTCACAAATTTCGTGTCAGTGCAGCTTTAAAGGTGCTAGGTTAATGCAGAGGACGTGTGAAGAAAGGGAGGATGATTAGAAGAGGAGGAGGAGGATAAATTAGAAAAAGAGAGATTCTAAGATGGAGAGAGTGATAATGAGCAAGTGTGGGTAAGGGAGAGAGATATAAGAAGACTAAAGAAGATCAACTTGAGAAAGAAGGGAAGAGAGAGACAAGAGACAAAAGACAAGAGAGAGGGAGAAAGAGAAGGCAAATGCGACATTGCTCTCCTTTCCAAAGAATAACAAACAAAATAATTGAATAACACAAACATACAGAACTGAAAACGAGAAATAAGCCAAATAAAAGAATAATGGACGAGATCAAATTTTGTCCACTTCATGAATCAGAAAAATGTTCAAACAAAATGCAAGATTAATTTTTACCCATGCATGCAGCACGCCGGAAAGAGCTTAACAATTAGGATTATCTCATCGATGACAACCTTGGCTTTCATGCATGTGTGACTGGACTTCAATCAATATTGTGTGGGTGTTAGCAGCAGGAATTTGGGGTAGGGTAGGCCAACAGAAAGATTCAGTTTCATTTAAGTTTATTCGATATTTTCCCATCACTTGAGGACAATTATTATCATGTGTGATAGAAGAACGTGGTAATTATGATATAGCATACAAATATGTGAAGAAACATTACTTAATATTCCTTTCTTTTTTAATATGACTACAATACAGTATAGTTATAAGAAGAAGAAAACTCCTGGTGGGGGGTTCAAGTGGGCCGCCTTAGGGGTATTCCCCCTATTCGGGGTCCAGCCCACGGACGCTCTCTAGCTTAGGCAATTCAGAACCTTCAAGATAGAATTCTAATCCATATCTTCTGGGGAGGGAGGGGGTTCCAGGGGAAGGAGCCCCCGGTCGCTCTTGAGAACCTTCAAGATGGCCATCACGACTGATAGAAATGATAATCATCTCCTTGAAATTCACACAGCCCCTAAAGTATTTCGAAGCTCACTGCTATCGTGAAAGCGCAATTTTTCCCTGGCGAAGCCCAGGGGTCCAAGGGTAGCAGGGGCAGAGCCCCTGGGGGAGGGGGTTAAGGGGCGGAACCCCTGGACGCTCTCTGGCTTTAGCAATGCAGAGCTTTCAAGACGTCTCGAGCAATATAATCTGTAATCTATATCGCTTGAAATGTGCACCCCCTGTATCGGTCTTATTTGGTTGGAAAACAATTTTTGTATCTCTTTATCCCTCACCCTCTTCCAAGGACAGTTTAATTTAAACATATATAGGGTTTTGAACGACTTCTATCTTTACAAATAGGGTCCAGTGACCCGCCGCAAGGCCCCTGGAGGGACGCAGAAGCAGAGTTTGTATGCCATGGGTAAAGGGGCTGAGCCCCCGGACGCTCCTGAGTTTTAGCAATTCAGAACCTTAAGATAGCAGTCTTGAAAGGTAGAAATACTGTAATCTGCGCTGCCCCTTTTGAGCTATTTCGTTGAAAATAAAACATTCTCTCTCGCACACAGTCCTAGAGACAATTTTAAAGAACAAAGGGTTGTCCTGAGAAACCATTTCTATCTTTACGGATGGGGTACAGGGGCCCAGCGTATGGCCTTGTAGGGGCTGCAAAACGATTACCGTCTCTTGCGATACTTGTCGTATTTTCTCCTTGAAATTCAAATAGCCCTAATTATTGTATAAAGGTGGCGATTTTTTCTTCAAGTATCTCTCTCTCTCTCTCTCTCTCTCTCTCTCTCCTCTCTCTCTCTCTCTCTCTCTCTCTCTCTCTCTCGCTCTCTCTCTCTCTCTCTTTCTCTCTCTCTCTCCCTCTCCTTTTCCTCTTTTCATCTCTTTTCTGTTTCTTTTCCTTCTCTTTCTTCCCTCTCTCTCTTTTCTTTCATTTTTACAGAATGCTGCTGCTCATATATATTGTTATCGTCATCATTATTATTATTACTATCAGATGCGTACGCAGGGGGGGGGGGGATATTGGGGGCCGAACCCCCCCCCCTCAAATAAGAGGGGGTATATGAAATAATCGGTGAAATTTTGAACCTCGACCGCCCCCGTCTCCCATTATCCGGATTCATGGTGAAATGTATCGTTTTAACAAAAGCGACCTGAACAGCACCACTCTTCTGGAACTGAATATATTTGCTCAAATGAAGCGTTCAACCGTTTCATGATAAAAGGCATGATTATCGTAAAGCCCCTATCAAGGATTCCCAATTAAGCCCTCAACAATCCAAAACCCATCTGTAGCAGTAATATCAGTTTATTGAAGTGTGTGTAAAATTTCAGATCTAAACAAAATCTATATGAGTGGAAATTGAAGCCCTCATTTCGTAAACAACGAATGGGTTAATGGCAATTGAACATTTTGTAAAGTAAATAGCCTTTACTTTTGGTCATAGTAAACATTTTGCCACCATAATGTTACAGAAATTGGATGCTCGAACGATTAAAAGGGAGGTCTGAATTGGAGACTAGCTTTAATTTGGGCGAGGTTTTTGGGAGTGTGTAAAAGTTTGGAGGTCGAGGCCGAGGTAGTTTTGAGACAGACAGATTTTGTGAGAACTTAGAGTTAGGAGCTGGGAGGATGTTGCTCGGGAGCATCATCAATTAGCAAAAGGGCAAGAACTAGTATAAATGTGAGTTAAGTGTAACTGTTATTAGGTTGTGGCAAGTAAATATTGGATATCACCACCATGTTTCTTGTGAATAAACATCAGTTACTTAAAAATCATTGTTCGATAACTCCTTTCTCTCAGAGACTGTAATTATTTGTGTGTATGACTTGGCCCTGGCCTTGCGTGAGCATTAATTTAGGCTAGACTAAACATCTACCCCTGCAGTCTTTAAATTCCCCATTTTCTTAAAAAAGAATTCCCAAAAGTTATTACACTGGTGTCAGAAGTGGGATTTGAAAGGTGGAATTTTAGAAGATTGTTAGGTCTAGTTAGGGAATAAGTCATATTTTGATATAGTAACTCTAGTATAAAGTTGAGATAGGTCAATGGCAGTAGCCTACGTTCATTGTCATTGGCATCGTACACCACTGCACTGCAAAAGCTCTGTGTGTACACGGGGAGCAACACGTTGTAGTGGTGTGTGTGTGTGTGTGTGTGTGTGTTGTAATGTTTTAGGATCGGGGTTTCAGTGCATGTGCTGAGCAAAGGGAAAGTTGGTAGTCCCGCAGGCTAGATAAGCTAGTCTTGCTTTGCAGACCCGATAAGCTACTTTTGTTTGGGGAAGTTAAGATATAACTTAGTAGTAAATTTAGTCACTTTAAGTAACTTATTTTGATGGGATTGTTTTATTTGCCATTTAACTAATGAAATAATTTTAATCCCCTTTAGGATTATATTCTTCTTCATTGGATTTTATTGTGGAAAAGTTTAAACTATACTGAACCTGACGTGAAATTTGTATAGGGATTTTAAATACAGTAGCCTTATAGTTTCCATTTATAAAACTTCTAAATAAAGCAAGAGTAGGCTCATGAAAGTAACAGGGGTTTAGGGTGATACACAGTTGTTGAAGTGACTATCGACTCTCAACCATGCATCGCTCACGGATCTCGTCACGTACGCGTACAAGAGGGAGGGGTCGCCTTTCGAGTCCTCTAGGAGTTGGCGCCCTCCTACAAGCGTTTGAGAAGTTTGCGGAAAGTGCCGTCAGTAACCAGGCTGAAATTATAGCGCACCTTGACAGATCTTCCACAGCACAGCAGGGTATTGAAAGGCGTCTGCAGGTGCTGGAAGCCAGAGTTGGAGACCAGAGCCCAGTGACATCACCAAGTGTTCAGAGAAAGCAAGTAGAGGCCTCAATGATGGCAGAGGGAAACGGCAACTAGTCGTGTTCGAGGAGCGGAACACGGCTAGAAATGGCAAGGCTCCTGTCATTACATCCCTGGGTGGAGAAGCAGAAGGACTCTTCCTCAGAGGGGGGATGGTTGGCAGGACACTTTTGAATCAGCATACCCAATCTTCACAAGAAGGTAATTGTGTAGGTAAATGTGAGCGAGTTGATGTTGTCATTGATGTTGAATCTCAAGAGGAAAATGTTGGAGAAGCAGGAGAAGTCACAGGCGAGTTCGCTCCGCGTTTAAGGTCGCTGCCTGAAAGAAGCAGCGTAGGATTGTCTGAGGGACAACCAGAAGAAAAGCGGGAGTTGTTACTGAGACGACAAGACCTGTTCTCCAAGGGATCCATGGACTTGGGACAGACAAGCATAGTCGCACACAAGACAGAGACGGGTGATGCTGAACCTAGTTTACCCCTAGCTAAGAGGGAGGAGGCTGTCAGAGCTTTTGATGAGATGAAGTCTCAAGGAGTGATAGAGCCAGCATCAGGAGAATGGGGTTCAATGATTGTACTCGTTAAGAAAGATGGCAGTATGCGTTTTTGCGTGGAATATCGATGTTTGAATCGGGTGACAAAGAAAGATTCTTACCCGCTTCCTCGTATTGACGACATCTTAGATGCATTGACGGGCTCCCAGTGGTTTTGCGCCCTTGACCTGTATTCCGGATATTGGCATCCTCGAAGGAAGAAAGGTGTATCACCTAAACTGATGTCAGACTTGTGAGACCCTTACTCTGTTCTAAAGAAGATAAACGATGTAGTCTACAGGATCCAGTTGACGAAAAGGAGTAAACCAAGAGTGGTTCACAGAGAACGTCTTTGCAAGTACAAGGGACAGAAGGAGCCCTGGCTCCATGTAAGTGATGATAATTCTTCTTTCATTACCGAAGCAACACAAATTAGTACTGAGGAGCATTCCAAGCTCAGCAAGAGACATCAAGTGTGACAACCTGATGATGCTCTGGATGAAGAACCCTCGAGAGAAAACAGTCACGAGCATCAGCATCGTCAAAGGAAGTCTCCCAATAGATATGGTTGGGATTAGCTGGTAACTTTGACAGCTGTGTATCACGGTTATCACATTGTCTATAATTGTAGTGGATTACATTTACACATAGTTATGGATTATTATTTTAAATCAAGGATATTGTTATGGTTAAGGACTTGGTTTTCATTAAATTTTTTGTTTGTTAGGTTTTAATGGTTATGCTTACGACTAGCTGGTTCTTTTCACATTAGCAGAGCTAGAGTGCTTGAAAGTCAGTACCTGTTTCCAGCAGGGATACAGCACAGTTCTGTGTGGGAAGTTTTCAGTGAAGTTGCTGTGTAACTGCTTATAAAACAAATTTGGCAGAATTCTTTTTTTTGTATATTGAGATTATAATAAGTTTTTATAATAATATTGCCACAACCTAGTTAGTTGCATTTTCTCTTATTACGGCTATTTATATGAAAGCCAATTTTCTGCATGTGTATACCTAATATACGCATATATGGTTGTACCACTCTGGTACACCTTTTTCTGCAAAAGATGTTATTTTGTTGCAGAAATATCTACTTGGAAGCCAGAATTGGATGGCAGATTTTCTCCATCACGTAGCTGAGGCCTGACGAGCAGATAGTGAGGTACCTTACCGAGAAAGCTTCAAGCCAGGACGCGAGATGCCAGTACCGCAAGACGCCGGGATGCCGTCCCAAAGTATCTTCACGCGTGTTGGATGAGCGAATCTGGTCTCCATGGCAACGCGTGTCGGATGAGCGTATCTGGTCTCTATGGCAACACGTGTCGGATGAGCAAATCTGGTCTCCATGGCAACGCGTGTCGGATGAGCGTATCTGGTCTCCATGGCAACGCGGTTCTTGTTTATAAAGGTGAACAATTTTGATAATGCCATGCAATTTTATGCAGCCTTACGAAATCCATCAAACTTTGAAAACCTTTATAGTGAACACTTGCATGGACTATAGGTGGAATTTCATTTATTGCATTGATCAGAGGAACAAATAATTGGTGACAGGACTTCATTTAGCTGAAGCAACTTTGGAGACGCAAATGAACTTAAGGAGTCAAACACTTATTCCATTGTGCTGCTGAACTTTACGAATGAACCAGTTGAATGTAGAACTGAGGGACCAACATTTTGGTGTTATTAGCATTGAACCTCGATATCGAACTTGTGAAGAGAAACACAAATATTGTTAAGTGTTCTTATACAGGAGGATTTGTAGAAATCACATTACTATGATGTATCAAAGAGAGTAGAAAGAATGAGAAAACTGAAGTGGCTTTCTCGCATTAGGTGTAATCACAGATGAGCGATTAACTCATCTGAACTCGAAATGTGGAATTGATTTGTGCCGTTCTGTAATAACAGATAATAACAAATGGACGCTTTGCCCTTTTTTTTTTCTTCTAATGACTTAAAGTCATTGTGAAATCTATGGACAATCATGCATGATCATGTTTTTACAAGATCAGGTTATTTTGTAAAAACAATTTTGTTTTGTATAAATTCTTCTATATTGGCAGTTGAAATGAGCGTTTCCGCTTTGGCATATAAATTCAGAGTATTGTTATGTTTTTTTTTCCAGGGTTGTACTTATGTGTTGTTGGCAACTCTAATTTTGCTAACCAAACCAGTTTAAAATGAATCGAGATATCCCATTTGTTGTTACCAAAGAGGACGAATACCAAACTTGATGGTTATACCAGAATAACCTTTAACTTTTGCCATATATAAAGGTGATATTGAAAAAAAAAAAAAAAAAGTGTTTTTGTTTATATCCAGTTTTTTTTTTGTTCTATAGTGATTATTACTTAAGTGTGCAACAGGCTGAACATGTTGACCAGAGTCACCAGACTGATGTGGAACAACAATTATATTCATGTATGATGTATTTTGTTCTGGTATACTGAGAGTTGAAGTCCAGTTTATTGTATTGATATTTGAAATTTACGATCAATGATATCAGGTAAGATGCATATGCTGCATGCTTTGTCTCATTTTGCAAGTGCTTTTATGTATGCATTCGCCACAACCTAAGAATTGTTTTGTGAGGCTGAAACAAAGGTAATTTATGTATGTTTATAAATGACTGTGCCATGCTAATGTGCTACTTTAGAAATTATGATGATTTCTTTCAGGTTTTCCTATTCTGTGTTTTCCATGCTTCACATTTTTAATGCTTCACATTTTTAATGATGTTGTTATTTTTAGATTTAGTATTTTACATTTCTTGTTATCTTTATTGTTGTTTTACTGACAGGTTCCTGTTTTGAAGTTCCTAGTGTTGAACGAGACGTTCAAAGTTAAGGAGGGGGCAGTGTTACAGAAATTGGATGCTCGAACGATTAAAAAGGGAGGTCTGAATTGGAGACTAGCTTTAATTTGGGCGAGGTTTTTGGGAGTGTGTAAAAGTTTGGAGGTCGAGGCCGAGGTAGTTTTGAGACAGACAGATTTTGTGAGAACTTAGAGTTAGGAGCTGGGAGGATGTTGCTCGGGAGCATCATCAATTAGCAAAAGGGCAAGAACTAGTATAAATGTGAGTTAAGTGTAACTGTTATTAGGTTGTGGCAAGTAAATATTGGATATCACCACCATGTTTCTTGTGAATAAACATCAGTTACTTAAAAATCATTGTTCGATAACTCCTTTCTCTCAGAGACTGTAATTATTTGTGTGTATGACTTGGCCCTGGCCTTGCGTGAGCATTAATTTAGGCTAGACTAAACATCTACCCCTGCAGTCTTTAAATTCCCCATTTTCTTAAAAAAGAATTCCCAAAAGTTATTACAATAATTTTAAGAAAGTTATGAATCTTTACCACATTTGGCCCTTTAACAATTTTTGATATTTTTACCGTGTAATCCCAAGCAACAAAAGGAGGAAGATTTTAGATTATTATAGCAGAGAGGGTAGAAAATGTTATTTTCCCTGACATTGTTGCTCTTTAAATGACCTTGTATTTGAAATATGATGAAAATAATCAAGCTGAACAATTTGGAAAAAAACACATGTGCCACATGACTGTTCTCTCACATTCCATTCTCTGAAAACAATTTCCGGCTTCTCTGACGAATTAGTATTATCCAAACTATTAGTTGAAAAAGTGCAGGATACCGCAATCATAAGCGAAGCTTGACTAGGATGGCGGCCTTAAAAAAAAATCTGAAGGTAAAACTTAAAATGAAAAAGTGTGCAAATTAGTTTAACTTCTATAGCCATTAATTGCATCATGGGAAATCGATGTTATGTGACAGCATGGAAGAGTAAGTTGTTTTTGTTAAAATACATGATTTTTCACGCCTCATTCCCATCCCCTGTGTGAAGTGCATGTGACCTTCAGAAAGATTGACAGCATCAAAAGTAAACAGTCATGAGAATATGCAACAACGACACCTGACTCCTTTCTGTAACTGGCTCACATGTCTTCATCAGCTCGATATTGCCAAATAGCACGCTATTTATGATTTGGAAACAAGCCCAAAGTTACAAATCGCGTCCTCATCAGATCGAGACTCGACCTCGAAGCTCCAAACTCGACCTCGAGGAATTACCTCGAGATATTTTTGCTCAGCGTTCGCGCATAGTGCGGTTTTTCGGGCTGGTGAGGACGCAAATAACGGGATATTTTGCCAAATTGCAAACTAGCCCAAGATATCTTGGGATAATTATCTCGACCAAATATCCCGCTAATAACAACTGCGGCCTGATGGAGACGGAAATTAACTGGATAATTTGCGATCAGGATAGTTAAAGTAGCGGGTTATTTGGCAATCTCGAGCTGATGAAAACAGGCCCAGACTGAGACACACAGGCGCGTACACAGGGGGGGGGGGGGGGGGGGGGGGGGGGGGGGGGGGGGGGGGGGGGGGGGTGGGGGGGGGGGGGGGGGGGGGGGGGGGGGGGGGTTTAAACCCCCCTTTGGCATTTTTCTGTGTGTAAACTCCCCCCCCCCCCCATAACCCACCTAACCCCCCCTTTGTTGTTGTTGTTTTTTATATATTTTTTATAATTTAAAAAAAAAAAAAAAAGTGTTGCGATTTTTGGGGACCAAAAAAAACAAAAAAAAGTGTCCTCTTACCCCCCCCCCCCCCCCGCTTATTCAGCGGCTGGCTGAGTCGTTGCAAAATTTTCGGCCCAATTTATAAATGTTAACCCCCCCCCCCCCCCCCCCCCCCCCCCCCCCCCTTTGGAAAAATCCTGCGTACGCGCCTGGAAACACAGGATGTCACTTTATCCAGGTTCCAGTTTCAAACAACATTAACAGCAACAAAAAGTGTCAGGTAGAATCCAACCCTTATTATAAATTGAAAGCAGAAATAAGATAAATTGATTAATTAAAGTTATACAAAATCGAACAATTTAAAAAAAAAAAAATGATAATAGCTTCTTAGTATTATGATGATCATGAATCCGATTTCTTGATACTTGGTGATTTAAACTGTGATGTAGCATCATTATACAAAGTCATGGCAGACAAAACATTTGTTTGACATTATTGAGAGTTATGATATTGAACAAATAATAAATTCACCCACTAGGGTAACAAAACATACCTCATCAACAATAGATGTTATTATAACAAACAGACCCGAAAAGATTAAACATTCTGGAGTTATTCCAATAATACATAGTGACTATTATAGGGTTTATTGTACTTTAGGATCAAAGCATAATGCATGTACTGCTATCGATTTAATATTTCACGCAATATTGGAAA